TAAACTATTAACTATAGCGCTATAAATAGTATTACTTTTAACCTTAGTAAGATAGAAGTTATACACTTCTCCTATAGGCTTAATAGGGAACTACCCCCTACTATTACTTACGTACACTAAATAATTCTCTCTAAACCTACTATAAGATAGCTTAGGGTTTAGCTTAACTAATCTCTATTTTTTAAGACGTATATTAAAGTACGTACTACTAAGGTATAGTTAACAGTAGGACACCTCTAGGGCCTTAATAAGGTCCTTAGAGGCGCCCCTCTAGCTGCTATATAATACGCACTACACACTATTATTATCTTAAAGGCCTTTTACACTACTAAACTATAGTATCTAGGCTATACTAAAGCCTTAGTAAAAAAGACCTAAGGCGGATTTACCTATATATAATATAGGCTTAGGGACTAACTTACTAAGCTTTAAGCTGCTATTAATATTAGTATCTAAGGCTGCCTACCTATCTAGCGTATAACCCCCCTTACTACCTTATATAGGGAGTCTAGTACCCCCCTAATATAGCTACTACTATAAGCCGCCTAAGAGCACTACGCCTTACGGCTTAGCACTCTTAACTACCTTTACCCCTTTACCTACTAGGTTAAGACCTAGCAGAAGTAGGTCTAATATAGAATCTCCTTCTACCTAACTATCCTAACTAACGCTACTAATACCTTTTCTCCCTTCCCTAGACTAGTCCTCTGCCCTAGAACCTATAACTAGGCGCCTTAGACTAGACTTAAGAAGGATAAGGCTATAACTACCTACCTTACTTAGGCTAACACCCTCTTACCTACCTACCTACTAACCTATACTAATAGCTTTTAGACTTTACTTAATAACACTAGCTTTAGGTATATAGTGTACTATAATAAGAAGGTCCTATATATAGGCTGCTAACGCCTCCCTAAAGCTAAAGTCTTTAACGCTAAGGCTAAAGGGGCTATAGCTAGCCTATCTACTGCCCTTAATCTTACTAGGCTTTACCCTAACACTATAAAGATAATAGTATGCCTTAATAACTATACTATTATATACTACCTTAATAGTGTACTAGCTAACTCCTTATAGTTAGCCTTCCTAAAGTTCTAGAGCCTAGTACACTACTCCCTAGTACTAGTAGATATCTAGTAGTTACCTAGGCATAAGGATATACTAAGGAATAAGATAGCTAATAAGCTTACTAAATAAGGCGCTAATATTAAACCCCTTAACCTAAAGACCTACCTCCCTACTATTAGCTATATTAGACAAAAGGTATAATTCTATACTAATATAGCCTTCTCTAGCTAGTAGTATAAGGCCTGCCTAAACTAGTACTAGATCTAGGGGATAAATAACCTTACTATATATCTTAAACCTACCTCTAAGATCTCCCTACTGCATAAGGAACTTTACTTCTTTTTTACTACCTACACTAGGCATAGCGATTTTACAGCCTATTATAATAGGTTTACCTACCTAGATACTAAGCGCCTCTACTAATATAAAGCGCTAAAGTCCTTAGACTACCCCCTCTTCTGCTATTAGACGTAACCCTAGCTACTATAGACAGGGACATACACCTAGCTTAAAGAGGACTAGCGTAAGTTTATTAAGCTTGCCCTAAAAGCCTACACTAACGTATATATATCTGCCTAGCCCCCTTAAGCAGTAACAGGGTGCTGCTACCTAACGGTTAGCCCTCCTAAGCCTCTCTTAGTAAGGGTAGACTACAAGCAGAGGATTCCCCCTTTAGGCTTAGCTATAACCTAGGCTAAGACATATTACTAAGAAGGATCTCCTTACCTTAATTTAGTATTATTATAGGTTACCTCTAACTATTAGCTAGATAGGGTCCTCCTAGTATATAATAGATATAACCTACTTACTACTCCTTTATAACACACACTTTACTAAAGTTACGCTTAACTTTAGCCTATAAATAATATAAACTAAAAGACTTACCTTCTCCCTTACTGTTACTATCACTAACCCTATATAGTTATTACCTAGTATATATAACTTTACGTATAATCTTAGGAGGAAAATACTAATTCTAGCGCTTACGATAGGGGATTTGCACTATTTTATAGGGACGTTGTTTTACCTAAATACCCTTCTGTAGAGGATATTTGGGCTAGTAATAGTAGATAGACTGCGCAGGCGCCTTGTGCCACAAGATGGACTTGACGGGCGTTAAATAATATCATCATCATCATCATCAGCTGCCTGGTTGCTCAGCCCGCCCTGTCCATGGTTTGCATGACGCGTTAGCGCCAGAAAAGAGGTACGGAACCGGCCAGTCGTCGACTGGAGTTGCCTGCATCGCGAATGTTCGGCGAACGGAAAGAAAACCAGCGTCTCTTCCGTCTCACAGGGTCCCTCTTTCTATTTTTTACGTTGCACATTTCCGAGCACCCTTCCGTTGCGCAGACGTCACCCCGCCCATGGGTCCGTGTAGTCGGTGTCGTTGACCCGTTTTTTCCGTCACAATTTATTCCGGTTCGTCTCCGGAAGTGACCCACTGTACCCGAATGACGGGCCCGTCGTCCATAATACGTGAAGCAATGTACTTCAAGGGGCAATAGAAACTCCTCGTGGTACCATTTTTCATTTCCACATCATTGTTAATTTTCCATAACCACCAGAAAATCAACCATTGTTGGTTTCTGGTCAATTGAACAAACTCATATTGTAGCTTCAAGATGTTGACTGGCTCATGTCGGCAGCTGGCCTCTCGGACAGGCCATCACGTCTAATTCCAGCGTGAATGGTCTCGGTCGAACAAAATTGCAGTTGTTTGCTCACACTGGCTTGGCCCACTGTCCGATGCGTTCTACCTCCTCTCCGAGACGGCTCATCTCTCCTTGAACAACCCTCTGCTTGTTGATACCGGGGACGACGTTCTTTTGAAACAAGCTTTATTGCAAGTGTCCAGATGTCTTAGTTTTGGTAAGGTCTTTTATATCACTCGCGAGCGGTACCCAGAGTCATACCCATCATTCAACAACTCTACCATGAGACTTTCCCGGCTCAGTCTTACATTGGTCAGTTAAATCTGGTCGGCCCCGGGTGATGTGAATGCGGTCGTATCCACGTCAAACATTGTCGGCAATATTCGCCGGCTCCCCATGGTTCTAGCTGATAACTGCCGTGTGAATGGCGTTAATTAATAGAGCCAGACCGAGGATATTGAGAGCTCTCTACTCACAAGCAGGTGCGTTTGGTATAATGTTAATCGGCCGGATACAGTGGTTCCTGACTTCAGGATTAATGCGTTGTTGACTTGCTATACCGTTTTTGTGGGAGTAGACTCAATCACGAGCCCCTACCACAGCCTCATCCACCTCGTCGCTCAGCTCGATCGGCGCCACTGCTTCCGCTACGCATATAATATAGGTAAAGGCGTCTTAGATTTTATTGCCTTCACGCACTGGGTTGATTTGCGCGCGTGACCTAACGCCGACTGCCTTAGTAATCCCGTAGCCACAGACACTAGGCTTCATGAAGTTGCCTATATCACCTGCAGATGTGTAGAAGACAGAGCTGCCGGCATTGCAAATCGCTCTGATTGTTATGTCATTGTCGTCCTCTGAAGTCATCGTAATAGCCCCATTAGTCGTTCTCATTGCACTGCCACCTGAACAGGTTGAACCACCGTCAGAGCTCTGGGTATACGGGTCTGCATCGGTGAAGGTGAGCTCCTGGCCGGCGGATTGAATCGAAAAGTCGCTTCTTGCCTAACGGTGGTTACAGAAGATAAAGCCTTTCCACTACACTCCTCCACGTAAAAGCCTGTAGTATTCATTACACAGAAGATGTAGGCGACGGGACCACCACATTCAGCCTTTACTCCTAGATTTGGTGTTCTTGGGTAAACTGAAATTTCGGCATAATAGTCGTCCAGTGCAACAGTTGAGTTTTCGTTACCATCCGAGCAAGTGAATGACTCTTCTGGCTGCTGTATGCATGGGACTCCGTCAACAAGGTTATACTCGAAGCTGTTGGCAAGAGCAGGGGTAACAGTAAGCATGGCAGCAGCCATGATAGAGGAACGAAGAGTGTGCATAGTAGTTAAGTGTGGCTAAAGGTAAGGAGATAGAGAGAGACAAAGATAAGACACGGTTTGATTAAGTGTGTTCTAAGTGTTCAATACGGCTGTTGAGTGTCTAGGCCAGCCCGTCTTATTATATGTAAATCAACAGCGGTCACGTCAACCATGGCGAGGCCGGCCGTAAGACCCACAAGTAAGGAAGCATGCCCATTCCCAAGGTTGTAGGATGTTATTTCTACTTTAAATATCACAGCGTCATGAGTTGAGAAGATCAGTTGAGCTGCAATGCCGGGCGATCCGTATAATACCGCATCGTTACAATTGGCCCTGTCACCGACTGTATTATGGAAGGAAGAATAAAAGAAGTCATAATCACAGATCCACATTCCTCCAGTACCTGTTCATCGAGTTCATGAGAATGTGCACTGTGCAGGCGCCAAGAAGTCTATTGGTCCGTGCAGGAAGAGATGGTATTCAAACTACCTATCTAGAGGAGGCCCTTTTCGCTGGCTACTGTATCGGATTGGCGCTATTCAAGACCGCCTAGTTGTGAAAACTCCGCGCCGATACTACGTAGCCCTAATGCAGCCCGATGATGATGCTATCTGGATGGCATGTCCTGGTCCTGGCCCTGGTCTTCAGTCCCCAATATTGTTTCCACTCATTGTACCTTCCTTCTGTGCTCCTGAAGACCGGAGGACTTCGTGCGCATCTGCAAGATAAAAGACCACATCCAAAGGCGATGTTTGGAGACCGTTGGTTGCCGTCGACATCGCCCAGGTGTCGGAGAATGTAGTTCACTTCTGTCCGTTTATCCGTGTCGTGCTTCATCATAACGCCGTGATTGTGTCGTGAATAGTGTGGCGAACTTCGTTCCTCCCAATGCCGTTCTCAGTCCCTAATTTTATTTAAACCTGCTACCGTAAAAGCCAACCACCTACCCCATTAAATGAGCTATTTAGTGGTTGCTGCTGACGGTAGAAGCGGACGAGGAGCTGGCCTGAGAAGCGGACGAGTTGGCCCTGGCGGCCTTGATGCGCTCGCTGAAAGGAAATGTAAGTACTAGATCACGGCAGATCGAGAAATAATTACACATACTAGGAAGATCGGTCCTGGAGATGACACTCATACTTGGCACCGCCGGTCTTGACGTGGAAGCGAATGCCCTTTCTCTCAAGGACGGACTGGAGTTGGTCCTTCTGAACGTCGGATGAAGGCATTTCGACTGCAGTGTTGTGCTGGAAAACTGCGAAAGTGACCGTTTCTCAGGAGAGAAGTGTGTAATGAGTATGCAGTTAATGAATTAGAATGTGACTGCGTAGAAGATAAGGCAAAAGAGCAGACTGTTTCAGCAAAAGGGCCATGGGCGCTTCAATATATAGCAGAGAATATGCAGAGGGGCGTGCCGACTTATCCAGTCGTCGGCCACATCACACATCAACTCGTGGCTTGTGGGTAAACACGGCGGATGGGGTCCCAGTACCGACAAAGCTTGTTGGATCTAGGGACGATAACAAGCCGCGGAAACGGGAAACCCCCGCAGAGGCCGCGTCCAGGTAAGACAAGTGAAGCCGAGATGAGCGATATTCTGCTAAGTATCTATTCGTACATCATACTTACCCTATCCCCATACTTCGCGGGCTGGTTACGGCACGAGTTCAAGCTTGTCGGTACAATGCATGTACGTCAAAGCGTGGGGCAGCGAATGAGCACACGGACAACGGAAGACTCGGTCGGGCTGGAGTTCCTGGTCTCATACCGCCGATGTGGAAAGCTTGAGCGAGGTGCTCAGGCGTGCGGAACGTGGTATCTGTCGGTTGTCAGAGCGGGCCATAGTTTCTCCTCTGCCGAGCCGTAGAAGCTGGGGATGGGGCAGTTTGAACTGCGTGGATGTGCGCTAAGTGCCGGCTGTATCCGTGCCATTAGGTACCTAGGTAGGTACCTAGGTAGGTAGGTAACAACCTCTTCCTTTATGCATTCGTTTGCGTGCTTCTTGCAGCCCTGGCACGACAGGTGTTTTTGAGCAGCATTGCCAATTCGCGCTTGAAAGTCGAAACAGAACAGCGACGAGTGCTGCTGCTGCTGGCAGCAAGCTCACTCGAAACCCGTCTTCCCGGACGGATCGGGATCATAATTGCTTTCTTTTACAGGTAGCATACCGAAATACCCCAACGATGGCTTCAGACTATGAGCGAACGATTCTGGATTTCTATCAGCTTCCTACACCGTACCCTAACGAGTGGCCTGCCGAGAAGGACCAGAGTGATGCATCCGATGACGACGAAGACGTCAAAGATGAGAAGAATGCGAAGCTACAGCGCCGCAAGTCACGATACCAAGCACTAGAAAGAGCCGTCAGCGATCGGCGGAGCATAATACCTGGGTCTCAGTCGGAGAAGGGAGGCATCGGTAACATCGTCCAGCGAGACGAGCCAGATCCCTTGGGCACTACCGACAGCGTTGTTAGGACTCTCCGCCAGCTAGGAGTTCCCATCCAAGATGATCCGCGCCTGCGTACGTAGGGTTCGAAACACGAAGACGATATCGGGGCTGACCAATGCGCAGGTAATCGATTCCTTCTGTCATCCACCACCTTTTCCCCCGCCCTGTTTCTGTCTCAGATGCACGCAACTGCCGATACTCAAAGCTTACTTGCTGGTCTGGACACTCTGTCACAGTCAATCGACCAAAAGTCTGCGTCACTCAAGGTCCTGGTAGAGACCAACTTCGAGCGCTTCGTCAAGGCCAAGGCCACTATAGATAATGTCTACAGGGAGATGAAGTACCGCGGCGCCGAGCCACCCCCACCGCCTACAACGGGTCGCGCTCGTGCTCACTCCCGCCACGCCAGTCGAAGCAGCTTCCGAGGCAGCATCAGCAACTTGAACCTCGCTGCTTCCCTAGGAACCCCAGCGTCGGATGCGCGCAAAAAGAACGCGCTGATTAAGGAAAGCGAATACGGCGTCGCAGGAATCAAGGCACCTCTGCTGGACGTTTCCGCCAAGGCAGAAGATGTGTGGGGTCCGGCACTGGGAGGCCGTGACAAGGAGGAGAACCTCAAGGTCTTGTCTGCCAATATTGATCAATTCAAGGACTATGTCGAGCTTAGCTCGGCCATCTCCGACAGCATCAAGCGGAGGGACTATGAGAGTCTTGTGGACGAGTACAACAAGGCGCGCAAGTTTTCCGACAATGCGCGGGCCCTCGCCACGACCATTTCTACCGAGGCCTCGTCAGATACAATCTACCAGATTGTTCTTGCAGCACGCATGTGGCACGATGTGGATGAGCAGATTCAAGCTTTCAAGCGCGACGTCTGGCGGAAGCTCGTTACCCTTCATGGTGTGTCCAAGTCCGACAATCTGGGCCATCAGGATCAGCACATGGAGCTGATCAGTCTACTCCTGGAATTGGGCGTGGACGACAATCCGATTTGGGTCTGGCTGCTTAGTCGGTATGACCATCTCAAGGGAAAGATCCAATCGACGTCTGATCGCTCCAAAGTCGAAGTCGAGGTATTGCGACGACGCCTTGCCAACGCCGACAAGCCTGGCTCGCACACGGTCGCTTCCCATCTCCGTTCTCTAGGTCAGACCACTGTTGAGAACAAAATCGCGTCGGCCGACTCTGCCGACATCATCGAGCTATGGGAAAAGATGTTAGCATTTCTATCGAGTATCCTCTCCCCGCAAGGCATTCTTGGTGAAGTCGTGGATTTTTGGCAGATCATACAGGGCTTCATGGATGGCAAGATACAGCGCACGTTGCCCCTAGGTTACAACGGAGAGTCGCAACGCCATCACCAGTTCACGGAACAGGGCGCAGACGATCTACAGAAGGGCACGTTGGAGCTTGTCGACATGATTCGCGAGACGGTGTTCGCCTTCTTCGCAGGGCCACCCCCGGAGGATATCTCGCTGTTGTTCTCGCCTCTTCCACTGTCACCAATGAGTCCATCCGCTAGTGCCGGAAACCTTTCACCCAGCGGATTGAGAGATCCTCGTCTCAACCTCGACCCCAACAACATCCCGCCACCGTCACCCAAGCGTGGTGAGACATGGGAAAAGCTAGCTTTCTGGCCTCCATGGTCGAACTCAGTCAGTGGCGTTCATTACCTCTCCAAGATGCTCGCCCTGGTTGGCTCCGGTGCATCCGACTTGGCGAGTATCGGTCCGGTTCTCAACGGACAGGATGTCAGCGTTCAGGACAGACTCAAGTCTCTCGTCAACGTTGCCAGAGAGCGATGCGTCATTGCTCTTTGCGCCGCGTGGAACAAGGACGCCGAAAACATCAAGTTTGTCGAAGATTGGCACCGGTCACCGGAACTCGGTGATCTAACCCGCATGCCCTCAAGCTTTTCCGCTTTCGAAGGCGCATTGCTCGCTGGCATGCAGAAGATTCTTTACATATCTGAAGCCATGTCTAAACCTGGTGCGGGGGATATTGTCCTCCCACCACCTAACAAACTCTTGCAGATGGTCAGAAGCCAGTACGTCACGACGCTCTATAAGGCGTTGAGTGGCATGGTGGAAAACGCGGAACGATCCGTCAAGAAGGCCGACGATGACTGGACTACGGATACGGACGGTGCTATTGTCGCCACCGCCGGGCCTGCTCCCAGTGGCGGAAGAGCGACCCTTGATGCCGGAGACAGAGTAAGTTAGCACGCCTTGTATTCGAAGATTGGCAGCTAATCAACGGCAGAACGTCCGCATGCTCCTCACTCTCAGCAACCTGCAGGCCCTCCGGGCCAAGGTGGTCCCAAGCCTAAATTCGCAATTTGAGAACGCCTTTTCGGTGAAGCTCAGCGACGAATCCAAGACGATCAAAGATGTTCTGGGTCAGATTGATGCTAGGCTCTTCCAGTCTTATACTCGGCCATCTATTGAACAGCTCCGGACCATTGTCCGGACCGGAGTCACCTCTCCGGATTGGAGTCCCGAATCTGGCCAAAAGCCGTCTGAAGCGAGACCCTATGTCTACGAGGCCCTTCTGAGCCTTGTCCTCGTCCACAGCCAAGTGTCAACCACTGCCCCTACTCTCACTTCTCAGGTGCTCTCTTACCTCCTCGAACAAACCAGCCGCGAGCTTCTCGAGGCGTTCCGCACCCGCCCAAGATATACCCTTGAGGCTCTGATGCAAGCTACCCTGGACGTCGAATTTGTTGCCCAGACGCTGAGCCAGTACACCACCGACCGCGCGTCGCAACTTCAGAGTGAGATCTACCAGGAACTCGACGGACGTACCGACAACGATGCCCGCGCACGGCTGCAGAGCGAGCTGCCGGAGATGCGTAGCGTGTTGAAGCGGCTGCGTGAGGCGAGCAAGAACGAGTTCTCCTGCTTCAGAAAGATCAAGCGTCCCGGCTTGGGGCCCTCAAGGACAGGCACAGCAGATTCCATCTCTAGCATCACAAAAGGCTAGTGGCCTCCCCCACAGTGTAGGATGAGATAGTCAGATGTGCGGCGGTGAAGCTTCTGGGAGTGATTGTCCACGCGCTGTTCAGGGACATTAGGGGGTTCATGTCGGTAATGAGGTGCACGATTGATGAATGTTCAGTTTCCGATAGACAATGTCTTGCAATACAAGCCAAAGAATAAGGAGCTGATGAGCTGCTCAGGCCGATTGTGGTCATTTAATGATGAAATATCAGAAGTGCATTGGATCAAACGCCATTCGAGCTAGAAGCCACCCAAACCACAACTCTTTAGGTCGACGACTTATTACACTCTAAAATGGGCCACATAGATCCGAGCACCGGCCTCCTCATTTTTCTTTCTTTTTCTTAAAAAACCAAAACAAATACATACCAGTCGATAGGGAGCTACACAATTCATTCGTCAACTGGGTCGGTACTTGCGTCGGGTATCTATGAGTAAAGTCTACAGGCAATGCCGCCCTCACAAATCGAAGGCCACTGGATATTGCCATCTATAAATAGGCAACCCTTCTATATTACTCCCATATCCAGTGTCTCTCAACTCCAAGTTCTGTAACCCTTGTGGTATCTATCTTTTTTGAGCTTTTGCTTTTGCTTCTGGTCCATGGTGGTAGTCGTACATCGTTAGCCATTGTCGGCATCTTTCGTCTGGTCGTTCGTTCATTATCGTGAAGGTGAAAACGTAAGTGAAAGTTAGGTGCGCGTGTTCACAGGCTGCCGGCTACTACCTCTGTTCAATCCCGATTACAGCTCAGGAAGGCACTCGCAGACGTCTATACGCCATTCTATGATATAGAAGGCTGCAGCTGCCGAGGAGGTGGAGAGCCCAGAGAGGTAGGGCCAATGTCAGGGCCAGGGCCGGGAGGAGGGGGTGGCGTGCTGTGGCCAGAGCTTGATGCAGCGGCGACATGGTGGCCATGGTCACCTTCCTTTGGTGGGAGCAGTACCTGACTACAGAAATGAAGCTCCAACGAACGTGACGTCTCGGGGCTAAAGGCACATGTCTCCAGCTTCTGTACGACATCATCATCTAAATAAGAGATGGCAGTCAGTAATGAGGTCGAGCATGTGGCTGGGAGAGGGGGGGGTAAGCTTACAATCCAGGTTCAGCGCTTCGAAAAATTCTGCCATCATAGCAAAGTCTGAGTCGCCAACATCGATAACTCTGAGCCGTCCGTCGAGGGTTCGGAACGTCTTGGGGTGGGACTTTCGAAGAGTCAGGAGCATCTTGAGGAGGTCGGCGATCTCCCGGCCCTGATTGACGTACATGGCGGGAGGGCGGTCGAGGGGCCAGCGTTGGCGGAAATCATCCATCTCCCAAACCTTGAACGTCCATGTCGTCTTCTCAAGGCAGTGAAGGAGGATCAGGATCGACAGATATACGTCGAAGTTGATCTTGGCCTTGCCGTTCTCTAGGCAGCGCTGAAGTTCGCTGATGAGCTTGTTGGACACGTTGTTTGCTTTGCGTTCAGTTGCCGCGGACAGCTGGAATGTGATCAGGTTGTAGATGTCTTGGTCGTCGCTTCCGGCAAAATCCTCGGGGCCCCGAGGCGACACGATGCCCTCACGCTCTTCGGCGATGTACCAGCTGCGCTCTCGGTCGAGGATCTCGATAAGACCCCAAAGCTCAATGGCCAGTTTCAGGTTCTTGCCGGTGACCCTTTCCTGCGGAAACTTTTGGGCAGCCTCTAAGACAACCTGCATAAAGTGAGACGGCTCGCGCTGGATCAGTGTTGGCAGGATGGACTTCAAAAATTCCTCCATGCGGGCGGGAAGATCCTCTTTATCCTGATCAATCATGACGACTTGAAAGACCGGCTTGGCGTCTCCATTAGTCTGCTCCGTCTCCTCAGTGACAGGCTGCTGGGGGCGGGGAGTGACAAGAGCAGCAAGTGTCAGGCTGGGGCTGTCCTCCCATAAAGAGACGACGAGAGAGGTGCCATTTGACAGCAGTTGATAGTTTTGTCGAGCGTGCTTCACTCTGGTCTGCGCCAGGACTACTATCAAAGCGGCCGAATAGAGAGTCAATTCCTGGTTGAGACGGGTACGGACACAAGGGTAAGTCCAATGCCGAGGCCCCTGAATCTTTCGGCACTGGTCGCAGGGGTCATTGGTGCCACACGTTTTGCGCAGGATGCGACATCTAATGCAGGCGCCCTTCTTCCGGGCAGCCTGGACTTCTTTGCGTCGAGCCGGGTTGTAAGCCTTGCGCTTGTGCTCGCTCTGAGTCCCGTTGCCTATCGGCATTCTAGTGCCACCTCTGTTGGGGGGTGCAATGGGAGCCACATGAGTCGCGAATGTGGGGTTGTGGTTGGTCGTCATGTAAGTCATCTCACCCCAGGGCTGCTGAGGCTGCTGGGGTTGCTGTTGCTGAGCTTGTTGAAGTGGTTGCGGCATTGCAGAACCAGAAGCATTGCTGGTGGGAATGCTGTTGACAGGAAGCTCTGGCTTGCAAGCTTCGGTTGGAGACATGGCTGGGCTCAAAACCTGAGGCTCGGTATGTTCTGTAGTCAACTGGGGGTCCATGAGAGAGTCTGTAAGACGCGCGGTCGCGGCGACGGCGACCGATAGATCCGAGGAATCTATAGGGGGGTTGTTCTGCTGCTGGGTCGCAGCTTGGAGATGTTCCATCTTCTCCTCTGTAGTGAGGTAACTGAGAGGGTTGGCGCTATCATTGGAAGTGGACTCTGCATAAAAGTCAGCTTTACTTTTCTAGTCGGGGCCTTTGGCGTGGAAAGACTCAGAGGCTTGTTCTCCAATGATGAATTTAACAAGAAGATCCATAAACAAAACCAAGGAAGCAAAGACCTAACGCAAAACTCACCCTTACGCTCGCGGCCGGGGCGATTCTCGTAGCTCACAGGTGGGTTCTCCAAAGTAAACTGCTCTTGAACCTCAAAGCCAATCCCAAGCTGGCGAACCGCTGACTCGGACGGATCGCGACCAGGGGCCGAGGGAGCACCCATCTCATTCTCACCAACCTGACGGGAAGCTTCGGCGAGGGTGCGAAGGGCAGACCAATTCTCAGGCGCCTCGGGTGCGACCTCCGCCGCAGCGGGGTCGAGCTGGTTAACGGTAAGATTCATAGATCGAGGTGCGGAAGAACCAGAGTGGAGTCCCGCAAATCCGAGAGCGGCGTTGATGCGCTCTTCGGGAGTAATGGCAGGGCACTTCTCAGTGATGTGTTTGTGTAAGACTTCACCTCGGCCTTTGGGGAAGTTTTCGCCGCACAACTTGCAGGTGTGCGGGTACCGGTTGCTGGAGTCTGCAAGTTTGGGGCCCCGAGTAAAATACTCCCCAATCACGGGGTTTGGTTTTCGTCCCATGTTGACCTTGTTTGTTGTGTTCTATACGCGCGGTTCTGATCGATTCCCAAAGACGCTTTCCTTCCGAAGCCGGGCTTCTATGGTGGACGGCTAAGGGCTCAATAGTCGAGATACTTGCTGCAGAGTCGCGGTGACCGCCCAAGAAATTCTGCCCTCGGCGTCGCTTAGAGAGGGATTGGTGACGGACCAGCGCTCTGTGATTTCAGGCAGTAGAACCGATGAGTCTGGAGCAGTTCGAAGGCACCACAGGCCAGAAATTGCCTCGCCAGGCTTATACCAGCGGGCGACAAAGAACAATTACCTTGGTTGGACCTGGGCAGAGCGATGCGATTCACTAATTCTGCCACGGCTCACCGACGTTGAGACTGACAAAATTCTCACACCGCTTCCCATGTCGGATAAATTCCATGGTGGGGCGGAGCAGATCCTACTCGTCACGTGAGGATACCCCACCCATAGGGGATTTCGGCGACACCTGACACCAGGTGAGATGAGGTAAATATGCAGCCTAACCCAGCGTGTCCTTTGGTGCTCATTAGACCATAATGATACTAACAAGGCATCTTGTCAGCCATCCCATGGCGAGATATGAGAGAACGTTTCCTCTCTAAACAAGGATGGATTAGATTCTAGCTGATACTCTTGCGAAAACTTGTTCTGCTGTGATCTCGGCAGCGGTCCCCTTAATTGGCTATCATCATCAACGTTATCCGCATAGAACGAACGCTACAATAGGCCGATATTTCCTTCCTATAATCCCCCTTCCCGATGTCAATGAATGCGCTTCCCACATGTGTGTTGACTGTTTGTTAGCAACGCAACTCCGACCCTATCAGACCAACGAGCCAAGTCTTCTCCTACATCCTGCAGTGTCTCCTTGCGATTCAACCAACAATATTAAAGATGTCGCAAACAGGAGATGATACCATTCGGACCTCCTGCGGACGATGAGCCGTCAATTGCCATAAGCGTCTGCGCGTATTTCCGGTAAGACTTCATAAGCATTGCTTCGCCATTTTCTGGGCATCAGTTATTTTCTAATACCTTTCATTACTCTGGTTGCCCGCAGGAGTGTATCACAGCTCATCAAAGGCTGTTTCTTTGTTTGCATTAACTATTAGTAGAGAGAAGTCCCCTCTTCACTAAGAAGAGGGAATTAATTAAGCCTGTCCCTTTCCTCATTTCTTCTACATCAGCTCAAGTCAAGCGGCAGTGGCTCGTGTTCGGTTCTCCCTGGGTAAAGGGTGCCGCAGCTAAGGTAAGCAATGTCGTTGTGTCTCGGCGGCGTCGTCGATGAGTGGTATGATCCGAGTACGGGGCCAAGTTAAAGGACGGTACGAGACATCTCCGAGCTGGAGGGTCGGTCATCTGCCGTGGTCTCAAAATTGAACCTCGCACTGCCCCGCAGCTACCTAGCTAGCTATACTTTATAGTAGTGTCTAGAGGGGGTCGTCTCTTCTCCAATGATTCTGGATCTCGGCACTGGAGACAGACATCCTGCCGATACGCCTGGAATAGCGTTGGTCGACCATGACCTTCCAACGTTCGACTGTTCAACTATAGAACAAACACCCTGAAGGCAAGAGAATTCTTGGCTACTCTATTCCGTCGCGGCCCTCAAGGTCTCCAAGCACGGCGCCTGGGGCAGAGCGCGCTTCTCCTGTCAGGCTGTCACCACCTTATTGGACCACAGGATGCATTTCGGTTTTCCGTGCCCTGAGACCAAGGGCGCTTAAGCCTAGCATCTCTAGGGGCATGCGAAAGTCACACCAATGGCCGAGCGCATGGTTCTGCCGTGAAATTGGCCAACCCCCAAGAAGCTTGGGGCGGCCCAAGACGTTTCTCTGCCGGTCCGCGTCGCTTGTCATCTGGCAGTAAGTCTTACCACAGACGACACCCCTTCAGACTCGTCATGCCATTTCTGGCGCATGCTGTCCAGTTATAATCTCTCGTTCCGGCACGTTGCCAATCCCCCGTTTACCCACTTACGATCCCTACAGTAACGAAATACTACCTTGTCGCGTCTCCTGCAACGTCTTTTCGCCTCTGGTCTTGAGAGCCAAGTCCTTTCGGTCTAATGATACACCCCAGTGTCGCCTCTTTGCCTTCCTACTTTGGGTTGTTAGTCGATAGCCACCTGGCAGCTTGATCCGCGTGCAACCTTTCCGTCCTTGAAAGTGCATCTGGAGATTTCGCTGCGCTCATATCAGGAGTATAAAGTCATTGATTGTGGTCCTTCTGTCTTTGAGTTGTGATTGTCTGCACTATACATACCTTCCATCATCAAAATGCACCGCGTCACGCTTTTGCACATGGTTTCGGCCGTAACAGCACAAGCAGCTGACCTCTCTAGCCACGTCCTAACAAACGTGGGTTTCTCACATTTTCCTTTTAAAATTTTACCGTAAACTGACGCCTCTCAGACCGGCACTGTGGCCGGCGGGAACGCATTTCCAGGGGTATCACGACCATTGGGAATGGTGAAGATCGGGCCCGACCTGGAAAACGGAGTTGACGCTTATTCCGGCTACCTGCCCGACGGTCACTTCATCGGCTTCTCCATGCTTCACGAACATGGCACTGGCGGCGCTCCCAAATACGGCGTCGTCAACCAGATGCCCATCATGGGCGTCATTGACAACCCTCTTAGCCAGAATACCGACACCAGGGCGCAGCCAGATGAGACAGAGGTTGGCCACTACAGGTCTTTCCTCAGCTCTGGGGTTGTCGTTGAGCTAGGGGCTACAGAAAAGGCGGGACTGTATCAATACACCTTCCCCGGAAACGATAGCACCCCGGGGAACGTCATCGTAGATGTTTCTCATGTTCTGCCATCGTACAGAGGACAAGGCCTCGGCCAGAACTATATGGGAGGCAAGATTGAGGTAATGAATGGAGACGATCTTCGCTACACAGGTTATGGCTACTATGACAATGTGGGTGCAGAATCATCAGTGCCATAAACCTCCCTCGATTAACGAAAGCCAGGGCTGGAACCGTGCTGAAGAGTGGAAGGTCTACTTCTGTGGATACTTCGACCGTCCGGCGACGTATAAGACATTCCTCGGCGTAGACCGTACGTCAACGGGCCTGGCAGAGTATGGTAATGCAACAAGCTATGAGTCGAGATCGCAACGCTTGGGTGCCGTCTTCAGCTTTCAAGACACCACTGTAAAGTCGAGAGTCGGGGTCTCATTCATCTCGACCTCCCAGGCTTGCAGTAACGTCAACGCGGAGATTCCTGCTGACAGAAGTCTCTTCTCCGTCAGACAGGCTACCCGTGAGGCGTGGAACACCGAGGTTCTCTCCAAAGTCAAGACATCAGAAACGGACACGCTAAAGTTGAATCAACTGTACTCGGCGCTGTACTTCATGAATTTGTTGCCAACAAACAAAACGGGCGAGAATCCGCTCTGGGACTCATCCGAGCCCTACTACGACGACGTCTTCACATTTTGGGATACGGTAAACCTGGCCTCAGAGGCCCCCCCCCCCGGATTTTCCATCCGTCGCTATCGACCAATTCTGACAGCGTACAGTTCCGTTGCACCACCTCCCTTCTCCAAATCCTCCAGCCCGAGGCTTACGAGGAGTTCATCCGTTCCATGATTGATATCTGGCGGCACGAGGGCTACGTCTCGGACGCCCGCTCCTCTTTCTACAATGGTGCTGTTCAGGCTGGCTCCAACAGCGACAATGTGCTTGCCGACGCCTACGTCAAGGGAGTTCGTGGCGCAGTCAACTGGAAAGATGGCCTCTCGGCCATGCTCAAGAACGGCGAGGTGACGCCCCCGCCAAACAACGACCCGCGCGACCGCTCCGGTTCCACCAAAGAGGGCCGCGGCGCCCTTCCAGACTGGCTTGAGCTTGGCTGGATCTCGCCACGCTTTGCCCGCGCCGTTACCCGCGCCGTCGAGTACTCGGTGAATGACTTCAACATCTACCAGGTCGCCAAGGGGCTTGGCGTTTCCGACGTCGCCGAGCGGTACCTAGAGCGGTCCCGGAACTGGCGCAACCACTGGAACGAGAATATGACAGCCCATGGCTTCAGCGGCTTCATGGGACCACGCAATGCTGATGGCAGCTTCCCACCACAAGATCCCCTCGACTGCGGCGGCTGTTACTGGGCCGAGGCGTACTACCAGGCTACGCCCTGGGAGTACTCGTTCAACGCGCACCATGATGTTGCGCACCTCGTGAGCCTGATTGGTGGGGCTCAGCGCTTCTCTGGTCGGCTGGAGAAGACGTTTGAGCCGGGGCAGTACGCGGGTAACGGCGCCTTTGGCAACACGATATTCAACCCGGGTAATGAACCTTCTTTCGGGACGCCTTACCTATTCAACTTCGTCAACAAGCAGCACCTTTCGGTGGAGCGCTCCCGCTTTGTCGCAAAATCATACTATAAGCCCGCCCCTGACGGTCTTCCGGGCAACTCTGACGCCGGCGCGATGGAATCCTGGCTGCTGTGGAACATGATTGGACTGTACCCCCTCACGGGCCAGACAACCTTCCTCATTGGCTCGCCGTGGTTCTCGGATCTGACCATCTCGCTCGGCGACGGGCGCGAACTCAAGGTATCGTCGACGGGCGGTTCCGAGGACGTATACTACGTACAGAGCCTGCGCGTCAATGGGGAGCAATGGGACAAGGCGTGGGTGACTTGGGAGGACATCTTTGCAAGGGGGGGGACTTTGGAGTTCGAACTGGGCCCTGAACCAAAGGAGTGGGCGACGGGGGATCTGCCACCCAGTCCGGCAAGCGCGGACGACGAAGAAGAACAGATCGCGGCACTGAGGCACCAAAGCCAGCAGTGGAGGCATCAGGATGAGCAGCAGATCATCAGATAGATTACTGGTCGAAAACAAGAGAACAAGGCTCTTAAATATCATGATAAGCGACTGTCCTCACGAGGCAGATGGATTGGGAATGCGATCGGACACACGGAACGGTCAACAAATTTCGATGAGTTAAGAATCGAAGAATATCATGTATATAACACACAGTCCGTCTAAGCCATTTATTTGTTTCTAAAATGCTCCACGGCAAAATCGCTTGATGAGTAAACTGTTGTGACCATGACACGCTTGCACTCGTATTTCTCGCAAACTCCTCGCTATGCCAGTATTGCTTAAACATAGAACTCGGGAGTAAGGGTATCAAACTCAAAATATGCAAAGTAGCGGTTGACTTGTTTACACTCCATCAGCGGGGCTGAGACGACGCGCCACCGCTCCAGACGTTCTTGAACTCGTCTTCTTCTCCAACGCCGAAGTTTCTGTTGAAGTCGTCCTCTTGCTCGCTTTCCGCCCATGGGGATGCCATGGCCTCTTGCAGAAGGGGGGACTCTTCTGGATGGTTATATTCCTTTTGAGCGCTCGGACGTGTCTCAGGTACCTCCTCAGCCTTGGCGGGTACCTTCGCTGGCGGAGGCGCCGGGCTCTGTCGCTTAGACGAGGATCCTGACTCGGTACGGTCTGGGGATGATGACGAGCCTGAAGGCTCACGTGCAACTTTCTTCTGCTTCTTCTTCTTGCTGGCTACGACGGCCGGCTCGCTATTTCGTGGCGACACCCGCAGACGTTCGACCGTCGATCGTGGTTCGGAATGGAAACCAAGGCTACCCTGGGAGGACATATACCGCTTACTCAGTGGCTCATTTGCGGTGATGACAGGATACTTGATATCGTCAGCCATGAAACCCACACCCAGACGTGGTTTCTTCTCTCTTTTTTACTCACATTCCAATCGCCAAACTCAAGCTCGCGTGCTTTGTCAAAGAGCTGCTCGTCGTCGGGATCTATATGGGGGTCGTTGGCGAGATCTTCGTTGAAGGTACCGTTGGCGTAGTTGTACTCTTCACTCGGGCCACCCGCGGTTCCCTGAAGTAAGGGATCTCGCTCATTAATGTCACGATTCGTCTGACGGTCCACTTGACCAGGTGTCGGAATCCAGTACTTCGCTTTGCCACCCCTCGTGTAACGCATGCCTTCATCGAGTCTCCCCAGTCTAGCACGCGAATCCTCGTGTGCCATGATTTTGTCACCCGAGTCAAAAAAGCGATACCCGTACTTGTCACCGGTAAACGTCTCTTTGGAGTCTTCGATGAGATCCCTGACGCCGAACGCATCGCGCATGGCGAACTTGACAGGCATCCTCGCAGACGATATCCTGTTGTCGGCAAAATCGTGCCACGAGAAGGCGTACCAGTGAGCAATGGCGAAAGCCGGCATCTCGATACAGATCAGCGCATCTTGAATTGCAGCGGCCAAGTTGTCGGGAGTGTAGCCCTCGACGCTGTCTGGAATGGCCCCCAGCCAGACGAGAATAGACAGGAAAAAACCTTGCCAATATGAGGCGAAGATGATGAGCTTGATGCACAAGAACTTGGGCACCGGGCGGAAGGGCAAAAGGTCGTTGTGCATGCAGACCCAGAACAGCCCAAGGGAGTACAGGCTTACTGTCACGCTGATGTTGTAGATGATACCGCTCCATAGGTAGCCCGACTCCACGCCAATGTAGCCCTCTTGGTAAGTTCCGGTGGCCTTCATGATGACGGCAGCCAGCGCCAAAACAGGCTTGAGCCACGCGTACTGAAGAATGCCACGCTTGATTGCCAGAAATGTATGGGGGTCAGATATGTCGACACGCGGCAGTACATGGTTCATAGGCCACAGATGGGAAACTGGTTCTCGGCCATGGGTCATGACGATCAGGGCTCGTTCTCCACCGAGGTAATTGATAAGGAGCTGGAAGAAGGTATAGATTGTGAAGGCCTGACATTGTTAAAATTTGCGGCTTAGAAGAAAGGGCAGGATAGCCTACCTCATAGATGTCTCGAATGGGGTCAAGGAACGCGGCAGCCCTTATCGAGATCATACTTGTCCACGAAGCTATCGAGTATATGGGAACCCTGAAGATAGTCAGCTTCACCCCCGTTGTATGCTCCAAGGTCGCAAACATACATGAGCAAGATTCGAACGACATATCTCTGGAGAAGTGGCTTTCGGTAGTTTTTCCTGCATCGTTGTTAGTCGCAGTCGGCCGAGCGAGAGAGATATACGACGCACGCCTGGAGGAAGATGGAGCTGCGAGCTGCACGTTAGCCTGAGTCGCATTTGCTCCGAAGGTACAGCGACTACTTACATAGCCGATAGAAACGTGGCTACTAAAGCGGCGACGCCAGCGACGATGATGGTCGCCGTGGTTAGCTTCTCGCCAGTGCCGCCCGCCATCGTAACTGCGGCGCGGTACGAGGCGAAGAATGTAGAGATCTGTTCGCGGAATGTCACCTAGATCATAGCTATCGGAGGAGCCGGTCGTGATGGATCGTGAGGAAAGGCAGACCGGCGGTTCCAAAGAAAGTCAAGCTTTGGTCAAAGTGGCAGTGTCGCAGGGTGAGGGGCGAGAGAATGCGTTGAAAGGTGAAGGAGTGATGACGATGCCCGTGCTGTGGGATGCAGCGAGCTGCTCGTGACTGAGGTGCTCAAGTTTGGTATGTACGTAATTAGGTATGAGCGGCATACGCAAAGCTCGTAATCAAGACAAGGGATCAGTGAGTCCCGCGGGCTGCGTTCCGTCCAATCAGTGCCTAGGTACAGGTACCTAGGTATTCGTGTGCATTGAATGTCAGTGAAGTCCATGCCAGCAGCTGCCCTGAAGCTCAGTTTCAGCGCGCTTGAGAATGTGGGGTAGCACCACAGCGACCTTCCATCTGCTCACTGTCCGCGGTCCACTATGGATGGCACACTGCGGTTGACGGGCTGGACCACGGAAGCTACGATCAGCCCAGGGACATGCTCGATGGGGCGGGCTGTCATTAGCGCGAGACGCCCGGCCCTCGTGATTGGCGACGCTCGGCGCGACATCGACTGCGACTGCTAGTTAAAGTGCCTACCTACCTTACGTAGGTAGGTAGTTTAATTAACCGTTGGCTTGTGATCCATCCTCAACTGCATCTGCATCTCCATTTCAACAACCTGCGTGCTCCCCCGACCCCCCGTTTCTACAACTGCGAGACCTTTTTCAACTCCAACGACCCACCCAGCACCTCCAATGACACACATCGTGGATTGCTAGCATTGTACGCGTTCTAAACATCTGACCGACCATCGTCAACCCCGGGATACCGAGCGACGAACAAGAGTTCTTGAGACATGGAAGTGGGTGGACTGGCACAGCCCCGACCTTGATGTTAGCAGCTTCGGCCTGTCGTAGTTGAGGCATCGTGCGACAACCACGACCAACATCATGCCGGCCGACGGGGAACCCAACCCAACCCCGACGGAAACGCCGAATTTCAATGGGTAATTTACGCTGTCCGAGCCCCGCGTGCCTTGCCTTTGCTGACCGCTTGCTTCATGTAGCACCTTCCTAGCCTTCCTCATTGTCTGCGGTGCTCTGTACGTAACACGACTTCAATCTTTCCAGCTCCTTAGCTTACCTTGTGCAGTGCCGTCTTCTTCCTCCTATACTTCAACCGAGCCTTTGGGTCGCTATTGTCATGGGGCATACGAACGTACACATGGCATCGTTACCGCGTCTACATCGACATACAGGCCCTTCAAGTGTCTCTGCTTGGTGGACGTATATTCTTCACGGGTTTGCGATATCACGGCAACAACGAAACGTTCCTTGTTCAGCATGGCTATGTTACATGGCGCTACTGGCTGCGGCGGGTGCGGGAAGTGGACATCAAGGCCTCGGCACAACAGCAAGCTGAGCAAGCGTCTGCGGCTACGAACGGGAGGCACTCGAACTTGCCCTGCCGTGTGACCATGTCTTTGGTTGGGTTGGAATGGTTCATATACAACAGAAGTCCGGCCTACGACAGCGTGTTGGCTGGGCTCAAGGAACCTACCGCAACTGCCGATAATGCGACGACGGGCTTTGAGTCAAAAGACGATAATGCTTCTCTAAGAAACCGAGGGCAGAGGGTCTCTGAAAAGTCAGATCCGTCTCAAGACTCTTCGGCACATGAAAAGGAGAGTTCTGGCGCCGCTCTGCTGTCAAGACTAGGAAATACCCTCGGCCGCCGGGGATCATCGGCCAGCAAGCCGAGTACACCATCTGATGCACCAGAGGAGAGCGATGACGCTGTCCAGTCAGACTCCGATCTGCCATTCCTTCTGCAGCTCTTCCCAATCTTTGTGACGTGCCAGAAGGCGGCTGTGGTTATGGGAAACGACAACACCAAGGCCATCTTGATTGTTAAGGCCGATGGCCTGTCGGGGGAGATAGATGCCTCAAAGACGTCCACTCCCGATCCATACAGACAGATTTTCAAGATCAAGTTCCAGCATCCGATCGTAGAAATGAGGGAGAACGAGGAATTCAAAGAGGACCAGGCGACAAGGGCAAACCGCGAGAAAATGGTTGCGCAGGAACCCAGCCCAACGTACAAAACCTCTTTTTTCCGACGACAACGACGCCGCGCACTTGGAACACTGCGAAACCTCGTACCATACTGGAGGAAATCTGTGGAATCCTTCTCCTTAGGCTCGCGAAGTCCACTCACCACCGCCATCTCACAAATACCGGGGTCCAACCACTGGCAAGGTCTGGCGCGCTACTTGGACGAGGACGAGCAAGACTCAAGGCTACGGTGGGCAGGTGTTGAGTATGCCGCCGAGTCCACCGTAGTGGACAGCCCGGAGGCAACACTGACCATATACTGGGATGTTGTGGGCAAAGTGACAGCTGAAGCGGCTAGCAGTCGTTCTGACGAAAATGCAGCGACGTACATCAACGGCGACGAAGCTCCCGCATGGGGCATGATTATAGCTATCAAGGGCGGTGTGGTAAACTACGGACCCTGGGCCGATCGTCAGAGAGCGGACCTCCAGCGCGTCTTCGTTCCCAGCTTGTGCAAGGATGCGGTTCCTGCGACCCCCTTGGCCGAGGGTGAATATCGAGTTCCTACTCAGTTTAAATTGTTCGTCGAGTTAGATGACGAGGTGACGCTTCGGATACCCATCCGAGAAGACTCCAAAAACTGGAAGTGGAAGGGCAAAGAGCCCCCTATGAAGTCTCCGTCGCCTCCACAGAAGCGGAAGCAAAGGAACCGCGCAAAGAAGAACAGCAAGACCGACGCTGCGCCCATCCGGCCGGGTGGCTGGCTTGATCTGATTGTACCCGGCAACGCCACGATTTCCTTCACCATGGATATGCTTGCTAGCACAACAGGATACCAGATGAAGCTTGATGTCGACCTGCCTAGCACTGAACTCGCGACCAGCGTCAATCATGAGCTTCTCTGGCGCTCAGGACCACAACGCATATCTTGTGACCTTTCAAGTCCTCTCAAATGGAACTCGCTAAGGTCATGGTACTTCAATGTCGTCTCCGAGGACATGGAACTGTTCATACTACGGGACCACGTTTTCCTCTTGATAGACTTGGTCGATGATTGGGCCTCGGGACCACCAGCCGAGTATCTGGTCTTCACGCCCTTCAGATACTACCTCAACCTTGACTTACGCAACGTAACGCTGTACCTGAACGTCAATGACGGAAACATCATCAACAATCCTACTGATCTTGAGGACAACGCCTACGTTGTGGCCAAAAGCCCGTCTCTCGTGGCAAACGTCTGCATTCCGATCGACAAGTTTCGCCCGAGCATGAATGCCGTATCGTTTGCGCTTGGAGCCGAGATCTTTTCTCTGTGGCTCCATGTTCCACCTTGGAACACCCAGGGCACGTTTATAACGTCAAAAGAGATAGCACACGGCGAAAACTTCGAGGCCGACGGAAAGTACCATTACAACGCAACGACGGCACCGTCTAACATTGACATCCTGGAGCTGAACCTCGGCCTTCAGTCGCCCACAGCTACGCTGTACGGATTTATTATACGTTACGTTATGAAACTGAAGGATAACTATCTTGGAGACGATATTCATTTTAAAACACTCGAGGAGTACCAGGACCTTTTACGACTGAAAGAACGCAACCCTGATGCGGAACTGGCCAATCGCCCGCCACCCAAGAAAACCAACGACTTGGACGTGATTCTAGGTGTCAAGATCGATGATCTCCGTATTCTGTTGCCTGCGAACTTGTATTCCAGCCAGAGACACGTTCAGATCGAAACAGCCGGCCTCTCTTTAGATCTCCGATTCACAAACTACTATATGGACTTGCAGGTCAACCTCAACCCTCTCAACCTTTCCCTCGGGAGCGCAGAGTCGGGCATGGAAACACCTATTAGTGCTGTGTCTAGCACGCAGTTATTCATTGACGGCTTGTCAATATTTGGCCATCGTCTTTTTGGCCTTCCCCCAGCCGAGCCAACGTACCTTTGCAACTGGGATATTTCCGTGGGTACGATTTCGGGAGAATGCTCCACCGATTTCTTAGCAGCCCTGATGAGCGCAGGCAAGGCATTTGCGTTCGAATTTGACGATGACGAGAACGCTTTGATTCCGCTATCGTCCATCATTGTATACGACGTAACCTTCTTGCGGGTGGCTGTTGAGTCTGTTCGAGTTTGGTGTCATGTAGACGAAGCAGCTTTTCTCTTCTCGACTGGTACACTTGATGTCAAGTTCAACGACTGGGCGCGCACGCATTACTCCAAACGAGCAGACATCATGCTTCCGGATCTTCAGATTTCGTGTGTCAACTCGGAATCGGCTATGAGGCATAAATGGAAATCCCAGCAGGGCGTCGAAACTGACGCCTTCTTCCAAGCCTCTATCCGTGTGGCAGTTATTGGAAGAAAGTTACACTTTTCCGAAGAGCGCAAGTTGCAACAGGAGCTCATCCGTCGCGAGGATCAACGGACTGGGCGCACTGAATTTCTGCTTCTGCCCGGGATTCTGGAGGAGACGCTTCCGGATCAGCTTGATCCGCCTGCCCAGGGCTTTCCTCCAGTTCCTCATCCAACTGTTTTTGAAGGTGCTGAGGGGGACCAACGATCCTCCGACAATCGATCGACTTTCAGTCGCTCCCAACGCCTTCGTCACAAAAGTTCGTTCTTGTCCACGACCACTACCTCGAGCAGCAGCAGTGTGGTCAGGCCACGGAGTTCTGTGAGATCGCGGGCTAAATCCAGACAATCGGACATGCTGTACCCTGACAGCCCTGAAGCCATGAAACGAGGATTGCAACACCAGCGAGATGTTTCTACGTCGACTGGTCGCCACTCCGCCTTTTATAGTGCCATTGGCGACTTCCGAGACGCCAGTCACCACTCGTCTGTGGCCTTTTCGAGCCAATTCTATACCCCGCCGTTTCCCCTCGAGAGCGTTCGGCCTGATACCTCGGAAGCTGTCATGCTAAGCATCGAAGAGGGCGATGCGCCCTCCGCCTTCAGCTTCCCAGGGTTTGGTCTCAACAACATCGACCCTGAATCTTTGGCTGAGGATCGTGCGCATAACAGCATTATCGTCGAGATACCCACAGGCCTTACTGCGTTTCTAAATCCTTCTGCAGTCAAGAATGTATCATTACTGCTTGCTGCTCTACAACCCAGCGAACCAGATAATATTCTTGACAGCCTGCAAATTTCCTCCATGACTGATATCTTTGACCATCAGAAGAAGAAGACGGTTCCTGGTGAAATTACCGACGTACTATTCAGAGTCCCAAAAGCCAACATCAGGTTCTTGAATGCTTCCGCTGTCGACCGCCTCAATCCTGGCGGACAGGAACAGGACCAGTATGATGTGACAGTGTCAAAGCTGTCGCTGTGTCTCCGATCCACAGATGCCTGGGAAAACCCAACGGATCCGGTCAAGAGCAACAAGCGAACATCGGTACTGCTGAAACTTGGTTCCGCCGACGTATCGGCGTCGGAACGGCTCTCGGGTGCCAAGGAAAACCAGGCCGCGTTTATGGCGCAGATCGAGCGTGTCGTGGTGTCTTTGGGCTCGAAGGACGTTACCTACATCGACGCGGAAATCGGGAGCATCAAGAGCAGCACCGCTTCAGAAAAGATCGAATACCTTGCGTCACTTATCCACAGGAGCGGGGTTGTCGCTTCGGAGCTTGGGGAGACATTAGAACAGACGATATCACGGCACGAGGACCGCGTCAAGCATTTCGTGTTTAAGCTCATGACAGAAGGGCATCCGGTGGGCGACCCGTCCTTCTTGACAAGACCGTCGGCGGTCTTGAGATCTGCCACAGAGCATCTGCGGACCTTTGACTCATGGAAGATGGCCGCAAGACTTCGTCAGATATGGACGCACATGCCGGTAAACTTCAAAGATGATCTGCAGCTCAGTTGCATTTCTGGATCAGCAACTCCGCCTTCCGACGCTTCCCATCGTGTCATTGAGGCTTTTCAACGATGGCGTAGCTGGGACTTATATGATGTGGCTGGTTCGTCCTTGATCAAGAACGTTTTTGGGACAATCAATGTTGGCGGCAAAGCTGAATCACCTGACCTTCCGATCTTAGCGGCGCTTCGTTTGAAGGAATTGCAGCTACTTTTAGATCCGGGGCCCAAGGAAAATAGGATCGTCTTTGCCGACTTAACGACACGAATGGAGAAGAAGACAGCGTCACAGCCTAGTGACATCGAGACAAGGCCAAAGAGCATCACCGTTTTGAACGTCTACTGTGGTGAGGCAGCCGTCATGGTCAACTGGGAACTTTGCGAGCTTGCCGAAGACATCCTCCGACTTTACAATAAATCCAGCCTCGCAAACAAAAACCATGCAACGCCCAAGCAGGAGAAGGCTGCAGTCGACGAACCAAAACCACAGGACGCCTTCCATGTTGTACTGGCAATTGGACGAGGCTCAGTGGAGGTGGACACCATCAACCTCAGCGCCACGTCTCTTGGCCACAACTTGAAGGTGTCTTGCCTACTTGATGGATACCAGAAAACTGGCTCATCTATCAACTTCATCATTAGCTGCGATGCCGTGACATCGCGACTTCACCACCGGTCTGAGTTATTGGGGATGTTTCAGCTCAAGGACCCAAGTATCATTGTTTCCCACGAGCTTCTCGAGACGGAGACAAAATCATGTCACACAATCAAATCAACAGCCAGCAGCCGCACTTTGACGCTAGTTGTTAAGCAGGATCCTCTGTACCTGGTTGAAGTTGCTGATTACTTGGTCAAAGATGAATTGGCGCAGATCCGCAAGCTTCAGAGACAGTTGCCGGAGTCGCCAGCACCCCCTCGTAGGAACAGCGTCAAGATTGCTGAACGGCTCTCATCGTTCCGTGTCAATGTCGCTATGTTCCTAGATGAGTACCGCATCAGCGTGCCGTTGTTGCAATCAATGACCTACGACATTTCGGGCGTTGTAGCGCGAGCAGCGGTAGCAGCCAATTTTGGAAAGGAGCTCATCTTCGACTTTGATGTCAAGGAGAACTCCCACGAAATCAGGATGGATGTCAGAAACCAGCCGCGCAGTATATCGCTCCTCCGAATCCCGCCGACCAACGGCCGGATAGTTAGTCACATGTGCCCGGGGGAGCACTCAGTCTCCGTGTTCGGCTCCGTCGAGCTTATGCAGCTGGACGCTTCCGCGGTGTACAGTCTGTTGACGGCTCTGAACCGACCACAAATATCAAGTGCCATCAGCGAGCTGCAAGAGGGCACAAAGGCAATTCAGGGTCACATCAGCGACATTTTCGGTGAAACGCCAGCCCCCAAGGAAGCACCGCCTCCAGCGCAGGTGTCAAACCTGGTCTATACCGTCCATCTCACTCTGGCTGGTATTGAGGTCTTTGGGAAGACACCGCTTGTCTCAGAGAAGGACCCCACAGCATGCCTCTCTTTCAAGCTTGATAGAGTGCATCTGGAAGTTGCTAACCGCCGCGATGGAGAAGGGCCGATTCTGGTACAGCCGCAGTTGCATATCAACCTGCGTCAAATCTTGATTGACGTGCAAAAGGGCAGGGATAACGCCATGCGATCTTGCGGTAGCCTTGCTCTGGGCGCGCTCATGTCGGCAAACACACGACACACGGAAGATGGCAAGGAAGAGAGGTCCTTCAATTTCAGAAGTGACGGACTGGAGATTAACTTGTCGCCGGAAACCGTTTCGACAGTGGTTGCCGCCTTGGGATACATGGGTGACAAGATCAAAGACCTCGACACGTCACGCGAGCTCGAATACTTGCGCAAGATCCGGCAAACAAGACCCCGCATTGCCATCAACGATCAGGAGGAAGCGGAAGAGCCTGACATCATCGATTCGTTCTTGTCGTCCATTGTGTACCGTTTCGAAGTGCGCGATACGCAGATTGCTTGGCTCGTTGGTGATCCTTCAGATGACTTGCTGCCATTAGCGAGCAGCAAGGAAGATCTCATCTTGTCGGTCCAGCTCGTCAGTTTTGGAACGCGCCAAACCAAGTCAGCCAGGCTTACCATCGAAAACTTTCAACTCCAGATGGTTCCTCCTGGCCAAGACAAGAGCTTTAGGTCTCTTCATTCGGCCTTGCTCCCTGAGGTGATCTTCAACATCGCCTATGTGTCCAATCCAAACACCCGCAGCCTAGCGTTCCAAGCCGTTGGCAAATCGCTGGATCTGCGCTTAACATCAGGCTTCATAATTCCAGCTGCTATCCTGAAGGACTCCATCAGCCTCTCGATGCAGAACGTGCAACGAGCTTCTCAAAATTGGAGCACTGGGATTGCCCCTACTAAGACCGAAAAGGTTGACATAAGCGAGGAGCCGACCGCGCCGCAACGAAGTATACTTGGTACAAAACGTCTTGAGTCCCTACTAATCGACGCAGACTTTTCGGGTGCCGTTGTTTATGTCTCGGGTAAGAAACCAACAGATGGGCTCCGTGGAAACCCCAGGACTGGTCGACCATCTCTGGCAGGCAAATACGGCCAGTTCAGCACGGATGATACCGGTAGCAGCACTGTTCTCAGATCGCCAGGCCTAGCCTGGAAGCTCGAGTACCGAGACAACGGGCGCGAGGACCCTTCGCTGTACGGTGAGATAAAGATTGACGCGTCGAGTAATATTTTGTATCCCTCTGTTGTGCCACTCATCATGGATATGACGGTCAGCGTCAAAGAAGTCGTAGGCAAGGATAAGGATACGCCAGCTCCTACGCAGACACCCGCTGCTGCGAAGGCCAAGCCTGGCAACGAGGATAATATCCTTACGGCCGACCCAAATGCCGTTATTGGACGGTTGAAGCTAAACCTGGGGCTTCGGATTTGCCGTCAGGAGTTCTCGTTGAGTTGCCAACCCATCGCGCGTGTTGCGGCGACGACATGTTTCGAGGACATCTACTTCACTGTCAATACAGTGCGCTCGCAAGAACAAGGCAATTTCTTTTCCATCTCCGGCGCTTTCTCCAAGCTGCAAGCGTCAGTTCAGCACGTTTATTCCCGAGAGTCTACAGGAAGCTTCGACGTCGACTCGATTGTGCTCTCATTGATGAATAGCAAACACGTCAGCGGGACGAGCGGCGTGTCTGCCATACTCAAGGTCAGCCCGATGACCGTCTCGATTAACGCCAAGCAACTCCAGGACTTTTTACTATTCCGCGAAATCTGGTATCCAACTGAGCTACGGAACACGTCGACAGCCCCAGTCGCCAAGATGAACGCCGAGACTTCACAAAGTCACCTGGTACAGAGATATCAGCAGGTCGCCGCAACAGCAGCATTCCCGTGGACGGCCACCATATCCATTACGTCTCTCGACGTCAGCGTAGACATGGGCCAGGCGATCGGCAAGTCAGTCTTCGCCATCAAGGAATTTTGGGTTTCATCAAAGAAAACTTCAGACTGGGAGCAGAACCTGTGTCTTGGCTTCGAGAAGATTGGTATAGATTGCACAGGCAGGTTGAGCGGCTTCATTGCTCTTCAAAAGTTCCAGTTGCGAACCTCGATCCAGTGGCCAGAGCGAGAGGCGGCGCTCAACGAGACACCCCTCATACAGGCGTCCATTGGATTCAGCCAATTCCGCGTAAAGGCAGCATTCGACTACCAAGCCTTCCTCGTTGCCGATATCACGTCTCTCGAGCTCCTCATGTACAACGTTCGCCGCAGCCTCGAGGGCACGGGGGATCGGCTCGTTGCCATCTTTGACGGAGACGCAGTTCAGGTCTTTGGCACTACAACATCGGCAGCACAGGGCGTCGCGCTGTACCAAGCTTTCCAAAAGCTGATACAGGAGAGGCGGGCCAACTTTGAGATGTCGCTGCAGGAGATCGAAAAGTTTATGAGAAGAAGATCGTATCAGAACACTGCTACGTCTCCCCATCTAACCACTACGCCAAAGTTCCGAGAGGAAGACACGCTGTCCAAGTCTCCAATCTCACTGGATACCGACGTTGTGGTTACGCTTAAGGCATTGAACTTGGGCGTCTTTCCGAGCACATTTTCCGATCACCAGGTGTTCAAGATGGAGGCGTTGGGGGCCGAGGCACGATTCGCAGCCAGCATTGAGCAGCGACGCGTTCACAGCATCCTTGCACTTACCCTCGGACAGCTGCGAATCGGCCTCGCCGGTGTCAGGAACATTGAAGCGCCGAAAACGCTCAGTGAGATATCGGTAGAAGATGTTGTCGAAAGGGCCACAGGCTCGCGAGGTGGAACCATCCTCAAAGTACCCAAAGTTGGGGCGGTCATGCAGACATGGCAAACACCCAACCAAAACCGGATCGAATATATCTTCAAGAGCGCCTTTGAGGGCAAGGTTGAGGTGGGATGGAACTACTCACGCATCAGCTACATCCGTGGGATGTGGGCCAACCATTCCAAGTCACTGGAGCAGACCTGGGGCAAAGAGCTCCCGCTCACAGCCATCAAGGTTTCGGGAGTGCCGGACACGGAGGAGCAGCAGACGGGCGGGTCGTCGCAGCAAAAGATCACGGCCGAGGTCACGGTGCCGCAGTCCAAGTATGACTATGTGGCGCTCGAACCGCCCATCATCGAAACGCCTCAGTTGAGGGACATGGGCGAGGCGACGCCACCACTAGAGTGGATTGGGCTTCACAGGGACCGACTGCCCAATCTGACTCACCAGATTGTCATTGTAGCCTTGCTCGAGTTGGCCGGCGAGGTGGAGGATGCCTACTCTAAAATATTGGGATCATAAGAAGGCCGGCAGTGACTCATTCGGCATAGGTTGTTTTCTTTTCATCTCATTTTTCGGCGTTTAGGGAGTTAAAAGGTTGGGGGTCCGAGATCAGTAAGCATCACTACGGAACAGGAACATGACGGCGAATACCCGTAACTCTACCGACTTAGTAATCAAAGCATGATGTTAGTTTACCGGCTGACGCACTTGTGCAATGTGGAATCCTCGGTGTACTCACCGGCGTGCTTCAAAGCGTGTCTGGCCAACGCTCGCTGCAAGAGTTTGACGGCATAGGTTAAGTCGTCCCAAAGAGAAAAAAATGGCGCGGCCGATGAGTCGAGGCTGGCACTGAGTGAACGCGCCAGTCAATCAGGTAGTCAACGTCAAGCTCGGTCACGCCTGGCATCTCCAGCTTGCTCACCCCGAATAAACCGTGGCGTGGGAGGTCGGTTGGTTTGGGCAGCGTGATAGACATGATTATCCGGTTCTACCACTGACACAGTACACTGAAGTACTAGCGTAATCATAGTGTGGCCATGGTACCGGTGTGGCATATGTCGCCGTCGTCGACTTGGTTATTGGGCCCTCGCAGGGCCCCATTTCCAGCGTTGGACAATGGCATGTTGATCCCACGAAGCCGGGTGGTGGGCTGTTCATACACAGTGCGTATAGCCGTTGGCAACACGGGGGGGGGGGGGGGGGGGGGCACATATTAGCTTCGTTTGGCAGCACTCGGTTCTAGACTGCCCGACCAACATGGCATGCCAGTATTTCCAGAGCTTTGCCTAATTCAAACAGGACGTGTATCAAATATGCATCTGGTTGGACTCCAGGAGCTGGGCTGGACTCGTTGGGCCGGGGTCAGCCAGACCATGTTTTCGTGCTTCTACTTGGACTCTCGACTTCTGGTGCGAGGGGGCCAGGGTTGTTGCCCTTTCGCACCCGCATAAGATTGTCCAGTGCCCCTCCATGCACAGACCGGTCAAGTGAGGTACCAAGGTAGGTAGGTGGCAGAGGGGGAGGGGAAGGAGAGATGAGGGGCACACACGCACACGCTCACACATACACATACCTCCCTCCTCGCACACACACAGTCGATAGGTGCTGATGAGAGAGGAAGGCAATTGCTGTGGTGCCGCAGAGTAGGCGATGTGTGAGTCTACCTACCTGCGTGGTTGATGTCATGCTCTGGTATCACGCATTTCGGCACTGTGCGTCACAGGTGGCGCCACGGCTGGCAGGACTTCACTAAGTGGGAAGGTTGTCATCACAGTGCGCAACACTGAGGAGCCACCCTCCATTTGCTACCAAATGCTCTGCAGGCGCTGTGATTGAAGAGGGGTGGGAGGGTAATAGCTAGACACCCACTGGAGGGGGAGAGGAGGGGCACCGTGGGAGTGAAAAAAAAAACCAGGAAGAAGTGGCGGGGGTGTGTTTTTTCCCACTCTTTGCGCTGCCCCACCTACCCATTTTTTTCTCATTCGGCCAGTCACTAACTTTTTTTTTTCCCTCGGGGCAACCACTGCCACACAGCAAGAGAGAAAGAGGCACCACTTCTCTTTTTTCCCCCTTCTTCCCTCCCACCCTCCTCCTCCTTCCCGCCTCCATCTCATTCAACCTTTTCGACGATAAAAGAATCGGTAGAGGAGCTCGAGTTCCCCTGTCCGTTTCCTGGAACCGTCGACTTTTGCAACGCTTCGGCACCTCACGTTCTTCTCTGTCTGCCTTTTTCTCTAGTAGAAATAGGATTCAGCACTTTGTGAGCGCGGGGCAGATTCTTCAACCCCGCTTCGCCCAACTTCAACCTCACATCCCACCCGACGCAAGAGATTTCAAAGAGCTCCTTGAGCCACCGCCGTCAAAATGGTTAAGTAAGTTCACCGTCAGCTCCCACTGCCTCGCACAACATCTCCCACTCGTTCCTTCGCGACGAGCAATTACTGCCTCGTTGAGCTTTTGTTTTGGGACACCCATCCAGGCGAGGGAAGCTTCGGTCGCCGCGCTGTTCAGCCGTCAGGCCTTAACTTACCCCGCCCCTCTCCCTCATACACCACCGCCCCCTTTCGGAGATAAGCTTCCACCACGGACGACATTGCAATGCTGACCATGATCTCGCTACAGCTTCACCGTCGAGGAGATCCGTGCGCTCATGGACAAGCCCACGAACGTCCGTAACATGTCCGTCATTGCCCACGTCGATCACGGAAAGTCCACCCTGACCGACTCCCTTCTGTCCAAGGCCGGTATCATCTCCACCGCCAAGGCTGGAGACGCGAGAGCCACGGATACCCGTGCTGATGAGCAAGAGCGCGGTATTACCATCAAGTCTACTGCCATCTCGCTGTACCACAACGTCGACCCTGAAGACGTCAAGGACATTGTTGGCCAGAAGACTGACGGCACCGACTTCCTCATCAACCTGATCGACTCCCCCGGTCACGTTGATTTCTCCTCCGAGGTCACTGCCGCTCTCCGTGTCACCGACGGTGCTCTCGTCGTCGTCGACACCGTTGAGGGTGTGTGCGTCCAGACCGAGACTGTCCTGCGTCAGGCTCTCGGTGAGCGCATTAAGCCCGTCGTCATCATCAACAAGGTTGACCGTGCTCTTCTTGAGCTCCAGGTCTCCAAGGAGGACCTCTACCAGTCCTTCTCTCGTACCATCGAGTCCGTCAACGTCATCATCTCCACCTACTTCGACAAGTCTCTGGGTGATGTCCAGGTTTACCCCTACAAGGGTACCGTCGCCTTCGGTTCCGGTCTGCACGGCTGGGCTTTCACCGTTCGCCAGTTCGCTGTCCGCTACGCCAAGAAGTTTGGTGTTGACCGCAACAAGATGATGGAGCGTCTCTGGGGCGACAACTACTTCAACCCCCACACCAAGAAGTGGACCAACAAGAGCACCCACGAGGGCAAGCAGCTCGAGCGTGCCTTCAACCAGTTCATCTTGGACCCCATTTTCAAGATCTTCTCCGCCGTCATGAACTTCAAGAAGGACGAGGTCACCACCCTCCTCGAGAAGCTCAACCTCAAGTTGTCCGCTGAGGACCGCGACAAGGAGGGCAAGCAGCTCCTCAAGGCTGTCATGCGCACTTTCCTGCCCGCCGCCGACGCCCTTCTGGAGATGATGATTCTCCACCTCCCCTCCCCCGTCACGGCCCAGAAGTACCGTTCTGAGACCCTGTACGAGGGTCCCCCCGACGACGAGGCTGCCATTGCTATCCGTGACTGCGACCCCAAGGGTCCTCTCATGCTTTACGTCTCCAAGATGGTTCCCACCTCTGACAAGGGTCGCTTCTACGCTTTCGGTCGTGTCTTCTCCGGTACCGTCAAGTCTGGTATCAAGGTCCGCATCCAGGGCCCCAACTACACCCCTGGCAAGAAGGAGGACCTTTTCATCAAGGCCATCCAGCGTACCGTCCTGATGATGGGTGGCAAGGTCGAGGCCATCGACGACATGCCTGCCGGTAACATTGTCGGTCTGGTTGGTATTGATCAGTTCCTCCTGAAGTCTGGTACTCTCACCACCTCCGACACCGCCCACAACCTCAAGGTCATGAAGTTCTCCGTCTCCCCCGTCGTCCAGCGCTCCGTCCAGGTCAAGAACGCCCAGGATCTCCCCAAGCTCGTTGAGGGTCTCAAGCGTCTCTCCAAGTCCGACCCCTGCGTTCTGACCATGACCAACGAGTCTGGTGAGCACGTTGTCGCCGGTGCCGGTGAGCTCCACTTGGAGATTTGCCTCAACGACCTCCAGAACGACCACGCCGGTGTTCCCCTTATCATCTCCGACCCCGTCGTCCAATACCGTGAGACCGTTGTCGGCAAGTCCAGCATGACCGCTCTGTCCAAGTCTCCTAACAAGCACAACCGTATCTACATGATCGCTGAGCCCATCGACGAGGAGCTTGCCAAGGAGATCGAGGCTGGCAAGATCAGCCCCCGTGACGATTTCAAGGCTCGCGCTCGTGTCCTGGCCGACGACTTCGGCTGGGACGTCACTGACGCCCGTAAGATCTGGACCTTCGGTCCCGACACCACCGGCGCCAACTTGCTCGTCGACCAGACCAAGGCCGTCCAGTACCTCAACGAAATCAAGGACTCCGTCGTCTCTGGTTTCCAATGGGCCACCCGCGAGGGTCCCGTTGCCGAGGAGCCCATGCGCTCCGTCCGCTGGAACATCATGGATGTCACCCTCCACGCCGATGCCATTCACCGTGGTGGTGGCCAGATCATCCCCACTGCGCGCAGAGTCCTGTACGCCGCCGCTCTGCTCGCCGAGCCCGCCCTTCTTGAGCCCGTCTTCTTGGTCGAGATCCAGGTTCCCGAGCAGGCCATGGGTGGTGTCTACGGTGTCCTTACCCGCAGACGTGGTCACGTCTTCAACGAGGAGCAGCGCCCCGGTACCCCTCTCTTCACCATCAAGGCCTACCTGCCCGTCATGGAGTCCTTCGGCTTCAACAGTGACCTGCGCCAGGCCACCTCCGGACAGGCCTTCCCCCAGCTTGTCTTCGACCACTGGCAGCCTCTGCCCGGTGGCTCTCCCCTTGACGCCACCTCCAAGGTCGGCCAGATCGTCCAGGAGATGCGTAAGCGCAAGGGTCTCAAGGTTGAGGTTCCCGGTGTTGAGAACGTGAGTCTATTCTTTGACCCCCCATGAAGCCACGTATATTGACAGTCCGCAGTACTACGACAAGTTGTAAACGCCTTTCCCACGGGTTAATAGAAAACGGCGTTGTGCCTTTTTGGGCATTCATGACGAACTGGGTTTGGTGGATGATATCAAAAATTATGACCCCGTTCTTTCCATAGCTTTCACGTAGTCTCGGAATGAAGACAAGTTCAATATGTACATGAGGCATTATTGAGATGTGATGTGATGTGCCAATGCGGTGACGCCGTAGTAAAGCCCTCGACCTTTTTGAGTGTCGGAGCGCGTTGAACAAGTACGCAGAAGCCCATGGATTTGGGCATTCGAGCTCCTTCCTAGGTAGGTACCTGGTATTAGCCCGTGTCAGTGCTTATTTGTAACGCGTACCCGCCGATTCCACTTAGGTTTAAAGTGGGTCCCTTAGCGAGCTGTGCAAATAAAAGGTTTAGCTTTGCTCGGATCAAGTTTAGCTCCCATCAAATCTTCCCATCTGAGCAAATTCTCGTCTGTTCGAGGGTCTTCCCGCTGAACGACGACAATGACTCCATCCTTTTCTTCGAACACATAAGCTTAACACTTATCGATACAACAACCCATCTTCCTGCCTCATGGTTTGGCGCGTGCCGCACTGCGACCATGTTTCTAGCGGCCGAGGACACACCGTTGCTCAGGACATGGCTTATGAACAAGCTGCCTGAAGTGTTCGTCTGCTCCAATTCTCTATCATTGTTCATCAAGCTGACATTTCCATGTAGATCCGATACGGAAACAGACATTTTGGCAGACTATGTCTTGGCTCTGCTCGTCTCCCAGGAAGGCGACGCGGCGCACATTCGCGAGGCATGCGAAAGCGAATTGCCGCAGTTCCTAAACACAGGTCAGCTACGTCTCATCCACGTGTCTCTGGAACAGTCCACTAACCAAGCAATAGACGCCGCCCCGGAGTTTGTTGAAGAGTTGTTTGATGTCATCGAGCACAAGTCCTACCTCCCCGGCGCGCCTCCCCCGCCCAAGAAGCGATCAAAGCCAAGCTTTCCCAATCCCGTCGCGTCATCGGATGTTACGCCGCAGAGTGTTTCGCGAAAACGTTCATATTATGAGAGAGGTGATGCCAGCGCCTCTGGTGAACGAGAATCTGGGTTTGGCGATGAGCGCGCATACAAACAGCCACGTCGAGGACAGTCGGATTCGAGGGTGCCTGGTCCGAGAGGGTTTGGCAGTCCGAACGGCTATCACATGCAGCCTCTGTATGCTCTCGATGGTTCTCAACAATTGCCGCCTGCGACGGCGCCATACGACCCCAACTTCCCGCACCCACCAGCTGGTCTCCAGGACTGGCGCGGACTTCCTCCTATGGCGGCCTATCCTCAGGGGGCACTTCACGGTCCGCCCCACGGCCCGCGAAGGAACAGGCAGAAATGCCGCGACTTCGCAACCAAGGGCTACTGTGCTCGCGGAAATTCCTGCCTGTACGACCACGGCATCGAGCCCATCTGGCTACCGCCCAGCGGTCCCAGTGGGCCTCCCAAGTTCGAGGGTGCGTACACAGTCTATTTTCGTTTCGTTTCACTCGTAGCATGATGAGAAATCCGTCCGAGCATTTATGCAATGACTTTAAAAAAATTATTTATAAGGTTGACTACTGAAAGCTACACCTGTTTTGTTTATCATGAATACTTCAATTCATTACCGGTATTGCATGCTGACCAGTTTTCAGAATTTGACCCTCGGGATGCGGCAATGATGATGTCGCAAAACTTCCAGCAGATGCAGCAGCTCCTGGAGGCCTTCAACGCCGAACGAGGTAGCCGAGACGGCCGTAAGAACCGCCGAGGTGCTAAGGGTAAACGGCGCCAGAATCGTGCCTCCTTCTCTGCGGAAGGTCCTCTCGATGACAGAACCAAAACTACCATTGTTGTCGAGAATATTCCCGAGGAGTACTTCTCAGAGGAAGAAGTCCGCAAGTTTTTTTCAGAGTTTGGCAACGTTGAACAGATCACTATGCAACCGCATAAGCGGCTTGCAACCGTCAAGTACGACACGTGGGACGCTGCCAATGCTGCCTATCGATCCCCGAAGGTTATTTTTGACAACCGCTTCGTTAGGGTGTTTTGGTTTATCGATGAGAGAGAGCAGGCTGCAGCACGCGCTGCAAACGCATCTGGTGAAGACCAAGATCCGCCCGAGATTGACTTGGAAGAGTTCATGAAGAAGCAAGAAGAGGCTCAGCGGCAATATGACGAAAAGATGCAAAAGAAGGCGGAGCTCGACAAACAACGTCTGGAGTTGGAGCAGCGTCAGCGGGAACTGCTCGACCAGCACCGAGAAGTCCAGCAAAAGCTGCAGGCGAAGCTGGCGTCCAAAAATGGCGATGTTGAAAACGCCGAGGGTGGCTCGTTGAACTCGGCGCTCCGTGCGCAGCTCGCTGCTCTTGAGGACGAGGCTAAGCTCCTCGGCTTGGACCCGAGCGCGACCGATGACCCTACAACATGGCAGTCAACATGGCAATCAACTAGAGGTCGCGGCAGAGGCGGGTTTGCTCCCCGTGGGCGTGGCTTCCCTTCTCGAGGCAGGGGATCCTACCGCGGCGGGTACAGAGGTGATGTCCATGCCGCCTATGCGGCGTACTCGTTGGACAACCGTCCCAAGACTGTTTCTGTCACGGGTGTGGACTTTACGTCGCCTGAGAAGGATGAGCTGCTTCGGCAATACCTTCTTGTAAGTTCATCTTCATCCCGCTCCTTTTTCTCTGCTTGCCTTTGGTCTCTTCCCTTCTGGTTTCAGAATGCTAACGAAGTCTAGGGCGTCGGTGAATTTACGGATATCCGTACCACTGCTTTCGAGACCGAAGTCACCTTCAAGGATCGGAAGACGGCGGAGAAGTTCTTCTACGGTCTTCCGAAGCAAGAGATTCCTGGCATTGATGGTCAACTTGAGCTGTCTTGGGTGTCCAGATCCTTGCCCCCAGTCAAGATTACCGAGAAGGCCGTACCGAAGCGTCAGGACGCGCCCGATCATGATATGAGCACGGGCACCGGCGCCCCTAACGAGTCTTCCGCGACGGCACTAGACCAGCAGCCCGAGCAGCAACCGGAGATGGACTATGATGTTGCGGACGACGATGACTGGGGTGTCGAGTAGGGGAGGATCCCCAGCTGTGGGATTGCTATGCGGCAGATGCACATGGCGATCTGGCTCATGTAATCCTTGTTCGTACAAAGCGCGGAGAGCCAACGGGCTTTATGATTCATGAACACCTCTGTAGTATTAGCTGTATACCCTGGGAATAACGAGCTAGGCCAGGTGGCGGCATGAGAGGCTTGGGCAGAGGTTCTTCGGTGATCAGCCGGTTCAAGTAACCTATCACACATTATAGTACGGGACTGAGGGAGACAGGGAAATAGGAAAGAACAATTAATACCAATACTTGATACCCTCACTTTGGGCTCCCACAATGCGCCGTGATATCCAGTGCTGCGTTGTCATGACTTGCTTGAATTGGTGAGCCAAAACATTGTTGGAGCTACTGAGTCTCATGCCATGCATAATCATGGCATTCTAGGTTGTTGAGCGCACTTACTTTGGATCAAAGCCAGCCCCGACCTCGGTTTCGATGCATTCGAGGGCTGCTGGGGTCCGTCCGTCCGGAAGCGCTTAGGGCAACACCAACTTTTGAGGCACTGACAAACGCCGAGCACTCAAGTAACAGAGAAGCCCATACATACAAATCCTCCTATCAACATTCACAACATCAGCTTGCCTTCGGGACGTCATCACGGCTTGTAGAAAATGGATGTGGGGCCGAGTGCCGACCATCCCGGGCTCTTGCGCCGCATAAAACCCGGACACCAACTTGTTCGGTGGAAATGCAAAGCCCCTGCTGGACAGGCCCGGTCCCAAAGCAAAAGCAACCAGCGAGGGACAAGACTCGTGGCAACGCATAGGGTCAAGGCGTTGATTCGACCTTCAAGACTTTCCGTGCGTTTCAGGTCATGGCTTAAGCCAGAGACTTTCCAAAGCGACCAACCGATCTTGAATCCTACACAGACGGTTCTTGCTGCCCAGGTGTGCCAGGTAAAAAGCCGTGCCGCAGTGCTGCTGCTATTGAGCGTTTTCCTCGTGGCTCCAGCGCCTCGGTGTGTTTGTTCCAATCGGACATGACGAGAAGCAATGCAGGCCACGGCCACGTACTGCATCAGGCCAGTGAGACGTCCCCAGGTCAAGTGCCAGCGCAGAAGAGAGTGGGCCTGCGCAGATTGGTGGTGATTAGGAAGCTGTTTCGCTGGGCTCCGGTGGGTGTGCATGAGCAAGGGTCAGGTTGGCATATGGGTCCAAGGGACTTACTTGGGAGGCTCGAGTCTCTCTAGACAATACGCAGTAAGGGGGATAGGACGAGAGACTGTGCTGGGCGACCCTGGGTATCAATGGCCCCGCAGCCCCTCTGGGGATTGGTGCCGTTCCTCGCTAAACCGGCAAGTGCGCAGCTGACCAGACTTCCGAGATAGCGTTTGCAGCGGTCGGTGCAGCGACGCTAACTTGACCAACCAGCATGGAACCTACCTGTTCACCCGTCCCCGAGGTCGCTGTCTGGTCCAACGGAACGACAAGCTCACCCGGATGGATGGATGCATGTCACCGTCGCCTGCCCCTGGCACGACTGACCGCAACTCACTAAACCCGCTTCAGTTCCCAGCGCCGTCTGTCTCTTGTCATTTGTATTGCCTTTTTATTCTTCATTTCGGATGGCCTCCTTCCTCAACACACTACCGATACTGGCGTCAGCGTTTACATTACTGGTAACCTTGCTTGACTCAGAACCCAAGTTAAGGGACAAGGGAGCGAAATCGGGGGTGTCGGGCGAAGCGGTGCGCTTATGACGTCCTACCGCCGGACCCATTTGTTAAAGAATAATTAACCTGGTGACTAACACGACGAAACCACCTGACAAAGACACGACCATCACACACATAAAACACATTCACCAACGAAGCAAATAGAGGCATGGTTGATTTCTTCTTGCCCACCGCCAACATTGCGAACTCAACACCAGATCTGAGCCACAGCCGCGCTGTGGTTCAGACCTTGCCAACCAAACCATGCCCATATTCCAGGACGATCTCGAACGATCATCGCCCGTCGCTGATTGCCCGGATGCGACAGAATCGGTCTCTGTACAGCAGCAAACCAACATACCGTCCCTGGCGAGAAAGCTCTCCGAAGAGAGCATCCGGACCGAGCTCTGCGAGGGGCTCGTTCTTGAAAGCCCGAGACTGTCAACCCCTGAAAGCGACGCCGCCGCAGTCACGTCCGACAGAGCCGAGTTGATTGAGCGACTGAAGCGAGGAGAGAGCCCGACCTGGGTTCCGAACCGTCATGTAGGGTCACCTAGAAGCGCCAAAGACACACCCTTTGCTCACAACATTACCCAGCTTGAGTCGCTGTTCAACAACCTGCCCCGTCCAACCACGCCGCGAAGCCCCCGCCCGCGATCCAGCTCGTCCAACCTACTACCCCCGGCGCGCATCACTCCGGAAAAGACAGATGGACCACAAGAGGATGACGAGAGATTCCGCGATGGATTAAGCATACAAAGGCCAAGATCTGCTCTGCACAGCGGCGACTTCACCGAGGAACAGCCGCGGGGAAAGCAGCAAGGGGCACAGAAGGAGGAAGAGCAAAACCCCATGACCATCAAGTCCTTGGCGTCTCGCAACTCATGGATCGCAACGTCACCCCCACAAGACTTTTCGGCTTTTCAATTTGAGGGAAGAATACCCTTCCCGGTCCCGCATGATGACTACAGATCCGTGCCGTCGTCTTTATCCTCGTCGTTTTCGTCGAGTTTCGTGTACAAGCCGCCGACAAGCCCGCTCGTTCAATCCGAGAGCAATGACGACATTGACCTATCGGAACCGCTGCACAGCATCGATATCGCGGCGAGCCCCCTGAACGTCAATTCGCGCCGGCACACATTGAACTCGGTTGCGAGTTCGCCGTTTGCTGTTCCGTCCCCGATCTATCCTGCACTTCAGGGGCGCTCATCGCATCGAGGAACGACGCTGCCATATCAAGCACACCAGCCCAGGCGATCCCTTACATCTACCCCTAAGGTGATACCTTCTGGGGCCTTACCCCAAACGCCCGCATTTCTGAGACCCAGGCGACCCTCCTTCAACGCGGATACTTCTCCCTTGCAGCATGCGTCCATGGTGGGGTCATACGAAGAGAGTATCCTCCGGGGTCGAATGTCGACAACGCCATCGAAACCACTCGATTTTCTTGCGCAGATTGGTGTCTTGGGTCTGGGGAGATGTAAATCTAGTCTAAGGTGCCCGGCCCACGTCACATTGCCTTTCCCAGCCGTTTTTTACAGTTATGGAGGAACACCACAAGGTCACGTCCGATCAGAGGACGGGCCAAGCCCATACGTGGGGCAAATTGACCTCGAGAATGGACTACCGAACCCCGAAGAAGGGCAGCGTTCCAAGAGGAAGATGCAGAGCAGAGTCGCCGAGCGAAGAATTGTTGAAGACGACGTGGTCATGGGCGACGTCCCTGCAATGGCGGATGGCTCAGACTGCGAGGCACGCAGAGCTCAAAGAGCAAGGCGGAGATCGGGGTCACCAAGAGCGCCGCCGGGTGGAAGCTATCGGATACCCGAGAAGGGCCAGATACAGATTGTGATCAAAAACCCGAACAAGACGGCCGTGAAGCTGTTTCTGGTTCCGTATGATCTTGCCGGCATGGAACCCGGGACGAAAACGTTCATCCGACAGCGGAGCTACTCAGCTGGTCCCATCATGGAAAACGCGCCAGGGCTTGAAGAGGCCGCGAGCTCGGATCGACCGATCTTGCGTTACCTCGTGCATCTACACATTTGCTGCCCGGCCAAAGGGCGATACTATCTCTATAAAAGTGTTCGGATTGTTTTCGCCAATCGAGTGCCCGATGGCAAGGAGAAGCTGCGCAACGAGACTACCTGCCCGGAGCCTCGGTACACGCCGTACAAGCCCGTCCGTGTGATGCACCCGCCATTATCCAACTGCAGCGGTCCCGCGGCCACGCTCACAGCCGAGAAGGCCTTCAGGAGGCGGAGTGCGGTCTTTCCGTTGGGCCAGTCTTTGCACGGGCTCGAGGCACCGGAAGGGCTCTCGCGGTCACCGCAAGCCATGGGACAGCAATCATCACCGTCCCCTTTCAGCTTCGGCGACAACAACCAACCGGTAGAGGCCATTCCTTTCGCTCTCTCGGGGCGGACTCGGCATGGGAGCGATATTAGCGATAGCACAAACACCGCCACCACCACACCTGGCGTCCTCTCGCCGCAGTCGTCGCAAGCAAGCAGGCCGACAACCAAGGACGGCTGGGAAGAGCATATCGCTCGATACCAAAAACTGAACAAAGGTGACGTAGGATACGGCGGCAACGCGTTTGCCCCTTTTGGGCTCGGAAGCCTAGGCGGCACGGAAGGGTTACTTTCTCAGCGGCTTCGGTCCCTTGGAGTACAGAATAATCAGGGCGAGCTGCCTTCGAACAATCAGGAGAGTCGGGAGTAAATCACATATTGTACATATCACATTGATATGACGTGGTTATTGTTTTGGGTTACATAGGTTTCGGGTTTTTGTTCGTCATACGGAGTGTATCATAGAGGGCGTTTGGGTTGGGTTTTTTTTGGTTGTGGGCTAGGGCGGCACTCTTCATAGGGAACACAACACATAATTACTCATCCTGGCTTCCCAGGCGTCTTGCAACGTGACTAAACAGGACCCTTGGAACGCTCACCGGGCTAACGAAGTGGTGAAGGGTGGACGCTCGATGCCTCCAAGAACCTTAATCATCACTTGGCTAGGACCCGACGGGGACCTTTAGCTTTCCGTCGCCCGAGTGCGAGATCGATCCCAGCACTTGACGGCCTGTGTCATAAATGGACACGGACGACGCAGCTGTGAAGCGGGCCGAAGACGTACGTTCCGCACTGCGAGGTGCTTCTAGATCGGGAACGTCAGATGCTACCTTAACTGAATGCAATGTAGACCCGTATTCGAAGCCGAAGGGCAGGTGCATCGTGAGGACGCTATTCTTACGTCTTCAGACACCGGGCCAGGAGGAGCGATACCAAGCGGCGCAACTCAACTTGCAAACTAGGATATCCACACCCGTCAATGACAGACAAGGTGTGGTTGATATTTGGCTTCTTGTGTCCAACCACAACCTTTGAGATGTCATTGGGCTCTAAACCTATCTGTTGTCGATATCAGACGGTTTCACCACGCCGAGTTGTCGCCGTCGCCCGCAGCAGGGTGAAACGCGCCTCTGGTCATTTCCCCAAATGATTCCTTATGTGGTCGTATGTCTCTTAGCGCAACTCTGTTGGCTTCAGATCATCGACGTAGAATGGAACCACCAAATACGCAATGGCCGTCGTAGAACACATCGTCTTGCTGGTTATTCGGCCCATGTGGCTGTGACGCATTCTCCCACCTATGCCTCACGGCCATGCCCAAGCTTTCAAATACCCTGGGCAGGCAGTCCCCCTTCCCTCCACCCTTCTGATTCCTTGCCTGTGTAAAGAGATTCTTGGACGATCAGGTCCTTGATTACCCTGCGGCTCTGCGGATCTGGTCCGACCTCGACGACCATCTGCACCATCATCCCTGCAATCCAAGCGAAGCATCCCCTCATTCTTGCGAAGAGTCACTAGTATAAAAGGGCCAGATGAGGCCGTCTCTAGCCCTGCTGCTGTTCGCAGGACTGCTGTGTCACCAGACGGCGGCGTTGAGTGTACCGAAGAACCGCGATCGGGACTTGTCACGTCTACTGTCCGGCAAACTCGACGTCCTCGACAGGGTGCCTGGCCTGGTGAACAAGGTCCTCAGCACAACGATCCTTGTGGTGCGGGCGCTGAGAGAGACTATCGACGACAATGGAGAGACCCGGAACGACTTGGACACAGCGCTCGGGTTCAACAGCACCACAGGCTTGCCCACAGGAAATTCGACGTCGGCAGTGTCGTGTCCAAATATTGCCGTTATCTATGCGAGGGGGACGAATGAGCCAGGCATGTCTCGGGTGTTAAGGGGTTGATTTGCTAGTTAGAACGACTAACAAACATCAGGCAACGTGGGCTTTCTCACCGGCCCGCCCTTCTTCGACGCTCTCAAGACGTATATGAACGGCACTGGCACCTTGTCCATCCAAGGCGTCAACCAGTACCCCGCGGAGCCCGCGGGCTTCTTCGCGGGTGGTTCCATGACGGGCGCTACCGCAGCCGCGCAGGTGGCCTCCCGCACGCTGACAATGTGCCCCAACACGCGCCTCACCATGTCGGGCTACTCGCAGGGCTCGCAGGTGGCCCGCCTAGCCATTGCTCAGCTGACGCTCGATCAGCAGGCCCGCATCTCGAGCGTCGTGCTCTTCGGCGACCCCCTCGGCGGCGCAGCGGTCTCCGGCGTCGACGAGACGCGGCTGCTCGTTGTCTGCCACGCCGGCGACAACATCTGCGAGGGTGGCAACCTCGTCCTGTCGCCCCACCTCGACTACAGCAGCGACGCGCCGACGGCGGCGCTGTTCGTCATGCAAAGGAGCAATCTTGGCCTCGCGAGTCGGGACGCGGAAAACGAGGGGATGAGCGGGACTGTGGTGGGCAAGGTGCAGGGTATCATGCTTTCTCCCAAGCACGGAATAGCGAGCGATTAGACAGACGGGATCTTCTTACGAGACATGTTAATCATGTATTTTCACCCATTTTCTTTGCTTTTGCATCTTACAATAAAAAGAGGTATTACGATTGATTTATCGGGAGACGAACTGAAAAGGAGAAATAATACTGTTACACCCGCTTCGTGTCGAATGGGGAAACACCTGGAACCATTCTAGAATACAGTCGCTTGACAATACAGACCTCCTTCACTTGCAGGTGGAAACCCCACCACAACGAACTGCCCATGTCTAAATCCTGTACGAATAGACCCCGTTCATACACTTTGGTCATCTCACTTTGCATTCCCCTTTCCGGCGCCGGGAACGAAGTTGGCTAATAAGCCGAGGTCCCGGCGTCTTCTCATGTGTAGACGAGTCTTGCTGCTTCTTCTGCGCCAACGAAGCCAGCTCATAAGTTGATTCATTCTCTCGCCCCCCCCCCCCCCCCCCCCCCCCAACACACACACAACCTCCTTCGTTGATTGAGCAAGTAAGTTTTTGCTGTCACCGGTGGAACACCTGCTTGTCAATCGGACTGGTTGACATCTTCCCGTCGTCCGCTTCGCGCGAGTCTCTCCCAGGCGTTGTAGTCAAGGCCTATTTCCGACCAAAAGCATCCACCTCGATGCCAATACCCGTGTATGGCAAGCTCTTAAGAGCGTTCACAACTATAGGGCACTCTTCCTGGACAATCCGAGCCTTCTCCGCAGCAGCAGACGACCACGCTATCATCCCTTTGAGATCGCTGTACTCCTTGGCAAGGACGATGAGGGTGTATGACGTCGGTCGCAACCATTGCGGCGCGCTGCCTTTGCGCCGTTTTCCCAAGGGAATGTTCCCCTTAAGGCCCTTCCTGATTCGGTTAATCCTCCATCCCGTCCAGTTGGGCATGAGATACCGCTCGCACAGCCTGCAGGCATCCAACCATAAGCCCATCTGGGCAAGAACCTGACAGGCATAGTTCATGCTGTGGCCGTCGAGAAGAAAACCCGCATCCAGAAGCCGGTCAAGGGCTGTCTTTAGGCTCTTGGGGTCGCGCAGCTCCATCAACACTTCTTGCAGCGTCTCAAACGGTTTAGATAGGATGTAGCGATATCGTGGCAATACAGCACTCGGACCCTGTCTCGGGGGTAATGCTGGTTGGGCGAGTTCTAAGGTTTTTTGCCAGATAAGCTCCCAATTGTCCTTGGCGGCGTCGTACTTCTTCTCATGGACGTTCTCCTGCATAAGTGAGTGCAGCATGTCGATTGACAGATTCTTGGGTCCTAACATGACGCCCTCTTGGCCCAGACTCGCTTGCATCTCTCGAAGCTCTCTGACCAAATCAAAACGGCGATATCGAGTGAAAAGGACCGTGGCCCTGATAAGAAGTTGACGCAGGCGGAACAGCGAGTCCGCACCTTTCGCTGCATGTTGGGTGTTGTTAACAGAGGCCGCGTCCATCTCCATTGCCTTAACATCATCGGCCAATCCCCGGATGTACTCCATCAAGTCCTTTACCGCATCGACTTCCTTTGACATTTGGCGGTTGCTTAACAATTCATCTTTAAGCAAGGCGCGGGCCTGAGCAAGACGGAAACCAATCGAAGGCGGAAGTCCAGCATGAAATCGCATCATCTTGTCAAGCTTGTTCGCCCATCTCAGCTGGCGCAAGCGCAGACCACCTTCAAGGACAGTGGTAAAGTGCTCCTGGGTCAGAGTGGACGGTTGTTTCCGAACAAGTGAGCGCAGCACTTTGTACGCGGGGTGAACCTGCTTGCAATCCACCAAGGCTTTCAACAACAGCTGGTGGGTTTCGGACGTCATCTGTATATTGTGTTGCTCCATGAGAGCAACGATGCCACACACCTCGTCAAACTCCCGCCGATCCGAATATCGACGCAACAAGGCGTTCCAGAGCTTGGCTTGATCACCAGAGACGTTTTTTTCCTTGGCATTTATACAAGTTACCAAAGCGTCTTGAAACCGATTGTTTAAACAGTAGGCTTTGACCACGGCCTTGAGAATCTCGACGTCGATCTCGACGTTATTGTGCCGAGCTTTTTGGAGAAGGTTAAGAGTGAATTCCAGGTCGCCCTTGGACGCCGCCAGCGACATGATGGTCGCAAAGGTCACTGAATTGGGCCGAATATGATGGCCGAACTCCTCGAAGACCGATATGGCGCGGTCATATGTTGCACTCTGCAGACAGCTCTTGAGGAGCAGATTCCAGTGATACACGGTCACCGGTTTTCGGTGTTTGTATCTCAGCTCGTCAAAAACGCGCCGAGCGCTGTCGTAATCCCCCAGGGTTGCGTACGCATTCATCATTTGGCCGAAGATTTCAGCTACTTTGGACCCGTGCCTCCGACGATAGGTGTCTACTAAGCGCTCGATAGACTTGGTGTCGCCGCGTGACGCGTAAAACCCGAGATACCTCTTGAAGGCATGTCGATCCATCCCGCTGGAGCCAGCTCGGTGAAAATCCTCATAAACTTGCTCGAGGCCTAGCACGTCGTCAGGGATAAATATATCCAACATGCAATGCAGGATTCCATAAGGAATTGCCTTGTTTGCCAATTTTCGGTAGACGCGGTATATATCCGGCAAATGATCTCGCTGACCCCGTTGCCAGGCTTTGCGGAAATAGGTGACATACATGTCGGCCGAGTCAACGATCTGAAGAAGTGGCAGGGCCTCCTCTGGTTCGCAGGGCCGCTGAAGCGCAACTTCGGCTGTTTGCCTGAGAAGTGCATTGAGCATTTGCGCCACCTCTTCCTGCATTTTGGACGCCCTTATAAACCGTGCAAAGTCAATGAGAAGCTTTCCGATACCAGGGACGGAGGACAAGCGCAGGCGCTTAACATAGCTGTCGCAATACGCATTGCTTGCGTGGTAAGACACCCAAACGTCTTTGACCATATCCCAGTCAGCATCCCTAAACGCGTATTGCAGCAGCTGGTTCAGCCCGCCGGCCATGCCCTTTGCGCTCAGCCCCTTATGGTATAACGAAAGTGCTTCAATCCGACGCCCAAGGCGGAGGTGCGCCGCTACAGCAGACGTTAGAATACTCGTCGTCCATTCGGTGGCATCTATCTCCGAGAACAAGAGCGACACCCTGCGAGCGTCGATAAGGCTTCCGGATCGATGAAGGTACACGATGACTTCGGGGCGGAGCTCCGGCTGCAAGCTCGGTTCTAGTTGCGAGTAGAGCTGCCATATTGAACCGAAATATTCCGTGTTCCTCTCAGCCATCAACTCCCTCATCAAGTCTGGTCGCGATCCTGCCCCATCATACGAGGGGCCGCTGTGGGTGTCATGTATACCCCTAATCGCATCTTCTTCTTCCGCTTGTTCGGGATTTTCATGGCCAAGTTCTTGGTGCTCTTCTATCACAGATGTACTGGTGGCCTGGCCGTGTCGTATCGATTGGGAATCGTGATTCTGCAACGGGCTCGCAACAGTGGACGAGGTGAAAGGTCTGGACCGACGAGGAAGTCGGTGAATAGAAGCTTGATGGTGGTCGTACAGGCCTGGGGCAAGCTTACGCAAGAACGTGACCGTCCCACTGGGATAGAGGAAGTCGAGTAAAAAGGTGGATGCCGCGAGGGTTTCGGGTGACGGTATTGGCGATTTGGGGGCGGGAAAGCTGACACTGTCGGGCTGCGTAGCCACCGTAGAGCTGGAGATGTCGATAGCAGCGGCGCCATGCTGCCAGAAGCCAGTGTGAAGTTTGCGCCGACTTCTCAGTGATCGTGAGGCGGATGGAAGAGCATGAAGACTGGTGCATGATTCCAGTGTTGCCGCCGTTCTCTCAAGCATTGGTATTGAGACTGTCGCCAACGCAATATCTGTCGACTATGTATAGCGGGCATCAAAAAGACTCGGGAACATGCTGGTTTGGAGGTCGTCGGCACCGATGTTTGATGTTGTCGCGTCAAGTAGTTTGGAAAAGTTTTGGGGTGGAGTCCCGGAGGACAAAATCGAAGACGTCGACGATTGAAGGTGTTTGTCCGAGCTAAGCCGGCCACCTTACTGAGGTGGTCACGCGATGAGAGCGGCAACTGGTGTTGGGACTTTCCCACTAGATCACTGCCAGATAAAGAATTGGTGAAGTGTGCAAGCAACTAGGACAGGAACAGCCGGGGAACATGAAAACTTGAATCTATCTCAATAGTACCATATCAGCCCATATCCAGCCGTCATGTACTTTTTTCTGTGAGCTTCGGCCAATCACGAAGAGTGATGGAATATCCTTGACCCGAAAGCCGACCTACAGGGTGGGACCGCCTACCTACCTAGGTACCTGGGTACCTAGACGTGGCTTCCTGGGGGGTGTTATTAGTACTCTATCCCACCACACCTCTAAATTTTGATCCCACATTACAGTCACTGTTTGTTGCGCGCAAGTAGAAAGGACACTGAGAACCTCAAGTGTAAGCCCCACCATCTCCCCGCGCAGCTGCAGAGGTCAGTCGCGACGTCTACTCCCACCGAGACCTCCTGGCGACAACCGAATCGACCGAGTTCGACGCCGCCATAAGAAGGATGGATATCACCAAGTTTGTTGTGTCCGGCCGGGATGCGGCGCTACTGTACGGAGACTACGCAACATACCAGAACCAGTTGGCCAAAAAGTTGCTCAACAGCCGCAAGAAGCTAGGCATCGCCACGAGAAACCGCGGCAAATTCAGCAAGAAGGGTGATGTCACTGCCACGCAGATTGCAGAGAATCATGAGTATGTTACACCATTCGAAGGCCTGTTGGCTGTGATACTAATATCATTAGGTACATCCACCTGTTGCTGCTAATGAGCGAGCGCGCCTGGGCCAACGCTATGGCAATTAAGTCATCTCACGCCTCGGATGCAAAGGGCGTGACCGGCAAGACCAGGTCACACATCGTGTCCCGACTCGAGAAAGCAGCGAAGACTGCCGAGCAACTCGTCGAACTCCTCTCGCAGTCGGATGCTGGCGCCACCCAGAATGACAAGCTCGAGTCCCGTGCTTACGCAGCCCAGATCCGCGGTGCTGCCCAGTTCGAGAAACAACATTGGGAGCCATCTCTGAAGAGCTATGCTGTTTCGCGCATCATCTACAACGCCATGGCTACCTCGACAAAGGGCGACATCTTCAAGGACCTTCTTTCCGATACCATTGACCCCTCAATCCGATATGCCGCCTACCAGCTCAAGACGCCACGTACGATACCTATTCCTGCGATTGCGAGTCGCGCGTTTCCCCAATCCGATATTGCACTAGTGCAGCAGATCAATGAGATTGACCCAAACTTGCTGAAGCAAGCGCAGACAGAGGTCGCTAAGGAGGGCGAGGGTGCCGAGAACGCTCCTAGGACGCTCACGTGGCGCTCGCGTGAGGTCCAGATCGAAGATGCTGCAATTTCTTTGGCGTGGGGCAGAGTGGAAGAGGCCAAGGCAAAACTGTCTGAACAATGGCCCTCTCTTTCCAATGCTGAGCCCAGGGACATGGCCGCCGCGTATGACGACATCCTCGAGGCGACACAGGATGCCGCCGACGCCACGAAGGAAGCCATTGACGAGTTGCGGGGTGAGGGTGTATCTCAGGGTGATTCCCGTATGCAGAGTTTGCAGATCACCCGAACTGCCGTTAACTACGAGATGATCAGCTGGCGTATCGGCCGAAACCGTGTGCTGACGGGTCGAGACGACGGCCTGGCCGAGAACTACAGCTCATTGCGCAAGAAGTCGAAGGACGGGACCGCAAAGAAATCTAAGGAGGAGACACCCGGCCGCAAAGCAGCCAAACTGAAGGAGCTCGTTGCCCTCTATGAAGGAACCTTGCAGAGTCTTGAGGCTGCGCGAGAGTTGCCCGGGGTGGCCAATGACGAGGATCTTGCCGAGCAGCTTGAGTCGACCGCACAGTATTTCCAGGCACTGAAGTGAGTTTTACGCCCCTGGGTGGTATTGTACTGCGCTAACAGGCACAGATCTCTCTCCATCGCTCGCTCCCACGCCATCATTGGCAACACCGTCAACGCCCTGGCTCTCACCAAACACGCCACCAGCGAAGCACAAGAGGCTGCCTCGACGCTCGCCGGTGGGGCCCAACACAACATCAACTCTCCCCGTAACATCGACGTGTCCAGCAACGACGCCAAGGCCCTGACAAACTTCCTCCAGGGCGAGCTTCAGCGTTACCGTGCACTCGTGCACCTCTCCAACCTGCTCAGGAACGCGGAGTCAAGCGAAGACGACACCAAGAACGTCCCACTGATTGAGCGGCTGCGGGAGTATCCCTCGGGAGGCACAGACCTCGCGAACCTCGTCAACATTCCACCCAAGCTGTCTACCATCCCTGTGAAGCCGATATTCCTAGATGTCGCCTGGAACTATATCGACTATCCCGGTAAGGAGCCGCAAGAAGTCGCGCCACCTAACCAAGACGAACATGCCTCCGAGAGTGGGACCAAGTCGCAATCGCAGAAGAGAGGATGGTTTGGTTTCGGTAGATAGATCAATACAAGATAGCCCCTGGCTACCTCTTTCCCTTCCTCACACTATAGACAACGCGTTTTCTCGGTAGTATCATGCCCCAGATTCACTTGGCGTACAGAATCATCGATTGTGTCACGGAGTAATTCAAAAATATACCAAAAAAAAAAGTTTGTTTTGAGAGGGGATGTAGAATTATCACATCTAGCTACTCCAGGTTCGGTTTGGTTTTGTACATGTGCAACCCCGTCTTATCCCCTTGATCCATGCCATCCATCGATCATATCATGAATACCGAAAAGGTATCTCGTTTGGATGTTTTGATGCTCCAACGCCGGTTCCGCCGACCGCAGGTATTAACAAACATTTGTAAAAGGGGTAACAAGGAAGAGAGAGCTCGGCCGGATACGACCAAAATATGAGTACAGTTGGAATACAAACACATGAGGGAAGCAAATCTATGCCCACCCAAACTAATCAAACATGCTGCTGACAAGCCATCACTGGCTTGCGGGGTGGTGAATAAGTCGAACAAGGAAACTGTACCAAAGCATTTAAGGCTTCTTGTCGCCGTCCTTGTTCTCAGAGGCGTTGGCATCCTGAGCAGGCTGCTCGCCGGACTCGGCACGGGCCTTGTGCATCTTGTCAAAGAGGTTCAAGCTGGCAACCTGGAGTTCGTCGGTCTTCTCCTTGATCTCGGCAGCGGTGGCATTGCCCTCGCCGGCCAAGCTCTTGGAAACAAACTCGCGGAGGGACGCAATCTTCTCACGGATGCCATCAGCCTCAGTCTTGTCGAGCTTGTCGGCATACTCGTTCAGGGCACGCTCGGTGTCGTTCAAGACACTGTCGGCACGGTTGGCGGCCTCAATGGCACCCTTGCGCTCCTTGTCGGCCTCGGCGTACTTCTCAGAGTCCTCGACCATCTGCTGAATCTCAGAGTCGGAGAGACCAGAGCCGGAAGCAATGGTGATGGACTGGTCCTTGTTGGTAGACTTGTCCTTGGCATGGACATGGACGATAGAGTCGGCGTCAATGTCGAAAGTAACCTCAATTTGAGGAACACCGCGGTGAGCAGGGGGGATGCCAACCAGCTGGAAGTTGCCAAGAAGCTTGTTGTCACGGACAAGCTCACGCTCACCCTGATAAACCTTGATCTCGACAGCGGTCTGGAAGTCGGCAGCGGTAGAGAAGGTCTGAGACTTCTTTGTGGGGATGGTAGTGTTACGGTTGATGAGACGGGTGAAGACACCACCGAGGGTCTCGATACCCAGGGAGAGGGGGGTGACATCGAGGAGGAGAAGGTCCTTGACCTCACCGGAGAGAACGGCACCCTGGATGGCGGCACCAATGGCAACAGCCTCGTCAGGGTTGACGGACTTGGCGGGGTCACGGCCAAAGATGCTCTTGACAGACTCGGCGACCTTGGGCATGCGAGTCATACCACCGACAAGGATGACCTCCTGGATGTCCTTAGCCTGGAGGTTGGCGTCCTTCAGGGCCTTGCGGACGGGGTCAATGGTACGGGTAATGAGGGGGTCCATCATCTTCTCGAGCTGAGCGCGAGTAAGCTTCTGGTTAATGTGCTTGGGACCGGAGGAGTCGGCGGTGATGAAAGGCAAGTTGATGTCGGTGGAGAGGGAAGAAGAGAGCTCGATCTTGGCCTTCTCGGCAGCCTCACGGATACGCTGAATGGCCATACGGTCACCAGACAGGTCGATACCGGAGTCCTTCTTGAACTGCTGGACGAGGTGGCGTACAAGGTGGATATCGAAGTCCTCGCCACCAAGATGGGTGTCACCGTTGGTAGACTTGACCTCGAAGACACCGTTCTGAATCTCGAGAACGGAGATATCGAAGGTACCGCCACCAAGATCGTAAACGGCGACGACGCGGTCCTCCTCCTTCTCCAGACCATAGGCCAGAGCAGCGGCAGTGGGTTCGTTGACAACACGCAGAACGTTCAGGCCAGCAATCTGACCGGCATCCTTGGTAGCCTGGCGCTGAGAGTCGTTGAAGTAGGCGGGGACGGTGACGACGGCATTCTTCACGGGCTTCGAGAGGTAGGCCTCGGCGGTCTCCTTCATCTTGTTGAGGACGAAACCACCAATCTGCGAGGGAGAGTACTTCTGGTCGCGAGCAGAAACCCAGGCGTCACCATTGGAGTGCTGAACGATCTTGTAAGGCACCTCCTTGATATCTCTCTGGACCTCGGGGTCGGTGAACTTGCGACCGATCAGACGCTTGGTGGCAAAGAGGGTGTTCTCGGGGTTGACGACAGCCTGACGCTTGGCGGCAACACCGACGAGACGCTCGCCATCCTGGGCAAACGCGACCACGGAGGGCGTCGTTCGTGCACCTGATGGGTCAAGTTAGCCTGGATGATGCGGTACGAGATGGCGCCTGAATGTATTACTCACCCTCAGAGTTTTCGATAATCTTGGGGATCTTGCCCTCCATCACTGCGACGGCGGAGTTGGTCGTACCGAGATCGATACCGATCACAGAACCGGTGACCTTTCCATCAGTCGCCGTTGACTCGTAACGAGCAAACTTGGAAGCGAAAGGCTGACGGGCGAACCCTGCAGAGCGGGCGGCGGAGCTAGCAGCTCTGGGGAGCTATTGCGCGTTAGCATGCGAACTCTGACGGGAGTCGCGACAGCTATGCTGAAGAAGACTTACAGCTCTGGAAAAGCGTGCAGACATCATCTTGCCTGGCTATGTGTGGGTATAACAGAAGGGGATGGAGGAAGACAAACGGGATTGCACGCGAGAGGGAATGGAAAAGAGGTTATTATAGAGTACAGAGTGGATGGATTGGGGGGAGGGAGGAGGTGGATGGAGGATGCGAGGAAATGATGATGGCAAGGAGAGTTCGAAATTTTTTTGACCCGAAAATGATGCATGCCCCCAGTCATAGAAGCTGACCGAAGACCGCAGGCCGGGGCGTCGGCTCTGGTTATTCCGACAAGTTGTCATCCACCAACTGAAATTCCTAGGGGAGGTGGAGGCACGTAATGCAGCGACGAATGAATGGCAGGAAAAAGCTGGAGGTGACAGGATCGTCCGGCCATCGCAGGTACCTAATGGACGTGGCGCTAACGGGCGTGGCAGCGACCAGGGTCGGAGCTAGGACAGCTCGGCAGTAAAATTTTCAAGACCCTGGTGGTCTTTGCTGTGGCGGCGCGCGAGTCCTGACGGGTTGATGCTTTGCTGGGGCGTTGGTGGTCCATTCCCCCCATAGCCAGAACGTGAGGATGCAGACGGTTGCCCTTATGTCCATCCACCACTGACTGGTTATTCATGACACGGGGAAGGTGATTGAATTGAGCGTGTTTTTGGGTCGTATTGGCTTTTGCGATAGCCGCTCCTATGCTTGCTGGAGACAGCGCAGCCTCTTGTTCCACTCCAGACAGTCGTAAGCTATGCAAAATCGAGCGTAGACTGTATAACAGTCGCAGCAGAACTAGGTACCTACAGATGCAGTACGGAGTGATAGTACCGAGCAAACAGGCATCGCGGAACACGGGCCCGATCCCATAGGCCTCGATTGTAGCGATTCCGGTGCCGATAGTGGATCCCGCCGGTGGGCTAGAGATGCCGAGGTTGACTCGCCAGTGAAGTATAAACTAGGACTTCACGACCGGGTAAGAAGACCTCTTTGACACCGCCTAGAGCACCCCAGTTTTGCAGTGACACCGTATTCTATTCAAGACAAACTCCTTGACTCATCAATGCCTTGACGCTTTTCCATAACGGCAGCCACGGGTGTTGAAGAAGTCTCAACACCAAGTAATTGTTCTGCTATGCCAATGAATACAGAAGAAGGAAGGCACTGCTGCCACTTCTGCGTAGCTAGGTATGCTTATGGGTAATTCTGCCGACCCGTCAGTGACAGCACCGACGTCTGGTTTCACAAGCAAACATATACGTAAACTTATCGTTGACTGCTTGATACTCTGACTTGAAGTATGTCGTACCAACTTCGAGACCCGTCTCCACTAACGCACATAGCGAACATTGTAGGATTAATACCGATTAGTTATCGTTCGTGTCATAAAACATACCCTCATAGGACGGTATAAGACCCAACAACGAAGGTGGCTACCCGGTATTTCTTCGCCAAACTCATCAATAGGGTCATTCTGAAAGTCGCACTTCGTCCAACGCTAGCCCTCTGCTTCCGTCTATTGCTAGCGTTTTTTTTAAGGGTCTCTAAGTAGTACCGTGCACTCACCCCGCTGAAGTGACCTTCTGAGAAGCAAACTGGATCTGCGAGTATCAGTCTGGAAAGTCGTGACGATTCCAGTCGCAAATTGCCGGGTTTCGGGCCACATGTAGTTAAATGCCATGTCTGGGTGACAACACGAGAGAGATGGTATAGGAGGCATCTTCCAAGCACAGGAATCCAGCCAAGGTCTATTCATACGGGCCACCCGCGTATCAATTCAACAGCACAGGTAAGAAGTCGAGGTCCGAGCTTGAAACATAACACCACAGCTGCAACCTGCAGTACTGTGGATTCCTAGGGCATTACTGTTTAGATCGTGCATGACTTCCGACTGGCAGCAGCAGTCTATTTCATTATAGCCCGGTATGCCTGCAATGATAACTCCAAGACTAGTCGGCCTAGTCTGACGTCGCCGTCATCACAGACACTGTGTTGCGTCGACAGACCACCAGGAGGTGGGTCCACAAGCGGACAAGGTTCAATGTCATTGGATGTGGATCGGGGGATCTTGAAATTATGGTTGATGGAGAGATGACACCTAGACCCGTTATTTGAGGCTACCTATCTGGAGATGGGAAGTTCCTCGAAGGCTTCAGGGGGGAAAGGGGTCGTATCTTCATATAATACCTGGACTCTCAGTACCTAGGCAGCAGGAGCTTCGGTTTAGACCCCAAACTACGGATACCTAGGTACCTAAATTCCAAGCAGCCCAGCCTCCTGTCGCACCAGCCCGCGCAGCAGCTTCAGCAGAGGAAAGAGTACGTACATACTGCAGAGGTACCTCACCTCGGAAAACTACAAGGCGATTACCTAGGAAGGATATCAGCGCCGACCAACTGGGACCAAGGGGAAACCAGAACAGGCCCCTCCCACCATACACGGACGTTATGCGGAAAGTTGCCTCACGTCTTGCGCAACTCACCTAGCCCTCCGTCTAGATATTCAACATCCAAATCATCCCGGCTTCGTCAGTTGCCGACTTCTCACCGTTTCTTGTCGCCGTACTAATCAATACCCCGATTGCATCGAGTGCACGACCGGCGCACCTCGACCTCGCGTGCTTCGGCAGCTACATGCTTGCTTCCCGACACAACCTTTGGCCGCTCCACAAGCTATCATGGCTGTGAAAGATGGCGTCTCGTATGTACTGACCAGAACTGGCATCGCACCTTGCAATACTAACGCTTCGGCTTTGCAGCTACTACCCGACGAACAACCTGATTTCGAAGAAGCCGCGGAAACACTACCGCATTCCTGTTCGATCTCAGTGTGTCCTCCCATCGCCAATCGTCAAACGCGCTTGCAGGCGTAAAATGCTAATCAGAACCTCTCGTCAGGCACTGGCAACTACGATCCCTCATCAGCGCCGAGAAACAAAACTTTGTCTACTTTCCCGGAGGCACCGGTAGCAACCACGTCCAACGGCTCAACACAGCGACCAAGGTATGCGAGACCGTCAGGTTTCTCTCCTTTTCGCCACGGTGCCTGGTGGCTGAGAACGGCTGGGTATGTTGCGGAGGAGAGACGGGCGAGTTCACGGCGATTCAGACGGACAGCGCAGGCGATGATGACAACAACCTTGGTCTCCAACTCAATCTCGAACCCGACGTTAGATTGCCCCTCGGACTCGACTCCGACTCTGCTCGGCCAGAAGACAACATCTTTTCTCTCCTCAGCCAGGCGCGGCGGACGAATATGAGTAGCAGAACGAACAAAAGCGTTGTTGCTAGGAGCCAGAAGCTGGCGCGTGACCGCGTCAACTGCATAACGATGTGGTTTCCGCCAGCCGCCGGCCCGATGCACCATGGTGCCTATACCGAACCTGCTGCCGTCCTGGCCAACAACGACAAGACGGTAGTCCTGGTCGGACTGCACGACTTTGAAAATCAGGAGAAGGTTGAGCCACTAGATGTTGTAACGTACCCGGACTATGTCAACCGCGCCATCATTTCGCCCGACGGCCGTCTTCTGATTGCGATTCTTGACGACCCCTTCTTATACATTCACCACAGAGTTGAGGCAGCCGTTGATGAGAACGGCCCATTCAGAAGCGACGACAAGATTGAGTACCGCTGGGAGCTGTGCGGCAAAATCCTGCTCAAGAGTCAGCGGAGAGACGACGGGTCCGACAGCAGAGGGAGTTTTGCGGCATGCTTTTCCAATACTGGGGCATACTTGGCTGTGGGAACACAGTACGGCACGATCTCTGTATTTGATGTCGAGAGCCTCACTGACCCTGACGTTGCCGATCCCTTGTTGACCTCTTTTACGTCATCACGTCCGATGGCTGGATCCGGGGCTGTCCGCGACATGGCTTTCTGCCCTGGTCCTTACGATCTCTTGGCCTGGACAGAAGACCGCGGACATGTTGGCATTGCCGATCTAAGAAGTGGCTTCGTGCAGCGTCAAGTCCTGGATATCAGTGCTACCGACGACTACGACCACATTCCCGTCCTCGACCGTGCCACGATTGACCCTCGTCTGCTTGAGGGTCGTGGTGAACCAAGTGATACTTTATCCTCCATTTTACCAGATGCTAGCGAGATACGTCGGCGGCGCGGTGATGGCCCAAGCGGCCGCCACCACCTAGCCCTTACGCCCGATGAGACGCGGGTGCTCGAGGCTTTGCAGGAGGAGCGCAGGAGACGTGAAATGAGAGATCGAATTTCGGCAAGAGTGGCAGAACCAGGGCCACAGCAATCGCCGATGCAATTCTTTGGAGCGATGCCCCCTCTGGGAGGGAGAGGGGCCCGGATTGATCCTGAAATACTGGCACGGGCACGAAATGGGAGTGCCGCGCGTCGAGAGCAAACGGCCTCGATGCGGACAACCCGCGAGCGTACGGCTGTCGAGCCCGGAGAGCCCAGTGACGATGCCAGCCAGAACGTATCCAGGGCTATTGGTGACCTCCTTGGCAACATTCGCGACTCGAGAGAACGAGCGCAAGAACGCATACGGACTACTCAACGGCTTATTTTGCAGTCCAACACCGATCGAGAGCGCATGCTGGACTTGGCGAATCCTCATTTGCCCAGGCGTTCGGCGAGCATACGGCCAAGCGACACTTCGGCGGCGGCGGCGGCGGCGGCGGCACAGCGTGGCACAGGCGGGGTTCGCAGCCTGACGTCTTCCGGGAGCGGCTGGGCAGACCTTGAGGCTCTCTACAGCCTTTCCTTCGAGAGCAACATCCAGGATCTGCGGCAAGCCGTCAGAGACCGCGACAGAGACCGGGACCGCACGTCAATACTTCCGCTACTCAACTCCGTTGCGATTCGCGAGCTGGAGGAGCGCAATAGCCGTCGGCGTGTCGTGCTTGAGCATGGCGTTCATGAGGCTCCTCCCGAGCCCGATAATACCGCCGGAGTTTCGTGGAGCGGGAATGGCAGGATACTGTGAGTGACTTGAATGACGCAATAGGTAGTGTTTACTGACAACCAACCCTAGGTACGTGGGGGCTGAAAACGGCATTTACGAGTTCCATGTTGATGTACAAGGCCGCAAGTTCCACCCCAGCTTGACGTTGCGGTAGACATGTGCGATGGCTCGAATTTTTCTTCAGGCGTTGGCGGGCCCATGATGGACTGTGTCAGTGACTCTACAGCCGAATATGAATTGATTGTTAGGACGGCGTCGCGGAGCTTGGCTTGGCTTGGTTTGGTTTTGGGGGAGGCATGGCTATCCCCCCCCCCCCCTTCTTTTCTTCTCTTTTCTTACGCCACATGCATTCATCGACAATGAAAGGAGACGAAAAAGAAGGGAAAACCCGAAGGGTGAAAAAAGGGTCCTAAACGTTGTATAAGAGAAAGCCCGGCCTTCTTTGCTTTATTTTTCTTTTGGATGAATGCTCCTTTTCCACGTAGTCTCTACCACATGTATGTGTATTAATACAATCCATCAGAGCATACACGTCCTGGAGGTTGGCCGGCGGCGTTGAGCCGGAAAACAGAACGCCCAAGCACGTTAACCGTATAGTATCTTGTCGACCCGTTCCGCGATTGCCAGACAGCTAGTGAGGCCGGGGCTCTCGATGCCCAGCAGATTGACCCATCCCTCGTAGCCGTCTTCCTTCCTGATGATGAAGTCGTGGAACCCCGTGCCGTGCGCCACAGCCCCGAGCCTCCCCAGCTTCGGACGGATGCCCGCGTAATCCGGCTCCAGGCAGCTCTCGTCGAGACTCGGCAGGTACTTCTTGATGGCCTCGATGGCCTCCGGCATCCGCGCGCCGTTGACGGCCAGGTCGTCGGCCGAATCGACCCATTCAACGTCCGGGCCGAAGCGCACCCGCCCCGCGAGGTCCAGCGTCAGATGGGTGCCCAGCCCGCCGGCGCCAGGCTCCGGCGCCGGGTAGATGAGCCGGCCGACCTTGGGCGCCGAGCTGGCGTACGAGAAATAGTTACCCTTGGCGTAGTGCATGGCGCGCCGCTCCGCGGCGGGCACGATCATGTTGTGGACGTCGACGGCGCCCAGCCCCGCGGCATTGACCAGCACCTCGGCAGTCACGGCGCTTTCCTCCCCCGTCGCGGGGTCACGCACGCGCACCTCCCACCCGGCGCTGCCCCTCTGCCCCAGCGGCGTCACCCCCGTCACGGCGGAGCTCAGGGCCACGACGCCCCCCGCGTTCTCGAAGAGCCCCATCAGCCCGATCATCAGGCCGTGCGAGTCCACGATGCCCGTCGTCGGGCTCTCGAGCACGCCCGTCTCGGCCTTGACGTCCGGCTCCAGCCGCCGCGCCTCCTCGGCTGCGACCCAGCGCACGGGCACGTGGATCTCGTTTTTGCAAAAGCCATGCACGCGCTCGAGGGCCTCGCGCTGGGCGTCCGTCTGGGCGACGATCCACTTGCCCGTGTTGGCGTGTGCGACGCCGCGCTCGCGGCAGAAGGCGTAGAGCAGCTCCTTGCCGCGGATGCAGAGCGATGTCTTGAGGGTCCCCGCCCCGTAGTAGATGCCTGCGTGAATGACCTCGCTGTTGCGCGAAGAAGTCTCTGTGCCGACGGCGCCATGGCGCTCGAGGAGTACCGTCGACGTCCCCGGGCGCTGGGCGAGGGCTCGCGCCGTTGCGAGTCCTACCGCGCCACCTCCTACGACCTATTTGGGGGTTAGCACGAGGGCGGAAAGAAGGGTTTCATCATGGCGGGAAAGTCTCGCCGAGGCGCGCGGACTATCAACTCACAACGTGGGTGAAGTCGGCTCGTGTGGAGGCCGTGGTCGAGAACCCTCGCCACGCCTGCTGGAGCCCATTGATCGATCTGAGAGACGACGAACTTAACATGATGGCTAATCGAAGCGGCCTGGCGCTTGTCCGAGGCAAGGACCTGAGAAGAGATGTTTATACACGTTCCCACTCGCCGATGACGCAACGGGACCAGATGCAAGGACCCCGATATCGCATTTGCTGCTAGTCATGTACCCGAAGATTGGTGGATAGAACCGCCAAATGGAAGTAGCCCACTATTGTTGGCAGCCGCTTCGCAACAGATGTTGTTATCACATCGACCGCGATATCTCCAGCATTGCAACCGATAACTTCCGACCCTGGTGCTGGTCGAGGAGCCCGTTGACAGAAGAAGTAAAACCAGTATTGCCCAGCCAAACGATGCCAATGGTCGTCAATTAAAGTCAAGAAAAAATGTGGTCTCATCGATTAAAACAGTAGGTATACAAGTAGGTATCTATGTGCATCCAACCCTCGTCTTTTGGCTATTAGTCTACGCCGCCATCGTCACTCTTGACGGTCGGCTTGGGTGATGTCTTGCGGGCCAATCCTCCCCTGCCTACAATCTTCTCCGTCCAGTTCCAGGTCCCGAGCGGCGTTGTCGACCGGTTGCCATCCTTGTCCTTGAACTCAGCATCCCTGGGGCTCACGGCGCTGGCTGTCGTGGTCGTTGTCTCGCTATCATCGCTGTCCGCCCAGTCTCGGTCACTCCACGTCACAGAATCAACACGTTCTGGCGGTGGCCGAGGCGATCTGGCGATTCGAGGCGGGCTGGCGGATGAGCTGCGCGAGGACGAGCGGCGCTTGGGCGGCGCTTGCATGTCCGGCACCATGTCTTCGGCCTCGCGTCGAGAAGTTGGAGACAGCAGTCCAGCGGCCGGCCTATCAATCGCGCCGTCTTCGGATGCCACGCCGCTATCCCTGACCTCGTCGCCGTACTTATTCGGTGCCTGGCCAATGTCGAGTGCTAGCTCTCCGGAAGACTCGTCTTCGTCGCGAGTCCTCGCGGTCGCCGAATCGCTGAAGTGAGCATCCACCAGATGTTTTACAACAGGCCAGCCGTAAGCATTGGCGAACATCCGGCGCACGATAATATTGTTGTGCGCGTCGGGCTCCAGCTTGACGAGGACTTTTCGCCAAGCCAGGCCACGGTGGTAAGCTCGAGCGATTTTCTCTTCAACGCGCATCTGCGAACCATCCACTTCCTCATCGGGCTCTCTGTTGGGACTCATATTGGGCTTGTCGTCGTAGTCCCGCGCCGAGTCCACGGTGCCTTCATGTGAGAAACGTTGGGACGGGTGGGGTGACGAGTCGGTGCTAGTCCTCGATCCGCCAGAACCTGTCGACGCAGCCCTCCTGAATGTGCTTCGGCGAGACGCCAGCGAGCCCGTAGGTTTCTTCTTCAACGGCGGCGGCGGGATATCTGATGGGTGGTAGACGCGGTCGTGAAAAATGGCCCTGGGGCGCTTGGAGGGGTCGATGATGTACTCTGTAGTGGGGATCTTGGGGTTGATCAGATCGTGCGCAGACTCGAAAAAGCTCGTCCTCGGCGGCGCAATGTGGTGGTCTCGCTCGAGCTCATGGCCTGCAGTGACCCTGGACCCCGACGTCTGCGAGATTTCGTCAAAATTGATCGTCTGACTCCGCTTATAGATTTTGTGCTGCTTGTTGGACATGCTGGGCGTCTTGGTTTGCGGTTTTGGCTGTGCATGTTCGTTGCCCTTGAAAAGGGAGAAAAAGCCAGCAAACGGTCCATTATTGGCACCGCCCTTTGCGTCCTCGGGTCCTACTTCGTTGTACGGCGTGGGGACCGAACGAAGACTAGCTTGATCATCTTCCATCATTGCGTTCCGCGGCGGCTGCGGTACTTCGACAGCGTTGGTCGGGAACGTCGGCGTAATATTGCCAGACTGGTCATCCGAAGGCTGTGCCTCGTCTGGAGGGAGGGCGCTGGATCTCCGTGGTGTAGGCGCCAAGCTTCCGCCGGTCAGTTCTGCCCAGCCAGCACCAACAAGTGTCTCGACCAGCCCGGCGTCTCGTCTTGCCTTTTCCACACGGCCCAGACCCTGCCAATCGAGGAACAGAAGACAGCTGGTCCTCAACGGGACGATGCCGTCGTTGACCACGTTGGAGTAGACGGTGCGGTTGCGGAACTTCTTAAGCGCCGTATGGGCCGGGCCAGTCGGCAGAATCCGCAGCAGAGGCTTCGACTCGGGTTGGACTTCACCCATGACCCTTTTGTGTGCGCTTTCTCCGAGATTGCTGACGATGGCGCCCCAACCGCTCCTCGCAATGGTAGGCGCCCGCCACGTAAGACCAAGATCCTGGCCCGTTCTGCCGACCAAGCCAAAGTCCAAGGCAAACTTGACGTATAAGGGATTTTCATTGCTCAGGCCGAGAAATGGTGTGGCAAGGGCGACAAAGTTGATTGGTTTGATTAGGGTAAAGAATTCTGGCGAATGCTTCTGGATATATGCAACTGCGTATGTCTGTATCAGGCCGCCCAAAGAGTGGCCGATGAAACTGATGCTGGTAATCTTAAACGGACGCTTTTCGCTGGCTTCTTCTTTGTGTATCGTGCTGTGTTTGTGAGCTGCCTTGCTGTCTGGTTCGGATTTGTTGAAGACTGCAGCAACTGCAGTCTCTGCCGGGCTCTTCTTTGACGGCAGGAAAGGCTGATCGGGGTACGACATGGACAGAATGTACCTGGCCAGCCTCTTGCCCAGGTACTTGATACCTCTTTCTGTCCTTGTTGCATTGCCCGAGAAGCCGCGCACAATAACCTCTTCGTCGTCCCCATCGTCTTCTACAGGGCTGTCATCTTGGGCGTTGTCATCACGTTCGTCTTTGGCATCCTTTGTGGCGTTCCCGTCTTCCTTGGCTTGTTTCTCCCTGGCTTGTTTCTCAGCGCGCTCCTTGGCACGCCTGGCCTTGGCATCAATCTTGGCCTGCGCGACTGTCTGATCAATGCTCTCCTTTAAATACAACATGTCGGCCCCCAAGTTGCTGTGTAGGCCATGGGTGAGGACAACCAAGTGCACTTTTTTTTGCTTCACTTCTGGCTTCTCCTGTGGCGCTTCTTGGGTGACGCTCTCGACAGGTTGGTCCTTCTTGGTACGGCTCTTGAGCCGGTCAATGTTGAGGTCGTCCCAGCCCGGAAGCCTCGGGGTATTCCACAGGGCGGCCGTGTCCTCGACCTTGAGCCGAATCGCCTTGGAGAATACGCCCTTTGGCTGCGCTGGGTGGTGGCCATCCTTGGCACCGATGCTCTGCTGGTGGTCGGCGACCCTGCCGGGTTGCGGTACCTGCGTCTGGCCGCCGATGACAGGCAGTGAGGAGCTCAGGTTCAGCGACTTTGCGTCTCTAGCAAGCGTCACCTCGTACCCGACCGCGGCCGAAGTTGAAAAGATAACCTGCGACGACACCTCGACAATCCACGAGGCGCTCTCGGCCTCCTGGTCTGTTGGGGCCACGCCGCCGAAGTGGCCGACGCCTCCGGTTCCCGCACTCTGACGGATGTGTTCCGGCACTAGCAGCTCGCACTCCCACGAGCCGCCGGCCTTGAGCATTGGCTCGAATTCGGGGACGCCATAGCGGCGGGGGTTCGCGAACTTGACGTTGGGGTTGAAGTTGGACGGATAGGCAGCGGCGCCCAACGTATAGGGGCCGTGGACAAAGGCGGCGCGCAGGGCGATGGCGGAGGTATTGCGGACGCGCAGGTAGAGGCGCTCGGGCGAGGGCAGGATTCGGTCCTGGGAGGGCGTGTAGGTGACGGTGTAGCGGACGACCTCTCCAATCTTGACGCTCCCGACCTGGTAGACGAGAAGCATCGTGATGTTGAGCACGCTGCACCGGGGAGAAGAGAGGCTGGCAGGTAGTGTATATGGGTGTGCTATTGTCGTCGGCCCGTCGGTGACGTCGTCATTTCCATGCGGCCGCTTCTCGAAGGGCCCGGCGGGGAGCTGCGGCGAGAGGAAGTGTAGTTCGCACGGTTGGAGCTGATGTTGGTTTAACAAATGACGGTGTCTATCGAACGGCGATTTCGATGTCGCATTCGGAGGCAAGATGCGTGGAAAACCGATAGGGTATGTGAGGTGTAGCCGGGGGTTGCAAGGGTAGTCAAGAGGTGAGGAGGTTGTAGTAATGATAGTAATAGTTGTGGTAGTGATAGATGGGAGAGAGAGGAGGAAGAACGGAGAAAGCACTGGGCCCTAGGTATCCGACAGCACAGCTGGTTGAGGGGTGTTAATAGCAGTAGGTTTCCAGTCGAGGTACACCGGGTCACAGCAACAAAGGTAGGTACACTATGTGCGTACGTACATGCAAGCAGATGCAGACGTAGAACCAGAAAGCCGATCCGGCAAAAACACGAATACTAGGAAGAAGCAGCGATATAGCCCGAGAGCGAAGGAGAGCACGAGGGACCCGAGAGACCGGGGGAGGGGTGTGGCCGCTAAAGAGCGTACAGATGCACAGACAACGTCATTGGGCGAAGTATCCGGCAGTCCTGGAGCATTCAAGCACTGGACCATCAGTCAATGACAGGAATGCTAAATGGCCTATGGCCACGCCCCGCCCACTCTGATTTCCCTCGTTCCCCACCTCCTATCCGATCCGACGCCGCACTCGCTTTGCTAAGCTCAAAGTACCGGATACGTCCCTACCCTTTTGCTTTGCCGGCGCTACGTCAATTTACGTCGATCATGTGTATGTGTGTGTGTATAAGGTACGGAGTATCCGTACTGTACGAATATATGGACTTGCTGAGCCTCGAGCTGGAACTTCCCGTCTCGCCAGCAAGTCAAGTAGTTTAGTTTGGCCCCCATCTCTCCGAGTATTTATACGTATCTCTGTGGGAAAACAACGAAGAATGAAACATAGTCGGGGACATAGCAGGGTCCCTGCCTCGGAGCCCCTGGCGGGATGTTCAATCTAGACCATCTTGGACCCAAACCCAAGATGTCGTTTCAATCCGAGAGGGAGGGAGGGAAACCCCCCATACCGGACGGAACGAAACTCTCACTCTGTTTCTCACTCAGCTCCCATTCTCCAACCAAGGGCAGCAGAAAGTGAGAATGCCATATCCAAAGCCCAGACTTGGCTCGGAAAGGGTGGGGGGAGGTCCAAGAGCGTGTCAACCCCGCTAGTTAGATTAGCATTCTCCAGCCTTTCAATCCATCGCCACAGCAAGCAAAAACCGTCAGAAGTCCTCGACCAGAGATGTTGCAGGCACCGCCAGGCTTGGCAGGGGACCAGACGTTTCTCAATCCATGGACAATCATCGAGATGCTCATTGGTGAGAGGGATCCACCCCTGAGAGCAACAATGCGGTGCGATGCTTAAGCTTCGTGTACACTACATACCTATACCTACCTACATACCTACAACCGGTGAGATGAGACTTTGGATGCGGTGATAGTTTGCCTCGAGTTCGTGCGCCCATGTGTGTGTGTGTGTGTGTGTAGTATGTGTAAGGGCAACGCATCGCTCACCTCGCCTGTTGCTTGTAGGGAATAAAGTGCAGTGCGGCGGTGCATGCAGCAATGTAACCAGCACTACCCTGAGATGCGAAGACGGCCCATCAATGCGAACGAAACGGACACCATGAACCGCACCACGTCACAATGCCCCCCCCCTACAACCGAGATGGCGGGCGGAGACGTTCATTGCGAGTCAGCGAGCCTCGTTCTCTTGCCCGCTTGCTACATGGTGATTCACTGATTACTATCGGCCTCTCCTCGACTCAAGGTAGGTATGTATCCGGAAATCATTCAACCACAACCTTGTCGACCCCGCCAGATCCGTAGGCCCCAACGCCCAAAGCCTACCAAACTCTCGCCCACTTGCAAGAATAAGAACGCAAAAACAACAAAAACAAAAACAAAAACAAATTGATAACAACAAAATCGCTCCGCTCTTTCTCCGCCCTCCCACCATCATACTCAACACGGATTTGGTCAAGTGAATTGCGAGGCCCAGGCATATGCGTTCGCATCGAGACGGTGCGTGCCCAACAACGCGGCGCCCTCCAACATGGGCACCCCCCGCGTCCTTGGTTGGTCCACGACATTGGACGACGAGGCATATGGAACTCGATCCGCAGCACCCAGTGCCAGCCAACCGAGGCCGAAACTTCGCATGAGAAACAGCAAGCTGGCAGGTGAGGCAAGGCAAGGCAAAATAATCTAAATGAACCTCGTGCACTCGTGACTATACTGCCTACTCTCCGAGAACCTTGCACCATACCCGTCCCGAGGATATATCACGCGCCTAATATTACAAGCATGACCCCATTGAAATAGCAAATAGCCCTCCCAAACGTGCAACATGGACAAACCGGCAATGTCAGTTAATTCATCAAATCGTACTGTGTCCTAGGTCCTGTTCTGTCGTCAAGCGCTTGCTTCGTTAAGTCTGTCGTATCACGCCATGGCTGCCCGCTCTCCCTCCGGCATGCCTGGCTGCACATGGTTCCGCCATTCATGCACACGATTCATGCCGCGACCCATCCCCGTGAGCCCGGCGAGCGTCGACGATTTGGGCTCCTCTCGCATTCGTCTCCGGCTCCGTGGCGCATGCACTGCCGCCTCCCTCTCGTAATCGTGTACCATCCGCCCCGGCACCACCCGCTCGGATGGCCGCGTGGTCCTGTTGTACATTTCCTCCTCTATCGTGTGCCTCCTCAGCAACGGAAGTGGCGGAGGGGGACCCATTACCATCGGTGCCGACATCGGAAGGGGTCCCATTGGAGGGGCAGTCATCGGACCCAGGGGGGGTACCGGTGGCGGTGCCATCATCCCCGGCCGGGGGGCACCCGGGCTCGAACGGAATTCCGAGAAGCGCTCGGCGAGGCGCTGTCCCAATGCGTCTGGAGGCATGCCTCTCGCTCTGTTGACCCCCGACATGTAGTCCGTCGGCGCCGGACGTTCGAAAGCCGCTGGTGGCGTTGGTGCCGGCGGCACAGGTGCCGCCACAAAAGTGTCCAGCTCTCTGCGATAGTCGTCGTTCATGAAATGGCCCGCCGTATTGCCGACATCGACAATGTCCCCATATCCGCCGTCGTAAACATCGTCAATCTCGTAACTTTGTAGCGTCCGCGCAACGTCTTCGTCCCGGTTTTCTTGGAATCTCCGCATCAGTCTGCTGTCGTACTCTTGCGATCGCGACCGCGGTGCGCTGGGCGCAACACTTGGCCGCATACTCCTCGAGCTCTGGGCCAGGTCCAGCCGCTCCATGTGTTGAATAGCAGCCGGCACCTGCATATCGTAGAGCTGGTCTGCGTTTCCTGTCTCGTAGTTGAACCAGGGACAGTCACAACTCTTCCACTTCGTACCGCAGACCATGCAAAACTGTGCTCCGCATCGACTGTTCCAATCAGCAAGTTCCAAAACAACGAAGGAGCAAGAATAGTGTTTACCATGTCATGTGATTGCAGCCTTCCTTGAGCTCAACCATGTGGTGGCACTTGTAGCACCGCTTCCAGCCCTCATCCTTGGCCTGGTCTAGGAATCTTGTCGTCTCCTCGTCGTTGGGACATTCCCTCGATGGGTGCCACCGGCCGTTACACGAGCAACACACCTTGGTCCGGCATTGGCCACACTTACCGTACTTGCGGCCTCCTTCTTTGCGGATGTAATGTGGCTTGATCCAGGCGCCACATTTTCTAGAAGGACAGTAAATTCGATTCCGTGCCGAGTACTCTTGAAACTTCCGATTCCACTTTTTCTTGAAGTCGGCCGAGAACAGGTGGTCGACGTGCTTCAAGGCGATGTTCTCGGAGCAGCACTTGGGAGGCATTTCCTGCGGGTCAGTGATGGAGATTTTGAAGTGCCTCTTTAGACACACGCTGCACATCCGATGCCCGCACTTGAGTTTTGCAACCTTGCTTGACGAAAATTCATCCATGCACACAACGCACTCAACTCTGGTGGAGAAGCGTCAGCGTCCGCGAGACATTCGAGGTTTGGTCAGTTTACCTGGCCGTCTTATCGGACGAATGGGAGACGGAGCTCCCCGTGAGCAGGTTGCCCAGGAAGCTGGAAGAGCGCCTGTTGGACGAGGTTGTGCTGCGCGTGCGCGACGTGACCTGCGATGCCCCCGAGACCGTGTTGGAGCGGCGGATCGTGCGCGTCTTTGGGTACACAGTCTGGGACGGGTGTCTTATTGAGATTCTGGTTGGGGTCAACTCGGAATCGCCCCTAGTCTGGTAAACCTCGCGAGCCAGCCTCTTGGAGGAGCTGAGCGGCCGGTGATGGTGGCCTGATCTCCGAGCCGGGCTGTGGGAATGATGGCTGGAGTAGTGCCGCTCCGAAGCCGGTCGTGAGGTGTGAGAACGGTGTCGAGAAAGCGAGCGGCTGCGCTCATCCGTGGACTGTCGTGGGGTGGCCTCGGTGGAGCCATCCTCCTCCTCCATGTAGATGATCTTCTTTATCTTCATGCGGCGTTTCGGCGTCTTGTCGTCCTCGGCGGGCCGGCGCCGCTCGACGACCGTTTGGCGTGAGGGTTTCGAGTATATCTCTCTCTCTTGCCTATTTCTGTCTCGACGGCGCTCACGCTTCTCTTCTTGCGTCGAGACACTGCTCTCGGATTCGTCGTCCGAATCCGTCTCGGAGGCAGACTGCGAATACCGTAACGACTGCCTAGACTCACGGATACGGAGTGTCCGCGAGTGGTGGCTCGACCTCGGACTGAGACCACGCCTGGAAGCTTCTCTTTCTCTCTCCCTCCCGCTCGAGGACGGTTCTTCATCGTAAGAATCGTAGCCATCGTCGACCGGCACCCTTCCCCTCCGATATGGAGGGGTGTTGGGGGTCGCAGGCATGGTGGCTGGGAGGGTGGCAGACACGGCCCTGGTGGTGTTTACGGAGCGGCTTCGTCCCATGGACGAAGTCGTCTCGTGGTGCCCTTGTATAAGGTCCCTGGGCCTCCGGTACGGCGTGGAGTCGATGGTGGTCTCTCTGGCGGGTTGCCAATCATAGTGTAGGATGGGCGGGGGACTGGGAGGGTGCCGCGGCCGGCTCGTTCTCCTGTGCAAGTCTGCGCCATCTCGGTAGGCCATTGGACTGCGGTCAGCCTCATGCGGGAGGTACGAGAGAAGTTTGAGATGGGTTCGAAGGCGGGAGACGTTGAATCGAGGGTCGAGAAAGGGGTGCACCCGGACAGCTGGTTGCTCGTGAGTGGGTGGCTTCAATGCATACTGCGGAGCTATGATTGGGCTTGGATGGCGGGTTGCATATCGGGCATGCACATGCAGGCGTGCAGAGTTGATTTTTGTGCGCCCTGCAAAAGCAGACGACGGCGAGGGTTTGCCTTGCTCTGCGGTGAGGTATCAATCGGGCAGCAGCGCAAGCAGTCTGGTCGGACGGAGCCAGGAGGCGTACGAAGATGGCTCGTTGGATGACGATTTCGCAGGATCAGGTTGTGGGAGACCAAGAGGGGCTGAACATGCTGGTTGGTGAAATGGTGAATGGCAGGCTGGAGCAAGGTCCAATGAACGCAATGCCCGGTTCAAACAAGGGAGAATAAGGAGGAGGAGCAGAAAAGACAGACATGCAGATAGACAGATATTCGTGCAACCTGAAATCCATGGCAAGTCAAGCCAGCCCGGCGGGAGCTGCCCACTGTCACCTGTCTGTATCTTACCTACTTGTAGGTAGGAGGTACCTTACTTACTACTTGCCTAGTGTGCCTAGGTATCCGTACCTAGTTTGGTAGCCTAGGTATTCGTACGGGTTGAAGGTGGCTCTCGTGGGTTGTCAGAGACAAGTTCACCCCGCCGGCCGCACCCACAGGCCAATCGATTTGCTCCTGGTGGCGCCCTATTAGGTACCTAGTCTACAACCTAGGCAATTACCTACCCACCTACCTACTTCTTCTACCTTGGCTCGTTGTCTCGTGCGTGGCCCATGCCCTGCTGCTGCGGCCCCATCTGCCATGATTTACTCCGTAGACACTGAAAGACTCTCCCGTGTCGAATCAGCAATAGTCGAGCTCTCCCCGGTCTGTTTGACCTTGGTTCCAAGCCGCTTGATTGGTTTGCACTGCACGCACAAGAATATACCGACGGCCAAGAGACACGGACGATTTCCTCGCTTTATGTGCCATGCGCAGACAATCATCTTACGGTCAGTCGTCCGAGCTAGCGGCCAGTCCGATCTGCACCCAGCGGGAGCGGCTACCTCTCTGACAGCAAACCTTGGGCCAAAGAGGGAGGGTGGGAAACGCGGGCGGGAGGCTGGCGGTCGCCGAGCCCTGTGTGACTACTATGTAGGTAGGTACCTAGTGACAGTGTCCTGCATGGAGGCAATTACAGAGGTAAGTACGGACTATGCAGTACTGCCCACTACCGCCAAGCGAGGGAACCGCCAATGAGCTGGAAAACTGGCTATGCACGTGCAACAGCCCTCATTCCTCGGCCATCATCCCAGCCGGTGACTAATAGGTACCTACATACCTACCTACGCCGTTGGGCAGACACGGACACTATGATTTGGCCGACAGTCTCATGTTGGGGGGGGGGGACGATGCCAGGCCTTTCTGTTTTGCTGGTCCAGTTGAAGTTTGGCCCTAATTGCCAAATCCGCCTATTCTCCAAAAGCCCAGATGCGACTTTTATTCGTACATATCGAGGTACCTAGGTACTTAGCTATCTACCTACCCACCTACCTAGGTAAGTAGATATGCTTTGGCGCTATCGCCCCACTCCGGACGGCACCAAAGTACCTACACCAGGGACTGCCGACGCCTACGGCGCTTCGCGGCGAGTGCGAGTGGGGCCGATCCGGTGGTCGGCACCCGAGTCAGGACTTTTCGTTCTTGCCGCAGACCGCCTTACGGTGCATCAAGAACAGTCGTCTCTATGTTTTTCAGAAACCTTCGACGAATCGTCTGAAGTCTTCGCGGAGTCAATCACACGCAGCGCATCCTTGATGTGTCACGGCTCCAGTCACGAGAAATACATGCCATCCCCAGCTCGACGGCTGTGGCGCCAGCACCGGCTGCCAGTCCGCAAGCTCCCTTCTCCGTGTCCGACATCGTCGCCATCTTCGTCGGCTCCTGCGGCGAAAGAAATGGTTCGACTGTCTCGGGGCAGAAGAGTACTCAAGCAGAACTTGTGACACCGCCTTCGTCAACGACGATGGCCAACGCGCACAAACGTTGTTGTCAGCCCTCTTCCGCCAGGTTTCACGGTGGCTTCGGTTGAGTATCGACGATCTTTGGTGTATTTATCCTCCCAGAAACCCGTCTTCATGTCTGTCTCCGTTCCGGCCTCGTCCATATCCAAGCCCCGTTGATTGGTGGATCTCCTGATTTCCACTTCCCGTAGACCGGCCCCTCCCCGAGTCCTCAGTCTTAGTCACGCCCGCTGGCACTCGAAACGGACTCTGAAACCAGGCGCTATGGAGTTGTCTACCTGCTTAACGGCGGCCTGTAGATGGGCAAACTGGCGAGATGTCATCAGGGCACGCCGAGCCTCCGCATCTCCTCGGACTGGCAGCCGGTCGACGTGTGACCCCCCCTCAACGCCGGTGCTGGGCATGATGCGATATGCCGTGCCCGCACTACCGTTTTACGGGATCGAAATGCTAGCTGTCATCGTGGGCCTATGGCGCGAGGCTGCTCGTAATCAGTCAGTCGCTCCCCTGATAAGCAACGTGGTCGAAACAAACATCATCACGAATGCATGGCCCGAAGCCATGGTTGCTTTCAATTCTACCATGCATGCTGAAGTCGTACAGGCAGACCTGTCAAGTCACATTTGTACACCAATTAAGACACCGTACACCCTTCCGCAACGCCGCGTGACCCTCCTGTACGGGAGTTGCTTTCGCCTATGCAACTCGAGCCAAGGCCCGGATAGTACCCTGCAGACAAATCATTGGGGTTCCCAGGGCGAATAGCAAGGCTGCGCGTGGCCCAAGCCCAATCATGCTCGCATCTTGGCCTTCTGTATTGGTGATAATGGCGCGATTCGGTTGCTGAACTTGCTCTCTTCAACTTGACATGGACCAGAGGGACATCTTGCATTCTTGTAACAGCCATCGCAGTTGCAGTTGCAGGTACAGGAACGGGTATTTCACCAGCAGTGCTATGTTATACAATACTGTGTCGCCGAACGTTGGCGGATTTTGGACTTAAATCCCGAGCCAAAACAACCCCTTAAGAAAACCCTGTTCCGTCCTACCCAAGGCCAGGCACACCAGCCGGCTTTGGTGTTTCATTTCTCATACTCGTCATTCATATTCCTGCAAAAGAGAGCCTGCGGCCGCAACTCGCCCGACATCAATTTCCCAACGCAACTGCTGAAGAATCGTTCCGTCCCTTGAACGGCTCCATATTTGTGAAAAGTGACAGCGTACCGCCCTCCGCTTTCACTCTCGGGAGATGGCCGGGGTTGCCGTCTCGAACCGGATTGGCGCCAGTCATGTCCATTGGCCGAACGTACGAGTGCCGGGGTTTCGGTCCGAACAGCCAACGAGACCTTGTATTATCCGCCAACCAGGCGTCTCCAACTCGCAGACAAATCATCAACCCTCCTCCAGATGGCGCAACCCCGGATTTTTTCTGTACCCCGGATGTTTCTGTCATCCGCCATCCAGCACGCGCTCTGTTGCTGCTGCGACCGTACGTCTGCTTCCCCAGACCTAGAGCGCCCAGCCCCGCATGAGCGGGAGGGAGGCCGAGATTCGTCAGGGGTGATCAATGACTCTAGCCTCTCTTGCCTTGTTTGCGCGTTTTTGCACCTTGAATGCAGGGTTGCTGGCATAGGTTCAGAATGACAGATCGGCTACCTCCAGAGCCAGTGTCAGCAACTGGGGTGAAGGACTTTTGGCGGGCCGACGAGTTGTCCTCTTTGATGGTGGGTTGGCTAGCTTCCCAGAACAGTTGTGCAAGCCGTATAGGCGCCGGAACGTGACGGTTTTCATCCGCTCAGGTATGCCCTCCTTCTCACTTCGGCCTCTTTGATAATCTCTGCTGCTAGGCTCAGGCTAGGGGCCAGGGTCGAATATCGCTCAATCTCCATCACCACGTCATTGATAATCTGGTCGATAGTTTCCCGATGAGGTACGAGTGTGAGGAGGATGCTGCTGAGAGAAGGAGACATGGTTGCACCCATGACTAGTAGCGTCTGCGACACGATGGAGAGGGCCCCTTGCCACAGATAGGGCATGTGGCCGGCATGACTGCGGTGCATTAGCAGGCGGCAGCTGCGCCATGGCGGTGGGACTTACTGTTGAGAAATGTGCTCTAATTGCCGGATGGAGGCTTCCAGGCACTTGTGGCAACTGTCGCGCACCGCAGGGTCCAGGACTGCCTGTTCGTTGTCCAATACGGCCAAGATGTACGGGCGGTAGATGATTGTGCGGCAAGCAAAGAACCGCAGGCGCAGCACCGTCTGCACCGGGTCGGAGAGCAGGTTGCGGGTGAAGGGAAACTGCAGCGGCATGGGCAGGCTCTCATACCATTGCGTCAGCTGAAAGTCGAGTTCCGCCACCACAGGCTCCAGGCTGGTGGTGGAAGCCATTGAGTCTTTCGAGTAGATCAGCTGGCTGACTCTGTTGAGAAGCCGCCGCAAGGCAATCTCAGCCAAGAAGTACCAGAGATCGTCACGGCCAATCGCTTCCTGTTCCTCACCCTCGAACCCGCCAGGCAGGCCGACGTTCTCTTCGAACTGGACAACGCCCGAGTGTGGCAAATCCAGCTCGGCCAGCAGGTCGCTCTCAAACAGCAGCGAGTTCCAGTAGATCCGCTCCGTCAGCTCTCGTTGGTTTGGCGGGACCCTATTCGGTGACATGAGTAGGAGCTGCAACTTCGTGCTCGTAGTGCAGAGGAGGTTCCAGGCCTCGAGCGGCCGCACGAGATAGAACAGATAGGCCGAAGCCAGCAAGTGACACTGGGCCGCCAGAACGTTGTTGGACGTCATCATGCCTGGCAAAAGCGCCCATGCGGCGGTGAAGTACTGCAAGCCGGGCGCATCTTCCCCGGGGACGATCCTCGAGATGCTGCCTCTCAAACTCGCTTGGCCCAGGGCCAGGACCAGCAGGACGATGCAGCTTTCTGCGCCCTCGCGGAACCCGTTGGAGAGAGCCGTTCGATAATGGCTTCTCCAGGTGTAGGGGTTGACGCAGGCGTACCATACGTTCACCCGCTCGAAGTAGGCTTCGATGTAGGCGGTCGTGTTTGATAGGTCAACGCACGGTGTCTTTGTGAGCGAGTGCAGAGGCTCGCGCGCCATTTCGAGCTGGAGCAGGACCTGCGGATCATAAGGTCGGGAGACGAGATCGCGGATGAGTGGCCACTGCAGTAAGTGGAGAGCGGCGTTGGTGTGCATCTTGGGCATGGTCGAGATGTTGGTCGGGTTATTCCAAGTGCCCAGGCCGCCGTTGGGGATGACGGAGACGATGTTCCCGGAACCCGAGACTCCCATTATGCTCTCTCCGTTGAGCCCCGATCCATTGCTCATGGAGGGCGACTCTTGGTTGATGGCGATGCCGTTGCCCTGCCCTGCAACCATGTTCATCTGCAGCAGGCTTTCAATGCGGTTCAGACGCTCCAGGATCAACTTGTCACCGGCGTCGAGCTTGATGCCAGGCTCTCTGTAGACACACTCGGCGCCCAGCTCGGTGCAGAGCTTACACTTGGGCTTGGTTCCATCGCAGCGGGACTTGCGGGACCGGCACACTTCGCACTGCCGGCAGTTAGCACGACGGACAGACAGACAACCGACTGCCGGCTTCACATACCGCGATTGTAGCCCTCCTCCGGGGGTAGTCGATGCCGGCGTCCGTGTTCCGCCTCTTGAGCGGGTTGGAACCTTCGTCGCTGGGCGCCTTGTCCATGCCATTGGCCAGAGCCTCTGGGCGGTTCTCGGACGAGTGAGACATATTCCGCGCCTTTTGTGCCGAGCCGAGAATCCCATCTCTGCTGAAACTTGGCGTTCTTTGTGTCTTGAGCGATGTAGGCGACTTCAAAGGGTGTATGCCGTTGGTCATTGAAGGCGAGGGCACCTCAATGTTGAAAGTCTCGCGCGACGGTACATGAAAGGGCCTCCCAGCGTTGCCCGTGGCCGAGCAGGGGGAGTCACCCGTCGACGACGGGGACATGGCCTGCGTCTGGAGACGAAAAAGCTGCGTGGACGACGTAGTGGGCGAGTGTTGATGCGCTGCGACAACGCAGCACAAGACAGGTGGTGTAGTGGTGTGACTGGTGAAGCCTGGACGACGACGGAACCGCCGGTGGTGGCGAGCTGCTTAATAGCTACGATAGCGAGGTGCGGTGCGGTGCGGTGCGATGCGATGCGATGCGACTAGGCTCCGTTCCGATGGGGCGTCAGGCCACTCTCGAAGCTATCGAGGCACCGTTTCACTAATGACCTTGAAGGCGGATGAGGGGGGAGCGGCGGAACAGCGAGGTGAGATGAATGGATGCACGGCAGTGGAGCAGTTATTATGGGAAAAGCGCTGATGAGGGAAGAGGAAAATGCGGAGGATTCCATCCATATACGGGGGTTGTTGGTGCTGCTCGGAAGCCGAGTAGATAACCCTGTTTGGGCGGGGACGGCAGCGCTCGCCGTGCAGAGGGACGGAAATGTACCTTAGTCGCTACTCTCGCCATCAGAGCAGCAGGGAAGCTCTAGGTTCGTCCCCTCTGCCCCGGACCCCAACTTTGAGTCGTCGGAGCCGTTGGAACAGATTGATGACAGACACGCAGTGCCCCATCCCCCCCCAGAGCAGATACAGGTAGGGTCAAGCCGGGCCATTCAGAACCAATGGTTGCAACGGGCATTGGACGAAACGGGGATGGAGGAGGACGAGATGGGGTATCGAGGTAAACGGGCCCACGCTAGAGGCTGCAGGCCATGTCACTTCTCAATCCGCCATCCAGACCGAGGGAGCCTGGGATAGGGAACGTGGTGCCTGGCGCGCGGAAATCCACGTTGTGTGTGTGTGTGGATGCTCTGCCCGTAGCTTAGCGGCGAGTTCAAGAGCTGCCACGCAGTACTTTTGCTTGGTAATTAGTCCTGTTCCTTCTCGAGGCCCGTCGCGCAGGGCGGCGGTGGTGATGGTGTTGGTGATGGTGGTAGTGGTCTTGGAGGTTTGCGTTTGCCTGCGTGGTTGTCGATGGCGGCGTTGGTCGAGACGCGGAAGAAGTCAAAGTCAGGGTCAGAGAGGTTTGCATTGCAGAGGATCGTACATTTGTTTGAATTGAAGGGGTTTGAAGTGATGCGGTCAGGAAGCTGCATCTTGACTGACTAGCACCAACTACTCTACTTTGAACCGCAAATTGCTGTCCAGTTGATCTTGGTCTGGGATGATGGTCCTTGTGTGTGCCGTGCCGTACCGCTCAATGCAATCTCAAGGGGACTGCGGTACGGTTACAAGGCCTCAATCCCCGAAAGGCCCCGAATCATGCCGTTCTTGGTACGGATCGACTTTGCCAATCTGGGGGAGGCCCCCCCCCCCCCCCCCCAGCTGCCCAGGGCTGGCAGGTGAAACGTGGGGAGAGGAGAAGGCAGGTCTGTTGGAGCTGGGGGGACATCTGCCCACATGCCACCAGTACCTAGTACTAAGTAGTAAGTTGGGTTCCATGTTGTTAATTCACCTCGGCTCTGCATGGGTTTCTGGGACAATGCCACTGGAAGAAGGCCAGCAGAGAGATACTGGCGTCGACGATGGACCAGCCTACAGGCTGAAGAAGGAGGACCGGCAAAGTAACGAGTGACATGTTCTGCAGAATGGCATTGTGTGGCGAAGACGGGTTTGGCGCTACAAAAAACACCACAGTAATCATGAAAGGCAATAATAAATGATGGAGGTGCATATTATGCGTAAGTATGGTCCATGTGCATACCCTTGGGCTCGGTGTGATGTGACGGGGATGGGTCAACGGCCGCTCTAACCACTCGGGCACTGTCGTTGGTTCCATGTTACCTACCTTATCTGATTCCTTCTCGGTCTTGTGTAATCTAGAAATGGATCGGGGACACCAGGTAGAAAAGACAGGCTCTTTACCTGGCACACCTAGGCGATATATGGGTCGTTCGGGCCAAAAGGCAGGAAACTCCGGGTACACGAGGCGGGTAAGGTGAAAAAGGGACAAAACAAGGACCGTCAAAAAACCAGTTATTATATCGACAACACAGCGCTTCCGCTACCTCTACATGCATAGTATTGCCCCATATCGAACCTCCGTAGCCTCGTAGCGTATTTGCATGCCTGTCTAGGTACCTAGTGTAGCCATATTCGAGTTTCAGTCCATACACCACCACCCAATAGTCGGTCGTCTGCTACTCAAACCAAGCATCTCCCGAGCCGGCCCTCGAAATGACCAAGTTTTTTGTCGACCAGAACCAAACGGCGACTTTCGGCCGTCGATTACGAGCAGGTAACCAGTTTGGGTACTCCTGGCACAAGGAAGGAAGAGGAGGAGGATTTCAAAGCATCTGCTTGGAGACGTGAAGCTCAACATTGGCAACTACCTAAGGCAGTTTTCCCTCCTACCCGCATGACACCGATCCTCAACGGGCCGACTCCAGGGAGACTGTCACCATGAGCGTGGCAACCTTGTCAGATGCGTGTGTTTTTTTACCCACAGGACGGCCCTCGGACTTCCAACTGCTGGGACGTTGATGAAGAGAGGGGAAGAATCGGCCCCTCGCCGACTTCATTCCGATCCCGCCGTTTAGCTCGCCAGCGATTTGTCAAGACCCAGCCGAATGGCCAAGTCCAATCTAACAATCTAGGTAGGCTGCCGACAGGCATGGTTCAAGCACCTATGCCCTTATCACATGACTGTAATATATTGCGATCAGCAGCAGCAAGGCCGTCGCCTCGAAGGGACGGGAAGATCCACGGCGGCTGGGTCTGCCAAGATGCCTGGTCACTGGAACATGGCCGAGACCGACTGAAGGTAAATTAACTACCCTCCTCGAAGGCAAGAAGACAAGGGGGGGCTTTATCGTTGCCGGCCGCGTGCAGGAAATGTATCACTGCCGGCCCTCGTCTCTGTTGTCAGCCAACGATGTAGTCGGCTCGACTTCTTCCTGTTCTGTTGAGCATCATTGTTCCCCGCGAATCCGGGGTGCGGACGGGGGGCGGGCGTTCCCTGACACCCCGCAGCGACGTCTCCCCACATCGTCACTTTCTCGAAAAGTCGTCTCTGAGATTCTATTCGATACCAGACTATGATGTTTAATGGCTCGCTGCAGGTGGACGACCAGGAAGGTGAAAGGGTGCTCTCTGCCGTGTCCGAGGACCTCCTCCCAGCGCGACAACTTGGGTAAGTCAAGTGCGCTCTGCAGGCTGGGATCCAGGATTCAGAGTGCCATCGAACCAAGGTTTCGCCATCGGAGGTTGTTTTGGCGACGAGAGCGCTGTGTGCGCGAGCCTTGGTCGGCGAGCAGTCTACCTTGTATGGCCGTCCGCCGTGTGTCTGAACAGTGAGTGTCCCGAGAGCCGCATGTCGCCCGGCTACCCTCATCAGAGTCAAACTTGGCTAGATTCCAAGAATGACGGGCGGCGCGTAGGTAATATCCCAGCCGGCACTTTAAAGGTGTGGCGCCGACAACTGTGGCATCAACGCTAGCCACCCCTGGTCTCGTCTGTTTGTGCGATCTCGTCTCTTTATAAGCAGCTTCACGTGGGTGTACCTACCTACCTACCTACCTACCTACCTACCTAACCAGGTAGGAGGTGCGCAGCAGTTGTCGCCACCAACCAAGTTCAAGCAATCTTTGGTACTCATACAGCCATCGTCGGCATCTCACCTTCACATGTCATCCTGCTTCCATCGACGTGCATGCAGACAGATCTTTTTGTTCGGATCGGCAGAGTCCCAAACAAAAAAAAAGGTCCACGCGAGCGGTGACTTGCAGGTGAGCCTTCCAGTGCTACGCACCCGTACCGTACTATGAACCCCCCCCCCCTTCCCTGCCGGTGTCTTCCTTTCCCGACTCGTTCGGGAGAAGAAGAAAAAAGAAAGATAAAGAGTGAAATGACGTGGGCGGGCCTGCGGGACCGATGCCTTTTATTGCGGCCGCATAAGCGAACGGTGAGATCTGACATGGTAGCGTCTGCACCATAAATTGCATCAAGGGAGCTTCTTCAAAGTCAGCCAGGGCATGTCACGTAGTGTACACAGGTGTCATTGGCCCGGTGCGAGTTCGAGCCGAAGGTCAATTGTTATTGTGGCCAGCGACTCGCGCAGTCACTTCCTGAGCTTGTTGGAACTCTATTCGTCTGCATGTATACTTATATATATATACACACTTATTTAAGATTCCGCCACTCCTGCCTAGGCACTATAGCAAAAGCCGACGACCCATGCGGTTTAATTAGTGATTAATCATTCGCCAAATATGACGGCTGTGACCTCGCCCTCGACCTTGCTACTCGCAATGATGTCGACCAGCTTGCCCGAAGTGGCGTTGCGGCTGATGATGACGACGCGGCTGTCCGATTGTAAACCGACGGCGACGAGGTCGCCGGCCTTGTTGACAGAGAACTGCCGGGGTATACGGCCACCCGCGGGAAAGGTTTGCAGCAGCGTGAGCGCGCCGGTCTGCTCGTCGATGCTGAAGCTGTTGAGAGAGTCGGAGGGGATTTGCACGCCGCCGCTCCCGGCGTCAGGGTTACCGATGGTGAAGGCCGAGTCGTTGCGCGAAGAGACGGTCAGGAACTTGCCATCGGGCTGCTGCATGTGTTAGTGCGAATCGGCGACAAAGGTGTCGGAACTCACCGAAATCCAAATCTCGGCACCGCTAGCTCCGGCAGGTGCGTTAGCACCCTCGCCAAAGGTAGAACCCGAGTATACCTCGGTGAACCCGAGCGTCTTGTTCTCGCGGTAGGTAACGTCGTAGGCGGTGATGGAGTTGGCAAGCTCGCTGATAAGGTACAGGTACGTCTTGCCCTCGGGAGTGACGAGGAACTCGACGTGGCGAGGTCCGCTGCCGGGGGCGGCCGTGAGAGAGTCAACGGCGACGAGGTTGGCGCCGTCAACAGCAAAGACGCGCACGAGGTCGGCGCCCAGGTCCGGCACCAGGACGAACTGGCCCTTGGGATCGAGGAACACCTCGTGGGGGTGTGGGGCGTCCTGGCGCGAGGGGTTCGGGCCCGGTGCAGACATGTTGAAAGTCTCGGACTTGATCGCCGTGAGGGCGGCTGGGCTGGAAATGTCGAACCAGCTCACGGAAGAGCCACCGCTTCTTTGGGTCAGCAAATATCCACAACCAAGCGCAACGACAAGCCTACTACTGGGCGACAGCCAGGCCCTGGCCTCTGTCGCCATAGACAACGGCGCTGACGGGACCGCTGATGGTTTCCGTCTTGGCCAACTGCTGGAGCACACCGTTGGGGCCGGTGACGAAGGACGAGACGGTGCCAACATTGGTGGTCAGCCCCTCATCCGTGCAGTAGAGCCGGGAGTTGACTGGGTCGAGGGTCAGCCAGGACGGGCTGGGAGCGCAGCCGTCGGACGACGAAATGGGCAGCAGGGTAGACTGCGTGGCGTGGTTGGCGCACAGGGTGAAATTGAGCGTGGTGATGGCGCCGCTGTATGACGACGCATAGAGCAGGGTGGCCGCGGCCGGGGACGACAGCAGTAGCGGCAGGAGGCCCGAAGGGGCGAACAAGTCTCGTATCATGGCGGGCAGAAGCAGGATGACGGCGCTCGCGAGTGAGTGGCGCTGCCGTGGGCAGGAGAGACACAGAATCAGTGCGGGTATGAGGCACAGAACGAGTGTGAGGGTGAAAAGTACAGACGTTGCGCGATGGGACGACAAGAAAAGGGGATGTTGTTGGCGTATTGGACAGCGAGGCCGGCCCATGGTGGGCAGCAGTGACAACCAGGGGCAAGACGGGGTCGTCTGAATTACTACGTAGTACGTTAGCAATGGCTCGTTGATCGGCCCTTGGTCCTGTCTCGGAAGCTCACAGACGTGGTTTCTGTGGGCTCGAAACGGGCACCAGTGTTTCCTATTCGGGACGCCCTCGACATTCTCCGTGCTTTCTGGTAAGCAACCTTAATCCGGGCTCGCTCTGCACGGGACAGTGCTTCCGCGACGGCAGCAGCCTCAGGAGCTGGCGGACGGGTGGTGGTCAGAGTTCTGTGGGAGTAGGGGTGTGGGTGGTGTGGACATCTTCACAACAGGTACGTATGTTAAACCCTGACTCGAAGTGGGCAAAGCAGACCCATTGTACCCACGGAGGGGGGCCTCACGGTATCGTAACCAAATGCCGTGGTCAGTCTTGGCATGGCACTCGGGTTGAGTGCTGCCTGATGTCCGTTGATGTGCATCCCCTCTTTGTCGTCGTCGTCAACAACGACCGCAGGGGAGGATGGGAAATTCGAGCCGCAATGACAGGCCAGCACCCGTTCGTCTCATGCCACCACCGTTCCCACAACAAGACTTGGTTCAGGTGGGCGTGTAATGTGAATGCGGAGAATGCGGAGAAGGGAAGAGGGGAAAGACTGGAGGACTGGGCAGAGTGTGAGGGGAAGGGAGATGTTGTCGGCGAATCGGCGTAGCCCGTTGATCATGAGAGTGGTCCCCTCTGCCGCGAAGTGGATATGCCCTTGTCTTCGTCGGTTGGGGATGCGCCGTGGGGAATTGCCAAACATCCCAATTTGAGTTAATCTACCTGGCCCCCAATGAGACCGTAAACCCGACTGAAATTTGTGGCCGTTCTGGCACGGCGCGATGCCGTCGACGGGTGTTTCCTCGGGCGGCAGCACGGTAGTCAAAGTCCGGCGTGTTACAACTCTGACACACGCGCTGGGCGCATTGTCCAACTTTCCCTCATCTGCCCATGCCTTACAGCAGCCTGTTTCAAGGACATACTCCGTAGGTTGGCATCAACGCTGGTAGTAGTGGCGCCCGAGCAAGACGACTCGCTTCCGGATGGGTCCATATAACGGGAAACAGACGGCTCGTCGTTGTAGCAATCAAATGCCGCACCTCCTCTTCTGCTATTCGACCGCTCTCAACCAAGGCGTCTGGCTGGGTGCTGACGGGAGTCAAGTGACACCGCGCATTGCAACACAGTTGGGGTGCTTGCTAGCGAATCAGTCGCATGGGGGATTCGGCTGGAATGGGGATGCACTACGGGCGGCCATGTACCGGCAGTCTTCTCCGCATCGGTAGTGTCCTGCAGCCGTTGCCCGTTACGGCGTCTCTCCGTCTGATTGTGCTATGCCGATCGACGTGTGGAAGCTTCTTCTTGCTGCAAGCCTCGTTGGCTACAGCTTCGGACCTGCCATGCGGTGGTGGTGAGACCACAGCATGTGGATAGCACGTTTGATGAGCTGCTCTGATCAACCCATCGGCGTCTGTACCTGGATATGCAGCCTAGTCAAGTGGGCCTGAGGAAAAACCGGCATCGCGGTCGGTCGCACCGCAGACGGCAGACTCGCTATGTAATCTCTTCACCGGTTGCTACACTTCACACAGGGCAACTGTGCAGTTGAGAACTCCACGAATCTGCAACCCAAACCACGCCCAAGACCCGAGTTTCGTTACCGCAGGGCAGTCTTTGAACCGCCACGAATGGCGGCGACTGGAGCCAGCTTACAACGGTCAACGCTATATCTCTTATGCGGCTTCAATTATATGCGGGGGACGTAGCATCCAATCAACCCCTCTACCCAACCAGAGCCCCATCTCTTTTTTGCTTAAAGGCTAAATTCAAGACCAATCGAATCTGCGAGCAGGGGTCGTCTTGTGGATAGTTCTGCATGACTCACCTCAAGACTGAGGACAGTAGGAACTTGGAGCCGTCCTTCCGTGCCGCGTCTCGTGGGGCCTCGGTAGCTGTTTGTTAAGGTTGCCAATCTGTCTATCATTTCTGGGTGACGTGTAAATCGCTGCAGTGCGGTATGTTATTTCTCCAGGCTAACTCACAGACGCCATGCCAATCCTATTCCATCCTCAGCACCATTCCTTGATTGGGGGCGACGGGGTCGCTGTTCGGGTCAAAGAATTCCGACACCCATCCATCCACCTCGGTGCTGTTAGCACTCTGCCGCGTGCCAAAGCATTTGCCAATTATGTTTCCAGCAGCAGTTCACAAATCAACGGTCGAGTCTGGTTTCTCGAAGATAGGGCATGCACAAACGTATCTATGCTTTTTCAAATGTCGTGGGTGTACTGTTTCCCCTGGAGTGTGATAAGCTATAGGGTGCCTATAACCAGTAAGCTAGTGTCGAAGAAAAAGGCGCCGCAAAACTTACCAGAACCTGCTTTGCGTTGCAGATTCTCCAGGCCATCTTCTTGACGTTTCCGTCAGCAGGCACGATTGCGGGGGCAAACTCAATACCAAACATCTGGTGGATGGCATAGACGATGCGCTTTGCATACTTGCCGTCCCGCTCGACGTGGCCGCCGAATGGCTCGTCGACGGTGGCGGGCGCAATGTCGGGGTCCCGGTCGCAGCAGTTCTGCACGAGGGGCAGCAAAGCTTGCTCGACGGCCTTCTCGTACATGCCGTTGGCATCGACCTCGACGTCGTCCTCGTCAAACTTGCCGATGCGGATCTCAAAGGGCTGCGAGATGGTCATGACAGTGTGAGCCCCGGCGTGATGGTACCGGAACTCAAAGACCCCTTGAGTCCACCAGAGCCGGTCACCTTCAAAAACGACCTCACCCTCGACCAGATCGGGGTCGGACGGGTCCTCCTTTTTCACAGGGCGATCCGGAACCAGGATTGTCTTGTCGGCCGTCGCAGCGTCGTAGTTGCCAGGCGTGGTGGGTACCCATCGACCCAAAGAAGAAACCTCGGTTACTTTTCTAGAGCGATTGTCGGTCACCATGTAGAGCCCGATCCAGTCCTTGCTGTCGTGCTTCGCGGGGGCGCGCCACTTGACCTTTAATGGGGAACCGTAGTCAAACATCAAGGTCTCGGTGCCATGGTGGAAGCGTGCCGTCACACTCTCCTTGCCGGTAGCCCGCTCATTCGCCGCTGAGTGGCTCGAGGGAGTGCCCTCCACGGACAAGGAATAGAGTTTGGGGTCCAGGCCGGCAAGGTCGGGGGACAGACGGGTCACAGTCAGCCGCGCCGGATACTTGTTGAACAAGGCCGACGTATCGCGGACGATTGTCTCGATGCCGGATGCGAACTTGGGACGTGCGGAGTCAAGGAACTCCTCGATGAACTGGGCCGTGTCGTCAATCACCTTGTCGACTCCTCGCTGCCAGCCCTGGACAGGCGGCGGGAGAGAGCGCTTGATGAACTTGGTCAGACCTGCTTCCTGTCGGAGGCCTCTGCCATAGGTCTTCTGCATGTGCGGCTTTTCAATGAAGTTGATGAAGCCTAAGGTGAACAGCTGGCTGACCAGTGCCATGATGAATATGGCTCTGCTCCACGTGATCAGAGCAGCTCCCCACAAGCCAGCGGTTCCGAAAATTCGCTCAGGGTTGTTGAGAAACCGGTAGATGGACTTGTACGTCAGCCTGGCAGTCGAGTCGTAGAAGAAGTCGCCGTAGAACCAGCCAAACTCCCCGAGCGAGTCGTAGACGCTAACAGCCGTCCAGATCTGCAACGCAACGAGGCCAGCCCCAATGACGTGCTTTAGGAGGACCCATCCGTAAGCCCAATCTTCAGGCGGCGAATACATCTTCCAGCATGCTGCTATAAAGGAGCCTGTCACCATAACCAGACTGAGATGGTACATGCCCTTCCACTGGTTCCAGGCTTCGGTGTGGCTCTCGCCATACTTGAGGAAGTGTCTCGTCCAGAACTTATTGCGTGACTGCGATGCGAGAATGGCGCCTAGGCCAAGATGATACCATACCCGCCAGAGCAGAGCATGGAATACGAAGAGGGCTTGGAACAAGGGGGTGGACGGCGTGACCAGGGCCAGGACAGCCAAGTAAAAGCCAAGCAGCAACACCGACGTGTCTGTGACACGGAACAGATCGAGGTTATTCAGGCCAATCAAGTTGTGCACTTGGGGAGGCGCCTCTTGGGACGACAGCTCCGGGGACGAGGTCGTTTGGTCGACCAAGATTTCCTCGGTGTCCGAAGACCTGATCGCGACAAGCTCTGACTGGCCAGTGGCTGGCGTCGAAATGAGTCGCTTACGAGGCGCAGGCGGGTTGTATGTTTTCTCAATGTGCGGGTTCTCGACAATCATTAAGAAGGCGAACTGGGCAAGATGGGCAGCGATTGAGATGAAGAGGACCTCGTAGCTCGCGGCCATCATGGAAATGCCGTAGTAACCGGCGTATCCAATCGAGTACATGGGGTGGGGGGCCATCTCGAAGACGCCGTCAAAGGTCAACTCCTGGTCGATGAGGTAGAAGAAGTCTCCCCAGTACCAGGCGTAGTCCTTGACAACACGGTGAGCGTCGAGCTTGACCCACAGGTTGAAGAGAACCAGGAGAATGCCGATAGACCACCGACCGACACCGACCAGCACGTTCTCACCCTGGGGGGTGTGGCCGCAGATGATAGCAAAGAGGCAGTAGGACACAAAGTCACACATAAGAATCAGATCGACAACGCGACGGAAGACGAGCCAGGTGTTGTACTCCATAGGGGCCTTTTCGAACTCGTAGTCCTCGGGGATCTTAGCCTCGAGCTCGCGCTTAAGCATGTTGTAGAGCCAAGGCCGGGGCTGCTTGCCGGAGCTTGGGTGCTCGAAGAGCTTCCATCTGGCGGCCCATGTCTCCAGCCTGCGGTGGTTGGATTGGATGGTGAGGAGGTAGCCGATGCCAATGTTATAGGCGGCACGCCAAAAGAGGAACACGAGAGCAAAGACGGGGCGCTTCATGTTGGCGGGGAGAAGGTAGGCCGCGCCGATTTGAAGGGCGAGAATGGCGAGCACGAGCACGTCAGAGAGGTTCTTGGGCTGCCTCGGATCAAGCAGCTGCGACACCATGTCATGGGTCGTGGGAACGGTGAAGACTAACAGACAGCCGTCAGCGGATGGGATAGACGACAAGCTCGCCGCGAGAGCCTACCTGTGCCATCGGGGGTTCGACCAAACGTCTTCTTGGGCTTCTGCTCGAGGCCCTTGCCCGTGTCGGATTGGTCGTCGCTGGCAGTTGAGGGGTTTAGATGCTCGCTGTCGCCAGCAGAAGACGTCCGCCTCTGTCGTTGGCGGAGAGAACCATCATCATTGGCGACGGGGGCGGCGGAGGAGCTCATTCTAGCCGGGTGAGTAGAGGCTCGTCACAGCTGAAGATGGGCCGACAGTCAGTTCCGAGGTTGTTCACACACACAAGGAGGTCGTCGGTAAGGGCGTTGTGCGAGGGTTGTTCTGATGCTCAAAGTGTCCATGAGCCGCCAGTGTTTCAGTAGAGGTTTCGAGGTCGGAAGGCTTCGAGCGTCCCTTTTGGCACAGGAGGGCAGGAACGTGGGATCAGAAAGTCGAGACGAGGAGAGGAGAGATTCCGTTATGTACCTAGAGAGGCGCAAAGAGTTGTTGGGAGGAAGCAAGTAGAAACGTCACAGACGGGTAAGGGTTCAGGGTGCAGCTGACGGTTTCCAATAAGACGTCTGGAAGAGCCCCACCCCACTAAACAGCGGGTTTATATTGTCAGAATGCCTGTCCATCCCGCCTTTCGTTGAACGATCTTTGCCTTTTTCTAACAAAGTGGAAACTGACGCTCCGCTGGCTGACTCTTTACATGTGATTGATTGCTGCTGGGAAAGGCAGGTACACTACAGTTTCAGTCAAAGAGGCAACAGCTCGAGATTAGGTACGATAGGTGGGTTGGATAACTAAGCCTTGTACGAGAGACTGAGCGTCGGCATAAGCAGGCAGTTGCACGGCGTTTTCCGGGTCAAAGCAGATTTTTCATAGGCTAAAGTACCTATCTACCTACCTGGGTAGGTAGATACCTCTCTGTGCATACCCAGTTCGTCAAGGCTAAATAAGATACAAGGTCCCATGTAGGTACGCCTTGGGAACTCCCAATCGACGTCGTCGTCCAGCCGGAGAGCAAGCATATAATACCAGCAGTCTGTCTAAGACATACGTGTCTCTTGCTCGGACTGTTCCCCCGCCCTGGTGCCCTAATCATCCCGGCTCGCGCAGCTACCTAGGGAGACTACCTAACCACACTAGTAGGTAGTATGGTAAGGGTGGGGGGGATACTTCCAGCCTCTTCGATTTTCTTTCGAGCGGAAGATGCGCCAGACCTGCGCTTGTTGCATCCGTACCTGAGGCACCTCTGATTCCTCTTACCTCACCGAGCCAAACCCAGATGCGGGGTCACTGTGCCAGCTTACCTAAACCGTAACCGGCTCCCTCCGGCTCTGATGCTCAGGACAGTACTCCGTACCCCCTACGCCATCACAAAAAGCACGCGCTGATAAGAACGTATGTGGTGGGCAAGCAAGTCAGCATATCCAACCTCATTTAAAGCCATGCCTCCAACGATCGAATCAACTTACCGATCAAGTGCGAGTGGATGTGATCTCGCCCATATCCGTCACGCCCGGCATCATTCAAGCCCTAGATCTGGCTCCCAACGGCGTCAGCACGTACACGTACTTGGTTGGACAGGGACATGCCCGTCTCACCACGCGATGCAAACCGCCAACATGAACCATTCCCATCAACATCCCTCCCTCAAGACCACGCGAATTCAAGCGTGGCACCCGCGTTCGTGGCAGATTTCATTGTTATGCTCTCAGGGGAGGCTACTTGGTAACCACTCATTCGTCTCCTGATCCGGGAGACGGAGGCATGCTTTGCTGGGGTGTCCAGGGTACGCCGGCCTTTTGCATGAATTTGTAGAATGAACAGTATCAAAACACAACCCACCGCGCAACGGGGCCCCTCATGCTTCCAATCCCTCTCCGGGCTGCGTCCCTTCTACGCAACGGGTGGACATCATCGTTCGGCCGTTGTATAAGAACAAGTGCTGTGAGTCACAGGACCTCCTCTGTTCCTGTGCACCTCCTTTTGCGCGTGGTTCTGCTCACCAAAGTAGTTGCTGACCCCTATTCACTCGTTGACTGTCACAGTTGACACCATCTACCTCAAGCAAGCGCAACACCGCACTCGATCACACAAGCAACGTATTGTAATAGTTCATCATCCCCACAAACACCACCACCGCCGTCAAAAATGGCCCGCGAAACCCCGGCATCCTCCATCGCCGGCGAAAACAGGCCGCTCCCGAAGCGCCCCGGCACCTCGGGCACCGAAAACCTCCTCAAGACGAACCGCCGGCAGGCTTCGGACAACTACCAGCGCGCCCAGCGCGCTGAGCGTGCCTACCGCGCGAAAAAGCGTGCCACCGCCGCCCGCGCCGATCTCTCGGATGCAAAGACCCACTACACCGAGTGCTTCAAGCACCTCACCCGCGGCCTCGCTGTCACCTTTTCCGCCGTCAAGTCGCTCCCCTATGTCTTCGACGAGCGCCAGGAGGCTGCCCGCCAGAAGGCCGATGCCAAGAGGAAGCAGCGTGCCCTCGAAAAGAAGAAGAAGCTCGAGGAGAAGCTCGCCCGCGAGGCCGCTGAAGCTGAAGCTGAGGCCGATGCTGCACCGGCTGAGGATGCACCGGCCGAGGAGAATGCCGCTTGATGGACCATTCGCAGGGTCGAGTCGATTACGTGGATGAAGGGGATCGAGGCCTGATATACTAGGTGCATAGTATGCCACGCCTTCCTCGCACTCCTTTCGTTGCCCGCGCCCAGGGTGATGACTTCAGGCTGAGCCTCTTCTTCGTCTTTTCGTAACTCGCCCTGCGAATGGACCGTCTTCCTCCACGCCAGCGCCATCATGTGCTCGTCGACCAATTCGCAGCATCACATGCAGCTCGCTCAGCAAACGTAATTGCTACACACGCTCTCGGGCACCCACTGTCGTTCCCATCATCATATCATAACCCGCCCCGCCCCTTCTTTTCATTTTCCTTTCTCTTCTTGCATTATTCATATTCATTTAGTGCTTCTTCTCGAAACGACGCCCCACGACCTTGGACGAGATAATGATGACGGAGCCAACATATAAACGGAATCTTCCAGTAATACATACCGCATATATTCAGCAGATGCTCGCAGAGGAGGAATGTGGCGGCCGTGCTCGGGTCTCTTCAGTCGGCGTCTTGTCAATGGCCTTGCTTACTTTGGTCATTGGGCTTTCACTATCATTATCTCAATATTTTCTTTATACACCGGTTGGCACTCGTATTGGCTTGGAGAAAAGGAGGGAAAGGAGTCGGTTTGGGGGAGCCTCATCAGAGATACCTGCGTTGTATTTCCCCTCTCGTTGCTACCAGAATTCTAGCGAGATTGTTTTCCAGCATGGATCCTACAGTCTCCCTGCGACCGTGAAAACTTTGCAAACCCGTTTGCCGTGGCCCCTTCTCAGTGGTGATTCATGCACTGCAAGTCTGCATTGATCACACCCTCGCCGACATATGACGACCCCCTTCAGGCATACCGTCTAGTTTCCCGTGAGATCATGATTTTGCATTTCCGAGAGATAGAAAAAAAGGGATTAACTACCGTATCCCCCAGGATGCCAATTTTATACCATTGCCGTTGCCGTGGCCGTATCTCCAGTAGTAGCATCAAAAGAACCGTCGTCGTTACCGCACAACCACACCCGCCCCCTGTTCCACATGGTGCCCAGCTCAGGCCGCCTTCTTGGCGAACTCGACTCTCAAGATCAAGTGCTTGAAACCAAAGCCGTCCATCTTGGCAGCAGCCTTGACGGCGTCGCCCCGATCCGCAAAGCTGATGAATGCGAAGCCCTTTGCCAGACCCGTTTCCCTGTCCTTGGCAAGGAACACACGTGTGACGCGGCCGAAGCGCTCGAACATGTCGCGAAGTTCCTGTTCCTCCGCCATCTCCGAGACCTGTCGTCGGTTTGTCAGTATACCAGCCAAGAGTCACAGCGCCGGGGACAGAGGAACTCACGTTGGTGACACGCAGCGTCGCGAGATCGTCCCGCTCGCCGTACTTGCTGCCACCCATCCTGTCTCCCGCAGAGGCGCCGCCGGCCGCACCGGCTCTGAGTGCCGGCGGGACGTAGCTGCCCTTCTTGGCGCCAGGGCCTGCTGCCGCAGCGCCGCCCGCGCCCGGCTCGTCGGGCATGCCTGCGGCGACGTCGGCGGCGTCCCCACCGACGGGAGCCATGGTGTCCTTGTAGGGACAGCGGGCAGTGAAATGCTCGCCGTTGCAGATACGGCACTTGACCTGCTTGTCCTTGAGCTTGTCCTTGAGGGCCTGGGCACCGGCGTCCTCGCCCTGCTCCTTCTCGTCCTTGCGCCAGTTCGTGCTGGGGCGGAAAATGATGTTCTCGCCGACCGAGGTCGTGTCCGGGGCCGGGCCCGCGGGGTCCTTGGCACTGAGGCCGAACTTGGACCACGTCTTGCGCTCGGCGACGCGCGGGTTCACTTTCTCTGTGTGAGTCGTGTAGCGGATGCGGCGGGTCATCTTGACCTTCTTGCCCTGGTCATTGTAGCGGAAAGTAATGATGGTCTTGGTTCCGTCCTTGTTGCTGATGGTCTGGGGCGCGGGAAGCTCAGTCGACGTCTCCTCGACGTCTTCATCGTCGGCCCAGTCATGCCTGATTGAGAGGGGTTAGCTATTTTAGACGAGTTTTTCCCCCCCTTTTATCTGTCTTCTTCTTTCCGATGGAAAACGGGTCGGAATGGAGGGCGTACTTGGTCTTAGGCGTAGCCATGTTATCGATCGGTACTCTTCGCGTGCGTGACAATCGGGTACAGGCTCGAAAATCGATCGTATCGGTCAGAGGTTTGCTGTTTTCGAAGCGGGTTGTCGCGGTGGTCAACTTCGTGGTGGGGTCACGGAGGAATTTTGATGTTGATTGATTTTCGTGGTGCGCCACCGAGCGCTGGTGTGGGGCAATGGGGCGCTAGTCCATTCCGGGTCATCGCCCCCCCGAAGCCTTTCCATCCATTTGTCGTTGTGTCGTTCTCTTCACCCACAAACATGCTTACGTATTCTCATCTAGCGTGCGTCGTTGCAAAATACTGTTTTCATGTCTTTGGATTTTTTCGACCTTTTAAAAAGGCGCTGTATCTACTAGTACGGTCCACAAAGTCCGTCACCAAGGTCCGTCCTAGGGATGTCTATCATATTGTATGCTGTCCGGAAACCAGTCATGATATGCACCGCACCTCACCGTCAAAACGGTCCATATGCCTTCCAGCTGGCAAATCATGGAGGAGGCGCCTTCCCATCCGATAAACGCCGATTTGTGCAGCAAAGGGTATGACGCAAACAGACCCAACTAAGCAAAAAACATAGAAAATGAGATATGGTTAACGTCGTGTGAGTGGAACAAAGCGAAATATGAAAACAAGCTACGCATTGGAGTGTGGTTTGTGAGGAATGGGTGGCAGCGCATAGTTTGGTGGCGGCGCTGGCGGGGGTCCTTCGACCAGAGCAGGCATGCTACTTCTGCCCATGCCACCCTGCGAGTGGTCGTTGCAGGGCACTTGCTCGCTCCAGTGAGCGAGAGGAGTTGTCGGGGCACGCGACAATGATGCAAGTGATGCTGACACTGGCATCATAGGCGGGAGGGGAGGTGGGATCATGTCGTCTCTGGGGGACTGGCTCGCGAGGGAAGGCGCACTGAGCCTCTTGGCGGCTGCCTGAGCGCGGGACCAAGTCCCTGAGGATGACAGTGGACGAGGAGAGGAGTCCTGAAGACGGACTTCACATGACGATGCCGGGCTGGGAGTCTTGGAAGGGAGGATGAAGGTCCGGAGCTCCGGCGAGCCAAGAGTCTTGTCCTGTTTGCTAAGAGACGGCGAACTAGCGTACCTGCGCGGACTCGTCCGAAGGGTCACCGTAACCGTCTTATTCTTGGGGCCAAGGCTCGTTTGTCTAGGAGGGTAGGCATTTGATACGTCGCTGACCGAAGTCCGGTGCCCCTGGTTTTCTCTGGTTCGGGGGACTCCAGCTGCCTGGCCCGCTACCGACTCTAGACCGTGCACAGGAGACGGCTGGTCTGCCACTATCGACAGAGGTCGTGCCATGGAGAGCGCGGTTGGAGGAGGCTTGCGGGCATTCCTGATAACGGAGTCCCTGTTCCTTGCCTGCTCAGGGCTAGAAGAAGGACCCCTCACGGCGCTGGAACGTCTGCTCGTGGGGACGCTGAAGTTGATAGCCACGTGAGCAAAGTCGGCCTCCGTGTACGTGGAGGGAGGCCGCGACATGGGCGAGGCACGCAGCTCCGAGTAGCCCAAGGTCTGCAGAGACTGGCGACGGTCGAGAATGGCCGCAGCGTTCGGTCTCGGCCTAACCGTAGGGGGGTCGTGTACTGGAGGAGGCAGATCTTCAAAGTGGCTGCTAGCAAAGCTATCGCGCACGGGGGAGCACGCGGGCGACGAGCCAGCAGACGTAAGAAACGTGCGTTGGCCGGATGATATGTACGAGAGCCGGTTGGTGCTGTCACGCAAGCTGTCGAGCTGGTGGCCGTCGTGGGAGATGATGCTGTTGGTGGTGGAGACGTCGTCGATTGAGGGATCGCGGGTCGTATCAGCATCCATGACGGAGTGAGGCTCGTCCTCGCGCAGCTTGGCTTGCTCCAGTTTCAGGGAAAAGTCCGGGGGAAGCACTCGTGAGAACCTGTTCGGGTCACGGACGACCAGAGTGCGCTGGCTTGGCTGAATCCGGAGCTGGGCGACTCTGCTATCCGGCCTAGGCCTGCCGGTCTCTGAAAGGTTCTTCTTCCCGCCCAGCGCCTCGATTTCCCGGCGCAGGACAGCAATCCACGATTCCATCTCCTCGGCACTGTCAAAAACCATGAGGAAGTTCGCGGCATGTCTCTTGTCGGACGCACGGAAGGGCAGGCGGGCCAGCAGCGACCGGGAGTCGGCGGCAGTGAGGCCATTGGATTCCATAGCCGCAGAGACTTGGAGAACCCAATGTTTGCCAGGAATTGCATCACTGACAAACGCGGCAGAGTCCTTGCTCAGGTGCAGCACCTTTTCCGGCAGGCGGTCAAAACTGCCGTCGGCGGCATACTGGAGCAAGTAGCCTGACGTGCAGAGCACGTAAGTCTTGCATGTCCACTCAAGCTTGACCGTGGACAGCGTTCGTAGGTGCTTCCTTCGCGCCCTCTCGGCTACCCTAGCGGCGTGCTCTTCGGCGGGCTCTGGGGTGAGTGCGAGCTGGGGCGGGGCCCCCCGTAGACTGATGCTGCCTTTCCGGTCAGTGAGACGGAGGATCACGTCGGCGGACGTGGTGGCTGCGAGGAGTTGGGCATGCTTGATCGCTTGGGGGTATGCTTGGAACAGGGGCGGGGGGTCCCACGTCGCAAGACTGCCTCGCGATGACCTCGTGGCGGGGCCGTTGTTTGGCCTGGTCTTCTCCGAAGTGGTAGGCCTTGTCTTGAGGGACAAGTCGCTGAAGGACGCACTGGCGGATATGGACGTGGATCGCGAGTGGTTACCGGATAGCGCGAGATCGGACCGCATGTGAGACCAGTTGCTAATCCCAGCTAATGAGGCGCGAATGCTGGTGCCCCGTCCGGTGTCGAAGTAGGACTTGGTAGGGTCGACTTCGCGAACCGATTTAGCTCTGCCAAAAATGGTCTTCAGTCCCATTCGCGAATCTCGTTTGTCGAGCCTGTTCTCGGGGCGCAAAGGAATGCGAGTCGACGACGATGCGGGAGCGGCGGCGTCTGTATGCACATTGGCCGGTCGTGCTCTGCGGGACTGGGTGGTGCGGTACTGTAGCGTTTCCGCAAAAGTTGTAGCGTTGGGGTTGCTCGGCTCGACATCAGCCATGACTGGGGTCAGTTGATCTAGCCAGACGTGGATTTTGGGGTGTTGCTTATGAGGTTGATCTGAGCAGACTGCTTCCAGCGCGGAAGAGGGTGGGCGGTGACGTGAGTATAAGTCAGTGAGGGACGACGATGCGCTCTGGCATAACAGGGAGCAAATGGGTGGGTTTGGTAATGTAAGTACTCCGTAGAGGCGGTAGGCGTAAAGAAACAACCAAATGTTGGCAGGGTGTGTAATTGTGGATCTTTATGACCAAGGTCCTCAACCCCGGCAACGGGACGTCGGGGATGTGGGTGGGTTGGGAAGCAAGCTATTGCGATGAGAAGAGCCGGTTGAAGGGGAAGAGGGCTCTTGTTAGTGTTTGCGCTAACGGAAATTTTGTTGCTGGTGTGAGGCCAGGCGGCGTGTCCGACACGACCGGGATGGGGTGGGATCTTAAATCCGGGAGAGGCTGGATGTAATCTTGGGACGAGGCAGAAAGAAGCAATTCACAGAATTGAGGTGAAAGATAGGTAGGTAGGTAGGGAAACAAGTTTGGACGTGAGGGAGAGTGTGAGCGGGTGAGTCTAGATGGGGAAGAGAGGGCCTGCCTAACGGAACGGAAAGGCAGATGGAAAGGAAATGAGAGGGAAGTACAAGAAGATAAAACCGGGCAGCATTCGCGGCGAGGAGGAGATGGGAGGGCATTCGGGCAATAATAAGAACAAAACCAATAGAGGACATTGACCAGAGCAGAGCAGAGCAGATAGCTAGACACTAGAATCCAAGACCGCGGCGGGAGAGTAGGAGCCGGTGAAGAGTGCAAAGGAGCTCGGTTGAGCCACTAGGCCAGGTCGGTGGGCTTGCTTTAGCTGCTAGCACAGGCACACACACAGGCACAGTGGCACACAGGCTCACTGGCTCAAGCGCACCCGTCCTGCAATGTATATTTTATTTTCATCCTGTGCCAAGGACGATCACATCCCACACCTCAGGTGTGTGCTAATGATTTCCCATCTCCCTAACTAGGTAGGTACCTCGGTATCCATCCATCCATCCTGTCGATGTTGTTCAAGTTCCTTGCAGTATACGTACGAATAGCCATGGATCCTGCGCTCCCTTCCTTGATCCCTCTATTCCGATGGCCTGATGACGACAGGGGAGGACCACGAATAAAAAATAAAATAAAAACCGAGGCCAAGAAGAGAGAGCGCGTAGTCGGCGTCCGGGCTGCAGGGCAGGACCTTGTTACATGAGCCTGAACCCTCCGACTTGCATGTTCCTTGGTGACCCCTTGCAGTTCTTAGCCCATCATCCACTCAACTGATCAACTTCAGCTCGTCCCATGTAGCGATCCCCAACAGGCAAAAGCAACACACAGAGGCTGCCCGAGGGACAGACTCTGCACACCTGCCTGCCGCCCGGCAACTGGCACCCAAGCAAGGAATTCGACGGCGTAACCATTATATTTGGCACCCTCGGGCAAGTGAATCATGCAGGCGTCTTGGCTCAGCAAATCCACGGTGAGCCAGAGAGATGGGAAAGACAGGGTGAAAGAGAAGAAACCCCTATTTAAGAGGGAGCACCTTGTATCTGTACTATATCGTATCTGTACCTCAGTGCGTGACCACTCTACGTTCGATTCCGGGTGCAGTGAGAGGCCCCTATGCACACTTGGCTGGCCCTGAAATGGATAGGCTCTTCCTGTTTACTGCTTCTTTGGGATCCCCTGAGTGCTCGACCCCCCTGCTCAATGCTGGTTGATGTAACCATAACGTTCAAACTTCTGGCACCTGGCAAATGAATGAAGCCTTAACCGAAGGACGACCGACTGGCAATTCCCTACAAGGCCTGCTAGGAATACATAGTAAAGTGTGATATATCAGAGATGTGCCAGAAACCCGAGGCCAACGCCGGTTTTTTGTTGCCGTGCAGCGGCGCGCATTCG